GTATCCAGGTAGAGTTCTCTTTTTTCTTTTTCGTGTTTCATTTCCTGCTCTTCCTCGGAGACGCGGTCTTCGTAGCCTTCCTCACACTCTGCCGCTTCTTGGGGATCTGCTTCACCACCTTAGTAGGTGATTTGGTCTTGGATGCACCCTTGCTCTCGTCCTTCTTTGCTGCGGACCGTCTTCGTGAGTTCGTGCCTTTCGCTGCGGCGAGAATCTTCGCTTTCGTAGCCGCGGATGGCCGGTTAAGCTTGGATGTTGACTTGGCTGGCACGGCGGCGGGGGTAGGTTTTGCCTTGGCCAGCGTCTGTGTCTTGGGCATCGCGGTTCTAGCTTTGGCCTTGGTTGCTTTGACAGTGGGAAGCTTGATCTTGGTCTTCGGAGGCTCGGCTTTCGATGTTCGTTTCGTCGTAGCTCTCTGCGTGGTGGCAAGCTTCTTGACGGTCGCTTTAGCTGCCGCGCTGGTTGACTTGGGATTCACCGGCCTCGCTCGAGCAGAAGTCGACTTCGACACGGAGGCGCGGGCGCGGGCGACTACCTTCGTCCCACCTGCCTTGACGGCCTTGGTCGTGAGGATCTTTCGTTGTTTGGTGATACCCGAAGGTGATTTGCTGAGTACATTGTTGGCTTTCCGCTTGATGGTAGGCTTCTTCGAGCCGGCTTGCTTCTGCCGTTCGTCTTGCTCCTTTGCGCGTCGGTCCTTCTCCCTCGGTCGCGGACCCAGGATCCCACGGCAATTCGAGGCACCGCATCGACACTGTTGGACATTCTTCTGAGAATAGGGACTGTCGGATACGTTAGCAGGTATCATAGGCCCCAACAACGCTCCCTACTCACTCAAAATTGTAGTCATAAGTCAGCTCCTCCCCAGTCATGATGCCCCGGTCCCCGGCAAAGAGAGCCATACGCGGCTTTCCAGCGACAGTCCACTTCTCCATGCGGCAATTGGGTTCGCAAGAGTGGTTCACAAAGCGAGCGATCGAGCCCCGAGTAGCGTCAATGATCATGTTTTGATCAAAGTACATCAAATAGTAGCACTAGAGAATCTGTTATCGAAGTGATCGACGAGAATTGGAAGACGCAGATGACAAACCTCATTGTTCTTGTAAACCGTACGCATGCGCCTCTCACATTCAGTCTGCGTGATGATTTCACCCGTGTATTCCACAATGACCTGGTTAGGCTCAAAGGTGCGGTTGCTGCGTACTCCGTAGCCGCGGTCGTCTGTTTTGATCACCTCGACACCGATGTTGTACTTGCCTCCAGCCTTGGCCCGGTGCTTGAGCTCCTCGAAACTCCGGTTACCACACTCAGGACCCAGCCTGCAGTTCCCACTATCACATTCGTACAGCATGTGCCGGTTCTGGCAATCCTCGTCGCAGCCGGTCTCCTCTGTACACATACAGTTCGACAAGTCGATATGCTTGTTTGCGCGCCATATGCTCCCCGCATCACCGACAAAGACGTCTAATATTCACGTTAGCACTCAACTGAGCAGTAGAGGCGTAGAAGTGCGAGGCACGTACTCTTATTGGTCTTTCTCCACTCGTCAGGCTTCGGTTGACCCGGTGGCAGCGGCGAGAAGATGTCGAACGGAAGCTTGAAGTCCCTGCCATTCTGCAAGAGCCTCTCTCCAGCGAACATGGGCATCGGTAGCAGCCGACGCTGAGGCGGAGTTTCTGTCTTGTTGTTCTGACTCTTTCTTCGGTTTCTACTCCGACTTTGGCTGGGCGGTCCGTCCTCGCGCTCTTGCCCAGTGTACAGCCCATGGGCCAGCCAGCGCTTCCGCCTCACGCGTGGTACAGGGGGAGGTGCCGGAGCTGTGCCTGCCTGGGAGTTTTCGCCAGCAGCCTCGGCCGCAGCAGCAGGCAGGTCGCTTTCGGAGACCCGTCTCTTCTTTGATGCAGGGTCACCGGGAGCTGCAGCGACAGATTGTTCCTCCTTGTTAGAGGTGACAAGGTTGCGCGGTCGTAGCCCTTCCCGACGCCCGGCGTCTTTGCCCTTCTCCGTCGCCTCACGCGAGCGCTTTCCCAGGACGCTGCTCGCCCGAGTCACCAAGTCCGACGCCTTGTCCAGGACACTCAAGCGCGTTGAGCGTCGAGTGGGCTTCGGGCAATCCTCTTTGGCAGCCGTCGCGGCGGTTGTGACCTTCTCCTGTTCTTGTTTCTCATCCTGGGTCAGCACCCGCTCCACGCGCTTGCGGAGAGTCCGACGCTGTAGAGAGGTGGTGATATCGTCGGAGGGCGGCTCTTGCGACGGCTTGTCGGAAGTCTGCGTTTCCGGAGTCATGGGGTGGTTGCCTAGCTTGGTCTGCTCATCGGCCCAGAGGGTTGTTTCCATGACCGCTATGCTGTGTCGGAGGTGGGAGGCGGAGGAAGACGACGATCGCTTCTGCTTCTCCGCAACGGAGGATTCGTCACGACTGGCAAGCAAGCGATCACTGTCATTCCCCGGAGAGGAACCATCATATTTGTCTGCTCCCGCAATGTCGTCTGGTCGGAGTCCCCCCCGCAGCGAGGCGCGTGTTACACGTGTTGATCGTCGGCGTTGGGTCGGGTTCTCATCGTGGGACGCGTGCTCGTTGTTGCTTGACGTCTCGGAGCGACTGTTCTCGGGGGTGAGAAGTTGTTCGGTGTATTCGAAACTCATTGATGTGTCTGCGTGTGCATGAGTGTGCTTCTGGAGGTCTGCAAGAGTGGCGGGTGTTGCGGGAGACGCGCCGGACAATTCAGTTGGGCCTTCCATGGTGAGAATCCGGGGGGAAGGATTTCGAGATGCGGTGGGGAGATAAGGTCGAGGGTGCTAGATAAAAGTACAGAGAAAGCGCCTTTGAGATAGCTCGACAGTTCTCGCACAGAACGAGTCAAATCCAGGCCGATTCTGCCCTGGGTTGCCTGTGCACGGGGAAGATGCGTTGACTGACTCGGGGTGGACGGTGGCCTTGTCACCAGGAGCGAACCGGATCAGAGCTTATCTCTCCCAGATCATGATAAATCCCGCAAGAAAGACCCACGGCGCAAGAATCCCCGGTGGGAGCAAAGCCTGGAAACACTTGGATGGGGAAGGGAAGAGGGCCAGAGCGTGGGAAAGGAGGAAGAGGAGGTGCGGAGAGAGAGGGTCGAAGAGGAGTTGTCCGTATTATTATTCTTCTTCTTCTCTTCTCTCCAGCCAGCTAGCCAGCCAGCCCCGAAAGGACGGCGCCGCGGAATGCAGATGGCACAAGACAGTGAACCCTCCCAGCCAATTTCCAGTCTCCGGGGTCACTTCTGGCTGCTGCAATTTCTCCCTCCTGTCGGCGGGGTTCTACAATTCTGATCGCCATTATCCCACTCCTACATCCATGTCGTCGCCGCCGCCGAACTACTTCGGATGCGGCATAAATCACCCACCTCTCGCTCCGTTTTTCACCAATGAGAATCTGGATGCTTCGGTGCATCGTCTCTTCGTCAATCACCGTCTATCGGCTCGAATTTATTCTGACTTATTGTACATTTAACCCTGAACACGGTGTGATATCAAGTTGGTCCGGCGAACCGGAAACCTGCACCCCCGACTGATTGTGGTGGGCATCTAGAGTGGAAATCAAGGAGAAGTATCTTGCAAAGAACGTATAGCCAAGACATGCTTCAAATGGGCAGCTCGCTTGAACATTCAGGCATAATCAGAGAAGGAAGAAAGGGGTATGTAAGCGTAAACGTTCAGACGCCGAGTAATCCAACCAAAGGCTGTGAAAAAGGTGCAACATGCATTATGATTGCAGTAGTCTTGAGGCAGAAAGGAAAGCAAAGGAGGAAAAAAAGGAAAGAGAAAATAGTTTACCCACTGAGGGGCTGTAAATTGTGTCGTGAGATGGTAAGACATTCATTGAACCGAACTGAACCACGCCAAACCTAGAATCATAGATAATTACCTCATCTCATTCTGGTGGCTGTGTAGAAGGGACTCGCTGCATCTCGATGTCGGGCTGACGCTCAACATGGCGAGGGAGGTACTTCCGCTTAACAGTGCTCAAGCGTTGATCACCCTGACGGTAACTTGCTTTGAATTGCATGTAGGTCGGGGGCCGCGGTCGCAAGAGCACGGACAGCCAGTTTCGGATGGCACTGCCTTGGGTGAAGGGACGATGGCGATCGGCCTTGGCAAACTTGTGAGAGTTCAAATATTCTCTAGTGGTTTCACCCCGGCCAACCAGGAAAATGTGATACGTCCACAGAGAAGCTGGATACGGCGCAGCAATTGCACCATATAGCACCATAGCCCAAGGCACCCTCAATTTATCAATCGCGGTGCCAAAACTAATGTGCTCCTGGTTCCGGTACACCAGAATGTGCGCGAGACTGGCTCCGAGTAAGAATAATGCGAGGAGCGTGGAGGAGGCCACAAAGGTCAAAAAGTATCGGTAGTTGCGGCGGCCAACACAATTATTGAGCCAGACGCAATGATGGTCCAGAGTTTCCACGCAGTTGTCACACACCCGGCAGTGATAGCAGCGCGGGGGGCGCCAGATACAACAAGTCTCGCAGTACTTCACGGGGACGTCCATGGCGGCAACGTCGGACGTTGCTAGTTTGACCATCACCCAGTCATTGGTTGGCGGGCCTACAGCCAGAGGGTCATCTGAAGGGTCCGGTGGCGGCAGCTGGTGAAGATTGCGCGGAATGATCTGTGGCGAGAAGTTAGCCAATGGGAACGTATCTCAAGGTCCTGGGAGACTCATACACCGGGATCAACAACCGAAGCATGAATGAACGAAGAGAAGCATAAGTAGAAGAGGTAGGCGAACAAGATCGGGATCGCAGGCGAGATATGATGCCAGAGCCAGGGGGCCCTATGCACGATCAGTAAAGACTACCCAACGACACCCAGAAGAGACAGAATTCCTTACGAGTATGCGAAGAACAGCGCCGATGGCACCACCACGAAGATTCCAGTCGCGATATTGACCGGCTTGTCCCTGGAGTTCTGCAACCTTCCCCGTCCGAAGAATATCGTATTGCCAACAAAATACTCGTAGTTCTTCCCTAGACGGCTACGCTTGGTTGTTGGGGGTTGTTTCTCGATTGACGCAGGTGTCGACCCGGCCGAAGACAGCCTCTCATGCGCGCGATCACGGGCTTCTTGCACCTGGTTTCTGTTCTGTAGCGAAAGGAAGGAAAGAGGCGATCTCTGAGGCGATTCATGGCCACTCGGGTTGTTATGGTTTACTCCCAGGTTGAGGTGTGGTGGGTTGAGCTTGTAAGCTCTCTCCTGGTTGTGGATGAGCTTCGCACTCTCGCCTATGCTCCTCCCGGTCGTATTGCCCATCGGGCTGGCGTTCGAGGCCGTTCGGTCGGGAAGGACAGGATCTGTGAATTCGGTGCCTCTCGAAGGAGGAGGTTCCTGATCTATCGGTGGAAGAGAGTCCCGGGGCGCGGTGCTATTCGAGATCAGACTCTGTCTGTTCTGGCTTCCGTGCTCCCCCCATTCCTCCGAAGTGTCTGTCGTGGTTCCTTTCGTCATGGGCCGACCCCTATGCGCCTGAAGTCGCTGGGATGACATCGGACGGAAGAAGCCCTGCGCCGTCAAGGAGGGGATATGAGACCGGCTCAATCGACTGCCGGAACTGCCAGGTCTTGCCGTCGCCTGGCTCGTGGTTGTGATGGAGCTCCTTGCGGGCGGGGGTACTCGTCGGGATACGGATGGTCGCGAGCGTGTTGGTTGCGACGACATACCGGTATAGGTCTGGGAATTATCTCCATCGTCTGAAGCCATATCGGTGACGCGGGACGAGATTCCGCCCACGGAAGGAGGTCGCGGTATTCCTAACACATGTTGCGCGGGCGGGGGATTCGGCGCATCGCTGGTCTCGGACATTGTTGACGAAAAAGAGGATGGACTTTCGTACGGGGTGGTCAATAGTCGGGGATTCACAGATCAGCGTCGTGCATCAATCATGTTGTGGCCAGACAGGGGTAAAAAGACGATCGAGGTATGATGATGATCTAGATGCCGGGGACCCGCAGCTCTGAAGGCGTGAGTATAGATCAGGGTCGGATGAAGGTCGGAATTAAGAGGATTTGAAGGAATGACAAGAAATCGTATATCGTAGTGGAAGTGATTTAATAAATGAAAATGAGCGTAAGCAACCTAAAAGAAAGCACTGGCGGGTTAGTTTTCAAGGGCAATTAATTTCGAGCTATATCGGGGGGTGGTAGGGAAGAGAGCCCAGGGCTTGGGCCAACCCCTGTCCAAGGTCAACCCAAGGCAGGGAAATCTGTTGGAGCAACAGGCAAACGGACCTAGATGGGAGGGAAGGGATGCTGCCAAGGGAGAGGAGGCGTTATTAGCAACCAGAACCCATCATAGTACGATCGCAAGGACGACCATGACCTTTAGGAGCGTAAGGATGCGAATGAGCGATCATGGGCTTCCAGAGTCAAGCCGTCGTTTGCGACTCGGACCAGGCAGGGCAAGACAAGGGTGGAATGATGGAAAGTCGAGGACGTCGACGGCAGCCGACCGTGGTCTGATCATCCACCAAACTGCAGCCTGAGAGCTTAGGCGCAAACGGTCAGCTGAGTCAGCTAGAGTCCGAATCGCGCTGGCCAACGGGATGTCACCTGATGATGCGCCGGCAACATCATCGTCCGACACGCACCCACCGATTCCCCCTCAAACCCACACCTCTTACTACTCTTGGTAGACTGGCCACCATCTCACCTCAATTCCACTTACACAACCACAAGCACCACCATCACAATGTCCTCAATCGCTGCTATGGCCTCTCGCCGGGCCTTCGCCCGCCAATCCCTCTTCCGCGCTCCCCAGCGCCGCTTCCAGTCCTCCAAGGTCGAGGAAGCCAACCTCGACAAGGGTCCCAAGCGTGACCCCGAGCTCTACGTACGGAACCACCACCAGCACCACTAGCCCCAGCACCACCTCAATTGACCTCTCGACCCTCGCGAACCCCCCTGTTCTACTACAATGGCATTCTAACACGAACCTGGATAAACCTATAGGTCCTCCTCGGAGTCATGTCAGGAGCTTTCCTGCTCGCCGGATGGTAAATTCAATTCCACCACCACCACCACCAACCTCTCTTTTCCGCCCGGGATTCGCTTTCCTGCAAAATTGCCCCGAGGCTGTCCTGTCACCACACCCAATCCACAAACTCAACACCCAGCCCGCCCTCTATGTCACCCACGTCAATTGCTTGCCAAAAAGAAAAAATAAAACAAGTTCACTAACTCAAATGCGATTCAGGTACTTCGGTCGCAAGCCCACTTCCGTCACCTCCGAGAGCAACGTCCGCATCGGCGAGAGCGCCATGCCCTGGGAGCAGACCGACGCCGAGGGCAAGGTCTACAAGTACCAGTACCACCCCCACGGTGACAAGAGCCAGCCCCTGCGCAACGCTCCCAGTGCCTTGAACACTGTCATCGTCCCCAACGTGACTCTGCCCGAGGTATGGCCTGCCCTCGATACTATGACTTATATATGATTTTAGGCCATCCAATTTAGCTAACTTTCATACCGCAGGATCTCCACGAGCGTTTCAACAAGTACGGTAAGGAGGAGTGGGACTACTAAATAAAACCCTCCGCACCATATCGGAAAGATTCGAATCGGTGAAGTTGAAGTTGAGGCAACATCGGTGATGATCGCTGTACACTAAAACTTGAGTGCGTGAGTATGTGAGAGAGAGTGTGTGTGCGTGTGAAGATTAGAGTACAAGAGAGTAGGATATGAGGGAGAGAAGACCGTTTTGATAACAGCTTTGTGCATAGTCCGTTTTGACGAGGTTCTTTTTGGTGGGAAGATCTATCGTTATGTTTTTGTTCTTGTTTCTTTCTTTCACTAACTCGGTATCCCTTCAAAAAAGTAACCGTGATAAAGTGTAGAGTAATCCATTGATCTTCGCGAACAGGTATTCATGTACAGATGTCACATTTCGTTAGTCCAATGAGGCAAAAATTACGGCTGCAAAAGAAGTACAGGGAGAATAAATAAGCAGAGCTAAAGATCGAATGGAAGTACAGACAACCCCAACTGAATACTCCATGTCTATTTCGTTCAAGCTTTGGTCGCCTCATTGGCCTCACTGGCCGGCTTGGGGTCCGCGGAACTCTGCTGCTCCTTGGAGCTACCGTGGCCGGCTGCTGAAGCCGGGCCATCCTCCACATCTTGGGGCTGATGTCTCTGGACAGTTTCGGGATTCTGGCCCTCAACGTCAGGGTGTGGTGGAGCAAATTCGATCTCACCGTCCACCATATCGACGAGGTGACCCTTTTCCAGGCGGGTTGAGGTTTCGTGCCGGGTCTCGAAGGACACCTTGCCCTCCTTCCTCAACGAGGCAACGACCTCATCGTCCAGGATGTTGCCATTTTGATCGCGATATTCGACCCGTGCCTTGGTACTATGCCGGGCCCGGGGCGTGACCGCCGGCTCCTGGGGCTCCTCCTGAAGAACTTCCTGGGCATGCTGTTGAGGCTCATCTTGAGGCGGTGCCACTACGGGAGGGACTTGTGGGACAGACGTCTCCGTAGGGGGGATAGCCGCGTTTGCGTTGCTATCCACGAACTGAGTCACGTAATGGCTAAGCTGAGGGGACGTGTCAGTTATTGCGACGTGACGTGTAGAGCTTCCCAGCTTCAGGTGGAAGACTTACATCAGTGTAGAAGGTGTTGCAGTCGAAGTCCCATGTATCCAGGAGCTTCACTTGTCTGCAAGCCTCCTGAGTCCAGGGGTTGCCATAGACCAAGGGCGAATAGATGATGAAGGTGAAAATGCTCGCGGCAAGGAAGAAGCCGGCCATAATCTTGCCGATCAAAGGCTTAGACGGCAAGCCAAGCATTCTAATACGATTGGCGAGGAAGTCGAATTCCTGGCAAAGTGCCATGATCGCAAAGTACAAGGCCGGGAAATAGTGGTGCAGGAAGAGCTGCCGAGCCATAAGATAGAAGGGGAAGTAGTGGAAAGCCCAGCCAAGAACAGTGGTGCCAATCTCGTAGTCGAAACGCTTGAAGTTAACATTGCGATAATCGCCGCAGCTACGCTGCCAACGGAGGGCAGAGATGCCCTTGAAGACAAGGTAGACAGCGATAGCCACAGTTGACGACCACCAGATGAATGGGTTACCAAGAAGGTAGACTTGGCGGTGGTCTTTACCCCAGAAGTTGATACCACGGAGTAGGGTGGGCCACGATGGCGGACGAGAATCCCATGCGTGGGATTCCGTGAGACCAGCATTCGTAACCCACATGACCTTCTGCAGCTCGAAGAATTTACCGAAGAAACCAGGGTTCTTGTAATTGACCTTCTCCGCATCTTCAGCCAGCATCGGATGGCTGTTAGATTCAATGTACCACACACTGTTGGGCAGCGTAGCTCCTCTGGCACAGGTAACTTCCTGTTGCTCAAAGCCCCATTCGGGAAGCTTGACCTTGTGGGAGAACAAAACGCAGTTGGTCATGACGTGGACGAGGCGGAATTTGGTTTGAATGGTCCGTAGCCGCTTCTTGGCCTCTTCACCATCGGACATGGACTTAACAATTTCGACACGGAAGAGATCGTTTGCATCGCCCGGGAAGCCGTCATATCCGTACGCAGAAACCTCAAACTGCCAGTCGACGTCGGTCACAGGGGGACGCTCGTCGTGTGAATGGACTCGGCGGCGCGTGATCAGGTGGTTCAGCTTGATAGTAGCGCCATCTTCGATGTATTCAGCGGTGATGTTATCCCACGCCAGAGGACCCTCCACGGTTCCGAAAGGACCCAACGGCTGGGTCTGGTTCTCGAGAACAAAGACGTTGTTTTCGTCCTTGTGAGGGTAAAGAGTGATCTGTTGCTGCTTGCTTCCCGTGGGGTACATGTGATTGTGGGAGTGAAGGTAGCCTCCTTGAGTGTTGAGATGGCGAATGGAGACACGGGAGCCGAAGACAACATCTGCAGGCACGTCCTGCATGGATTTCGAGTTCAAGGTTGCCTGGAATTCGGAGGACATGAATCCATCTCCGTCTCCGGGGTTAACCAAACACAAGAAGTGGATCGCGAACATTCCGCAGTAGAATGTCAGAGGAATGATGATGAGGCAGAAAAAGCGGGCAAAGAAATGCTTGAACCAAAGGCGCTATACAATGAAGGATTAGCTTCTCTCATGGACGCAGCACAGGGTATCACCACATACAGGTGTAACGTTGACCGTATCGCCAAGCAACACCCACAGTTGGAGGACAGTAAGCGATCCAACCCAAGCGACAGTAAACAAACCAACCCACTTGACACTGAGTGTAGCACCCAAGGCCAGACCAGACGCGACCAGCCAGAACCACCAGGGTCCACGGAAAGCATGCGATAGTCCCATCTCATGCTGGTTCGTGAAACATGTGAACGACAGCGCCGTAAGCGCCGTGAAGAACACCAATGGGGAATCCAAAAGGATCAGACGCGATTGAGTGATTAGACCGTTCTCTGGGGCGAGTTAGCAGACACCAGTCAGTGTTTCAGAGCTATCACCTACCGAAGATGACCACACCAGCGCCCAGGACGGCCGAGATGGTGCGGCATCCACTTGCCTTCAGAGTCAAGAACATCAATGGCACCGTCAGGACACCCAGAACCGCCGGAAGCATCCGCATTGCGACATAAGGCACCCCAGGCTCGAGATAGTCCTTGCCAATGTCCTTGAAGTCGAACTCGCCATCAAAGCCCGCAAGCCAGCCAGCCAATGTAAGGAGAAGTTTAGCAAGAGGAGGATGGACATCCATGAAAAAACGGCCTTTGATGTACTTGGAGGCGAAGCCACCGAAACTGTGCATTGAGTGTCAGATGGAGTTGCGCAAAAGGGAGAAAGATCGAGGCATACTGGACTTCATCAAAGACAACGCTGGAAGGCTGGTAGATCCGGAACAGACGCACAACTGCAGCGACAATGGTCACCACGACCAAAGTCTTGTAATCGGAGGCGGGAAGCTTGAAGATATTGTTGTCCGTGACACCTTCGGAGGCATAGCTGGGCGCCCGCACGGTCACAATTTTGCGACTCTTGGGGCCTGGAGAGCGACTGGACGAACGTAGCTGCGACTTCGGCGCGGAGTTGACCTCCAGCGTGTTTTTGGGGTTTGGCGCCATGATTGAGGCGCTTGGTTGCTGGGATCAAAGAGCGAGGAGGGACAGGACCAAGGACAATTTGGACAAAGGACAGGTTAAATCATCCAGAAATACTGCGGGCGAACGAAATGACGAATGCCGGGCAGTCGATTGCTCCAACTCCAGGAGGGAGCCCTCAGATAAAAGCCCCGCGCTTGATGAAGCAAAGGTAGAGTAGAGATGAAACAGGAGAGAGGGAAAGGGAAAGGGAAAGGAAAACCTAAGGTCAATGAACGAGAGTAAGAATTAGAGACAATGGGCCATGACAGCGAAGGGACCAGCAAGAAAGAAAGTAAAGGAATGGGGGTGGGTGAGAGCTGAATGGATGGAGAAAGAGAGCAACACGTGTGGGACGATTAGGGAGGCGGGATGAAAGCGTAGTTTGGCTGTAGTTGACCGGTTTAAGGCCAGATCGTCGGGAGGATTTAGTAGGAAGACAGTAGATAACTGAACCACTAAGTAATAGTAGACTCAACTTAGCATTGAAAGCATGCAGTTCCGGTCGGTGGCTGGCCTGCTGCGGCGGCTGGACTCTTCTCTCCGTCTTCCGCCCCGATGCAACCAGTACGTAACCCCGTCGGCACTGCCTACCAGCCCAATGGGGGCGGTAATGACTCCAATGACCCCATACAATAGATTGTACCTTACCTCTTGGCCAGCGTTCGGTGATGAATCTATGAAATTAGTGTTGGATCCCTAATTAGTTAGCATTACTATGAATTTAATCATCTCCATTATTGATGTGAACTGCTCAGGCACTGTTCGTCCCGTTTCGGCCTAGACTCGGGACGGGATCCGTCACCCAATCACATTCCCTTCCTTCTACCCGCGCGGATCACCGACCGCCTGCGCTTAACCGCCAGCAGCCGCCGTCCGAAGATGAAGTCCAGCCCGAAAAGACCATTCCGACGCCCGCAAGACCACCCTCGCATCTCAGCATTCAGCTTACTATCGGTCTCTGTCTTTGCCGGCTCATATCATGGCGGCAGTGAGCAATGGGAATACTCCGTTGCCGGAAGAGGTGAGCAAACCCCCCGAGGGTGTAGTCTTGCCACCCAAGGATATTCGAGGTCAGTCAATCCGAGCTCCAGCGAACCCATCTTGCGCAAGTAGTCAAGCTGACTTCCCTCATTAGCAATCGTCGAGAAAACCGCCGGCTACGTTGCTCGAAACGGCCCTGTCTTCGAAGGTAAGCTCTCGATAGCTGATTCTCAGACTCAAGCTCCGACTACTAATACTCCCGCCCGTCTCCAGACCGTGTCCGCGAAAAGGAACGCAACAACCCCAAGTTCTCCTTCCTCAATCCAGAAGATGCATACGGCCCGTTCTACCAATGGCGCCTCGTAGAGATCAGGGAAGGACGAGGGACAGCCGTCTCCGCTGGTCGCGCCGGCGAGTCCGGCGCGGCCAGTGAGCCCGCAAAGCCGCAGGGACCGCCCGAACCGCCCGAGTTCCATTTCTCCGCGCGGATGCCCATCATCAACGCGCAAGATCTCGAGGTCGTCAAGCTGACGGCCTTGTTCGTCGCCCGACGAGGCAAATCGTTCATGACGGCGCTGTCGCAGCGCGAAGCGCGCAACTTCCAATTCGACTTCCTCCGCCCGCAACACAGCTTGTACTCGTACTTCACGCGACTAGTGGACCAGTACATCATCCTCCTCCGCGCCGAGGGCATCGACGCCGCGACAACGGAGCAGAGACGCATCGCGGATCTGGAGCGCAACACGCAGAACAAGTGGCACATGCTCGAGCGGGCCAAGCAGCGCGCGGAGTGGGCCAAATACCAGGAGCAGCAGAAGCAGAAGAAGGAGGAAGCGGAGGAGCAGGAGCGGATCGCTTACGCGGAGATCGACTGGCACGATTTCGTGGTGGTCGAAACGGTGCTCTTCACGGACACGGACGATCAGATCGAGCTGCCGCCGCCGACCTCGCTCAACGACCTGCAGTCGGCCTCGCTAGAGCAGAAGGCGATGATGTCGCTCAACCCGCTGCGCATCGAAGAGGCCATGCCCACCGACTTCGGCGCCGAAACCTACTACAACGCCTACCCGCACCCGCACTTCCCCGAACAGGTCTCGCAGCCCTTCGTCCCCGAGCCCACCCCAGCCCCCCCGGTCAACCCTGTCGCCGGGCCCGTCTTCCCCCCGCACGTCGGCCTCCCCTTACCGATTGCGCCGCCGCGGCCCACGGCCCCGGCCTCAGCCTTCTCAGCCGCCCACCAGGAAGAAGAGCGACGGATTCGCGAACGCATGGAAGCACGCGACCAAGCCGCGGCGCTCAAAGCCAGTCAGCAGCAGCATCAACAACAACAACAACAACAACAACAACCACCGATGCGCATCCGTCAGGATTACGTTCCTCGCGCACAGGCCCGCCGCCAGGGCGCCAGCGGCGCCACAGCGCTGTGTCCGAACTGCCACCAGCAGATCCCCGTCGCCGAGCTGGAGCAGCACATGCGCATTGAGTTGCTCGACCCGCGCTGGAAGGAGCAGCGCGCCAAGGCCGAGTCCCGCAGCGCCACGACGAACCTGTCGACCGCGGACGTCGTCAACAACCTTAAGCGTCTGGCCAGCCAACGCAGCGACGTTTTCGACGCGTCGACCGCTAACGGCGCCGCCGCACCTACCGCCGCCGAGGACGACGCCCGCCGGAAGAAGATGGCCTACGAAGGTGCGCACGGGCAGGGTCCCGTCCCCGTCGGGCCCATGGGTGGTCCACCCAACCCGCAGACCATGAGCGTGGAGGAGCAGATCCGCCGGATCCACGAGCGACAGGGCGGTATGCATCGGTAGACGAGGGTACCTTCACGGGAAGAAGGAGACGTATCTTCGGGGTCGTTTTCCAGAGTTGTTGATTCGCTTACACTGGGTATGGTATAGCGCATTGGGGAAATTCGCGGTCTTTCTTTTTTTTTTTCTCTCAAATTTGTTTCATCCATGGAGGGCGTTATCAGTTTATTCTTGCTGCACCTTTTTCATCCTCTTATTGGAGTATGTATAACTTAACTCACCGGTCTTTTATGGATGCAAAGACACGGAACGCAACGGCTATCCGCTTCATGCTATAACATGTCGTGATCACCCCGTTTCTGATGCAAATCACATCTAGCTACGTTTCTCAGATGCAGGGACTAGACAAAGCCCTGATTATTCCAGGTGAAAGGTGAAATCATCATAGATTTTAAATATGTGCATGTGAAGGCATATCAAACCTGCGCTTCCGGTATCATCCATCCCATATATCATACCATCCTGCCACCTCGTATGTCGAATGGTGTCGAGTACCCACAAAAACGTTCGAAGCGAAGAAGCAAAGAAGACAAAAGCTGGGGAAAGTAGAAAGAGAACAATCTTAAATATGAAGGTGGAAACAGTAGAAAAAATCAAACTTAAATGCAATGTCATGGATCGTCCGCGGCGCCTCCTGGCGACCTCGAAGTTTGCGCTCAGCAAGATAAAGAGAAAAGCAAAGATATGAACTGGTGAGCAAGACAAAGAACGTAAAAAGAAGCGAACAAGGGTGATTATTTATACAAGGGTGAAGCAAATACAGCTATAATTAAGAATACATACCATGGGCTGCGCTTGTTCCGGATTATGCCTGAGGTGCAAAACGACGGGATCGGTGAGTGATTAAGCAAGCAGCCACACGAGAAAGATATGGTGTGTGAAGCGAAGAGAAAGATATATAGCAATTGGATATCGAAACAGGAGGCTCTGAAACGCGAGAATGGAAGGTCGACGACAATCATGTATGTCTATTGTCGATGTATCGAAAGGTCTTGAGATATGATGGGTGCAATGAATTAGCAAACTCCACTCTTCGATGCAGGGTGGTCGATATGCACAGGAGGTTGTTCTTCGCTTTCGTCAATGTGGGCAATTTGGACAATAGTCGATGGCCCATCGATTTGTTCGTGTGTATCATGGAATAATTTTTCCTGGTCTTCAGTATCCGTACCCTCGTCAGGCACCGATACAGTCACGGGGATTTCAACGTCCGAGGGAGCAGACACGAATGGGTCCTCGTTCAAGGAGGTCTTTTCCTGCTGCTCGTTGTCCGACTCGTCGATGTTTCGTACTTGTAGGCTTTCATCCTCAGTCTCGCGCGTAAGATCGGGCAGGCTTCCTTCTGGTCCGTCGGCAATCGTCTCCAGGGGCATCTCCGCGGCGCTTGAGAAACTCTCGTGGTGTGCGTGGTGTCGGTGTGACTGGTTGAACAATGGAATGATGCCGCCACCGATTCGGGACCAAAACATTCTTTCCCTCAATCTGATGGTTTCATCCCATGCGTCCTTTTCCTCATCCGCATCCCCAATACGGACATGTCCATCAAGAATCAAACGGAGATATCCCGTAAACTCGCAACATGAGCGCACCTTCTCCAGACAAAGCACACAAAGCGGGTAGCGCTGGGCAGTCTCGTTATCGGATGTGCGGAAGCGATGAGTCCTCTCGTTGACAGAGCCAGTCCTGCGTTCCCCACAGAGCGAGCATGGGAACTCATATCTTTTGGCAGACGAAGGCATGGGCTCAACCAACAGGCTTCCCTCACAAATTCCGCCCAGAACAGACCGCCGAGTTAACCATGAAATCCCTGGGGCGGCATCCAGTCGCAATGTTGGCTCAATATCTTCCACGACCACCCGCTTGTAGAAACGCGTTTCCTTCAAAGGAATATGAGAGGTAACAGGTTGAGGAGAAGACACGCTCCCACTAGGTGAATGCGTGTTGGATTTGGCAGGTGATGAAGATGCAGAACCGAAACCGCTGGTGCTCAGACTAGCTAAGCTCATAACATTCAAGCCAGCATAAGACCCGCTGGTGGCGCGACTCGGCGGCTTGGACAATTTGGACGTAGTGAACAATTCTCGGAAATCCTCATATGCTTGGATATCAGTGCGACAGACAGCTTTGATCAAGTGTGGAAAGCTGGTGCATGGACCCGGGGTCAATTCTTCTATGGGAATGATATCTTCCGCGACATCTGGGCTCTCAATGTTTTTCCTGATTGAAGGAGGGCGTAGGGGTGCAGCAGGAGAAGACGGCGCAGTCGAAATGATGGTGCGAGCATCAGCGTCGTCTTTAGTGATATTCATTCCTTGCAAAACAGATTTCAGTTCAGCCAATTGCTCCTGATGCGATGCGAGAAGTGCTTCGGTATCCTTGACCTGAGCACGTAATTGCTCATTTTTCTTTTCCACCGCTTCACGCTCAAGCTTGGCAGCTGCGACCATCTGCAATCGAACAAACATGTCAGTGCATGGCGCGAAATAGTGACATGGATTCTCAAAAACTGACCTTGTTGGCCTCCTCGAACAAAGCGGCAGTCAAAGTTTCGAGTTCTTGTTCGATGCCCTTCTTTTCCTTCTCTGCGAGCGCGCGCTGAGCCTTCTCTTCTGCCAAAGCGGCCTTCAGGCGCAACATCTCGTAGTCGACATCGGATTTCTTGATTACAACCTCCTGGTCAATGTCGCGTCGGTATTTTTCGTTCTCGGACTCGAGAATGCGAATCCTGCTCTGGGCCTGCTCCAATTCCTGACGGGTGGCGACTAAGCTATCGTCTAACGTGGTTTGGTTGTTGATCGCTTGGACAAGCTTGACGCTCAAGGCGGCGACTTCGTTGCTGAGATCGGGGTGGTGCGACTGTGTGGAAGAAGCGGTTTCCGAGCTTTCCGTGCTGCCTGTAAGTCTCGGATCTTTGAGGGTATTAAAGTTGCTGTCTGGAAAATTCCCAACACTGGACGAACGGACTCCAGGAGCTGGTTTCTCGGTAACAATTTCCGACAGATCGTTTGTAGATCGCGCTTTGGTGATGGTTCTGTCCGGGGACAGCGACCTGTTCTCGGAGGAGAGAGATCGTCTGTGGCTGGTGGGCCGCGGAAGCATTGTGGAAGGTGAGAGGAAATTATGACGCGAGTAGTAAGTATGAAAGGCAATAAAACTGTTCCAGACAGTTAGCGATGGGTGTGTGAAATTAGCGAAATGCTAAACAGCTTGAGGGGACATACTCGGCCATGGTGATAAGCGAAGCTGCGGGTCGGGCTATTGAAGATAGATGGGGTATTACAACGAAGGCGAGGCGGGTCTCACAACCACGTATATAGCAGGTTCGAGTCTTCCCATCTGCAACTCCTCACAGATTCAAAAGGGTGTTATCAAGATCTATGCATGGGACAATTCAAGCAGGGGGCAAGAGTGATGTAACGTCCCCGCCAGCGCGCAGCCTGGAGAGAATTCAACCGGTCGAGCCACGACGCATTGAGTGCGACGGAAAGGAAGGAATGAGGATTCAGAGACAGAGCAAGAATCACTGAATGAAAGAGGGCAATGAGGGAGTGTACGAAGAAACAACAAGTGAATGAGAGTGGGTAGAAGCAGAGGGAGGGGGGAGGACGAAAGGTAGGATAGACTGGAGCAGATGACGATAGAGGCGGATCGGGGAATCAGGGCGTGACCAAAGGAAGGGAGTGGATATTAGAGTCGCGGCTGTTTACCCCTCTTTTACTCCAGGTGGGTGATTGATGTTGTTGGTTCGTGTCGAGGGATCAAAGAAGAGGGGAAAAAAGAAAGAGAAAAGGTAAATTGGGTTTAGAAACTGATATTGATTAAGGATTAGTTAGTGGGAGGAGGAAGTGTTTGAACTTTGTGAGTAAGAACGGAGTACGGGATTGTAGACTGACTGACTGACTGACAGTGACTGCAGAACAGCACACAGCAAGCACAGAGTCGATACCGTTCTTTACCAGTATCGCCGCCTGTGGTCAGGCGGCCATGCGAGGATTTCACGCCGCAATTAGCTCGGTGGCGGGTAATGGAATATCTTACGCTAAGGACGGCGAATACGCGGAGATACGTCTCCCCTGCCAATCACACCTTCAGGCGCTTAAAGCAACTCCGGTTGGGCAAAGTCGATCGCTTTCAGTGGTCGATGATTGGCACTTGTCGCGTCAGGCCGATATTGTTCTGTTCGCCCGCCATCAGTGAAGCTTAGCCAGAAGACCAGGTAGGAAGGTCATCTAGGTAGATAGACCTGGAGGAAAAAGAGCCAGTAAGTCAAGGATGAAAGAGATACTTACACTTCCACTTGAAAAGACCCTCAATGCCTGGATACGAATCCGTCGATACCACTACCTATCTTCTTCGATCTTCAATGTATCCTTGACTTATAAATAACTCAAAGCCACGTTCCCTTCTCGGCTTTCTCGGTTCCCGCTCCGAGGGTGATGATCTTGATACAGTACAGACCAGCGTCTCGTAAAGGGACACCGGACTGAGTGGCTGGACCAGGGGATTTCGCACTGCCTCTTTCTTCGTCCCCTTCCGCTCCCTCTCGCCCTGGAAACCCTAGATAAATGCAATTGACGGACTGCACCCAAAAAAAATCGGAGATCCATCATAATGGTTGAAATCGCGCCGGGTTGCTTGGATTCTAGCTCGGCCCTATCGGACAATCTCAGCCTAATGCAGTCGGGTTGTCAGTGCTCGGTGAACTGAGGACGACTCTGGGCTTGGCAGTGGAGGGCAAATACGCGCCGCAACTTATCTATCTAGCCAGATACAGCAACAAGGGAATTATCGGCTTCTGAGACATTGGAACCTTAACTGATCCTTTGCTGAGGCTCTGATCTGCAGAACCCAGCTGTCACTCGACTGGAAAAAGCCATAGAGAGGCAATGGGGGTTGAATTGCGGTGTGATTGTCCCGACCTGGCGGATTGAAGCTGCATCCCTTCCCGCATAGTATTGATTGCCTGTTGGGGAAAAGATGGCCTGGATGCCTCATGGCGCCCCGCCGGGCGGGTGGCCTTTATGCCTGAGGCACTACACTACCATAAGGTGGGGTTGAAACTTCCATCAATAGCAGATGCATGGCCGGTTTCCGATCATCCCACGGTGCATAACGTCTCCATCTTTGAGTTCAATTTCAGACAACTTGACTCCAGGAACTCATTGCAGATCTCGTCTGGGCTCAATCTCTAGTGAATTTCCCCGCGAAGACCGCATCGATCAAGCAGAACCCCTTTCACAGACCGTCGATCAACGAGACCAGCAATAACCATGGCCGATGCAGAGTTGGAAGAGGTCAGTGAACATTTCTCAGGATGCAGCCTTTTACCTCCCCAGCTATCGCCTTTATCGCTTCTCTCGTTCTGCTCCCTCAGCATATCATTCTCCGACCCGAGACTCAGACATGTAACAGATCAGACGAGCCCGCATGGCTCAGCTCCAGCAGCAGAGCGGTGGTGCACGCGGCGGGCCAGGTGACAACCAAGAAGATCAGAGAAAGTGAGCACTCCTTGATCTTGTTCCGGTGCTTAGTTCTCCCAATAACTGACTCTTGCCTAGACAAGCTGAAGGTATGCGTTATAACAACCCCACATACAATCTCGACATGTGAAGAGCGCCAACCTGGAGCAACCTCCGCGCCGCATCTTCTTCCCCCGTCCAACTCAACCACCTGCTGACTCTAACCCCTTTACCAGCCGAACGCCGTTCCTCCATTCTGAACCAGATCCTCGAACCCGAAGCCGCTGACCGCCTGGGCCGCATTCGCCTGGTCAAGGAATCGCGCGCAATGGATGTGGAAAACCGCCTGATCATGCTCGCACAGACCGGCCAGTTGCGCCAGAAGGTGTCGGAGGACCAGCTCAAGCAGCTGCTCAACGCCATGGCCGAGAACCAGCGCAAGGACGAGGAGGAGCATAAGATTGTGATCAACCGGCGCAAAGGCGGCTGGGATGACGACGACGACCTGCTGGACTTGTAAATTGACAACAAATTGTTGAACTGTTATTAGCGAGAGACGTGCGACGTCCGCAGGTGATGATGGTCATTTGCAGTCTTTTTATGATACCTTCCGCTTGCTCTCTTTCTTCCTCCTTCTCCCACGCTTCATACTTGGATTACCGGTTCTGCGCCATCGCTAAAGTATGCCTCAATGTGCAATACGCATTTTCCATCTTCTAGGTCTGTAGGCCCGGTTTACAGAATATGGAAAGAGTCATGTCACAGTCTCCGTCACACGACTCAAGTGCTCTCCACGAAGCCAGTCACCCCGCACCCAGCCAGAAAGACTTATACTGTAAAAGACATAAAACAGTATATCCATGCCATGCAATACATATAATATACAGGAGATAACCACTACTTCCCGACCCAAGACACCCGCATCACCCAACTACAGCCCAGCCTTGGCAGCGGCGGCCTCCTTCTCCCTCTTCTTCTGCAACCGAATCATCCTCCGTATTTCCCTCATATCCGGCGGCCTTTCAATACCCAGTTCCTCCCTCAACTCACCAACATCCTTCTCAAGAATCTTCTCCCAGTAAACATTAATCAACTCCTTACTCTTCAACCCACTCCGCACGGCCCAAGGCAAGTAGATTTTGAACAACCGCTCCCGCTCAGCGGGCTTCAACCGCACAGAGGCAAACAGACTCAGACCCGTCATGGGGATGAGGGTATTCAGGAACTCGAAGGCCTTGAGCGCCAGCTCGCCCTCGACGAAGATGGGCAGGCCCGTGACCGCGTGGTAGAAGTCGTGGCACTCGCGGTACCGCTGCATGACGTACGCGCACTCCGGGTCGTCGATGTACTGCACGTTGTCGCGCGTATCCGGCGACACGCCCTCGCGGTCCAGCCACGTCGCGTACGTCCGCCCCACGGTGTTCTCCGGTAAAGTGCGCAGGTACGGTAGTTGGAGCGTCTGCGAGGTGATGCGCGGCCGGTCGCGCAGGATCTGTCGGCCGGTCCGGTCGGAGAGCATCGCGTCGCGGAGGCGATAGATGAAGTACGGTGTTGCGGTTGCTTCGCCGCAGGTGGCGATTAGGTCTGTGGGTTTTGGGGGTGGTTAGTGGGGGTGCTTGTGGTTCGGGGTGGAAAGTGAGGATTGCGGAGGGAGGGAAAGGAACAGCCTCTCGAAAGATTGATAAGTGAAGACCCGGGGTAAGAACGCACCTGCTCTTCGTGGATTGATGAGAGCCCCGAACGCTGACCCCACAGCCAACGCTCCGCGCTCGACGAAGGTCAATGGCACATGGCCGGGATAGTTGGGCGGAGGACGGTTCCAGGCGGAGAAGGACCGCGCGCAGCGAGACTGGAGGGGAACAGGAGCTGCTATTGTTGCTGTGGCGAGGAGGTTCAGTTCTCGTGCACAGAGTGCGGCGCTGCGCTTCCCCAGGACAGACATATTTGGACACTACGGCGTACCGGACACAAGTCTTCGTGGGACAATTGATCGAGAGTCGGAGGACGATCTATGCAAGTGGTACGATTTCGGGGAGACTCCGGATAGCGCGAGTGGTCGGTCTGGCAGGCCGTACCGACTGATAAAAGATCGATAAGATAAAATCGGCCGATTCGTTATCGCAAGTGGGACATTGATTGATATTTGCGATGCACTCAATTGCGGCCATTGCGACATTGACTGCACAGAAGCTCCAGCTTTGAATATAGCAAGTTTCACTACTGGTCGATAAATATACACCCACTCTCTAAATCTATTTTCATCCAACAATCACACCCGTACACGCAGCCCAACCCGCGCAAAATGAAACCCACCTGGTGGCCCGGCGAGCAGCATGAAGCCTTCACGGAATGGGCTCTGTCGCAAGGTGTCATTGCCAACGGTGTCAGTCCCGCACGATTCCCAGGTAGAGGCCTAGGCATGATCGCCACGCGGCGCATAGAAGTACGACAAGCACTAACCCACCGATCCCCCAGCGCGTGCGCAAACATAACTACAAGCCAGTCATATACTAACGCAAGCACAACCCTCACCACCATTAGAAAGACGAGGCAATCGTAACAGTGCCCCACGAAGCAATGCTCACCCCCTCACGCATTCCGTCCTCTTTCTCCAGCAGACTCCCCGAAGGCACCCCGACGCACGCACTGTACGCCGCCTATCTCACCAACGGCGACAGCGCCGACCTCGAGCCCTACGACCTCTGGCGACGCACCTGGCCCACCCGCGCAGACTTCGAAGCATGCATGCCAATCCTCTGGACTGAAGCGCCACCGCACGAGGGTAATTCCGAGTCATCGTTTTCACCTTCTTCACCTTATCACAACAGGACCTCAATCCCAGAACTCCTCCCGCCCTCGATCTCCGGCCAATGGAGCACGATCCCCCCGCAACGCTGCGCCCACGACTACGAAACCACCCACCAGAACCTCCTCGCACAGCAACAACAACGTCTGCGCCGGGACTGGGACATTGTCATTTCCGCATTTCCAAACACGGAGTGGGAGCGGTTCTCATATCACTGGCTGATCGTCAACACGAGGAGCTTTTACTATCTGCTGCCCGGCCAGGAGGCGCCGGAGGATCGGAACGATGCGATGGCCCTGCTGCCTTTTGCGGACTACTTCAATCACTCGGATGTAGCGGTACGTACATGATTCAAGATCAGATACTTCTGTTGTGGGTTTGGCTGACTAGGGCTCTTACGCAGTGTAATGTCAAATTCGATGGGCAAAATTATGTCTTTCGGGCTGCTAAGGAGTATGGTACGGTGACGTCCTTGCATCGAATCTCGATAGGGCTTGGTTGTTTGTTTACAGGAGTGGGTCCGGATATACTGACTCTGTGATGCTGCAGATGAAGGCGAGGAGATCTATATGAGTTACGGTCCTCATCCGAATGATTTTCTGTTTACCGAATGTGAGTGTCACATCATGCTATACGCAACTCTACTTCCTAGTAATCTAACTCGTCCTAGATGGGTTCTACCTGGAGGAGAACGAATCTGAAACATTATATCTCGATACCATTATATTCAAGGATGTTGACCCCGCGTTGCAAGAGGAACTCGAGTTCCATCAGTACCTGGGGTATGTAAATTGCTCATGCTTGTACTTATAATGCACTTGCTAACGACTTGTTTGCCAATCAGAAACTACCAATTGACTGCCAGTGGCGTCTGCTATCGGACTGAGATAGCCGCTTCCATGACGTATATGACGCTCAAGGACTGGCAGAATCATGTCCTCGGCTACTCGATGAAAGGGGTGGACGAAGAGAAGTCGGCAAGCGTGATCCGGAACTGGATCAACACGTATATCGGTGAGGCAGACACGACGATCCGCCATCTGGAGAGTCTTCCATCCGCCGGAGACGACCAGTTGCGGCCAGAAATGGCCCAGATGCTCCTCACACGGTGGAAACAGATTAGACACATCTGCCTTAGAGCTCTAGATGCGATTCCCTGCTAAAATGTAGATACATAACTGAAAGGGTATATGGTACATTGACTGGGGCCTGGGACTTCGTCCGGTCTATTCGGAATTTTTGAAATCTTCGGAGTTTTTCCGGAACGCGGGGAACATTCGAGGAGTTTGAGCGGTGGGAACATCGATGGGGATGGCGGAGGCTTCCCTCTGCTTGATCTCATATGATTTTCCGAGAATCAAATGCTTGATCATGTAATTCATCGCAGGACTAAGACCAAGCTCTTCGCCCCTTCGCACGATGTAGCCGTTCAGGTATTCGATCTCAGTTGTCCTGCGGTGATGGACATCTTGAGACATAGTACTCGTTTCATCGGCGGTCCTATCCGCAAGTTGAGTGACCATACGACGCAAGCGTTCCGGGCTAAAGCGGGCCTCAACACCTGGAACTGACTGGATCTCAGGCAGAGCACAGATCACACTCGAGATTTCCAAGAGGAGCAGCCGCATAACGCGGGTGATACTGTAGTTGTACAGAATATCGCCGTTTTTGACCTGCATGAGAGCAGTCAATGGGAGAAGAACGCACTGGATGGCAAGCTTCTCCAGCTGATGTAACAGGAGATCGGTCGGAGATGCCGCAGTAGCAACAAGTGGCGCGGTGTTGGTCAAGGTGTGCAATAAGTACTTGGCAGTGGGAGGCCAAAGCCCCGAATGCATCTTCTCAGCCTCAGCCTGGGATAGCCCGGCTTCCAGCGGGAACCCCAAGATGGTTGATCCCACATCAACGTGATCGAATTGATAACCGCGCTTACGGCGATGGATATCGTGAGTGACGAGCCCTTGCATGTAGCACGGGCGCGTCTTGGAGTCGGGGAAGATCTTGTCATTGATTTCCTCCAGTAGACCCATTCCGTTTGAGAGAATCAAAACTGTCGAGTCGGGCGTCAAGCGATCCTTGACGGAATCCACGGCCGCAACAGTCATTGATGCTGGGCCGGCAACAATCAAACATTCAATTTCCCGGTCATCGTGTTCAGATTTCAGGGTTTCCTCGAGCTCAAATTCCCCTTCAAGGGATACGTCGGCAAACTCGGGCTCAGGGGGCCTGTCCTCGGCCTCGTCGACCTCGTCGGCCTCGTATGGGATTGAGTACCAGGTCTTGTTCTCTAGGACGTTGACATCGAAGCCGGTTCGGATGTCCTCCAATCCATTCGCTTGCAAACTTATGGACTGTCGCGCATCCTTCCAGGAGTGGTAGACGGCGGGAGAATGCATCATCAAGGTGATGGGCGGTACAGACGGTCGACGCGCTAAAGAGTGAGCGACAAATAACGCTGCATTTCCCATACCCAAGATATGTATGCGCCCAGAGAGCCGGGCTTTTCCACTGTCCTTGGACGCTTCCTCCGCCTCCTGAGCCCAGGTCTCCATAAAGCGACTGATAGCACCCTGCCGTGCTCTACGTGCAGAGACATAGCATGATTTGTACAACTCAGTCCGCCAGAGCGGACTGCGCCCAAGTATGTACGACACTTTGGGAAGTCGCCGCAGAGCAGCGGTCTTGACAAGCGGGGATGTACCCTCTGTGAAGCAGTCGCCTTTCGTCCCTTAACAGGGTAATGCCATAAGCTTTGAGCGATCACCACCAGAGATCTTCAGTCATAACAAACGAGCCGTTCAATGAGTTTTCGTGGAGATCGATCGGCCAGGTGAAAGATCCGATGAAGCAAGAAGAGGCGGACTTTCCAGCTCGCCACCGCCTTAGACACCGCCTTGAGATAAAAAATCGCCCCGTATCGGCCCAGATTTTCGGAAATCTTCCTTTCATCACGCAAAGAATCACGCGAAATATGGACGCGACGGATCTACTTCCGCTGCTTGAGCAGCTGGACGATAATATCGATGATCTTCAAGAGATCCTCCAGCCTGTGTTGGATAGCTCCGTCGTGAAAGCGTCCAACAACCTCCCAGTACTGGACAAAGCCAAGTTCCATGTCTTAGTCACCTATGCCTTGGAATCTCTGATCTTCTGTAGGTTATCGCTTCCCCATTAATAGCTCGACGTCCACTGATTTTTGATAGCTTGGTTGCGCCTGCACGGTGCCAACGCCAAGGAACACCCGGTTTTCCGAGAGCTGACGCGAGTAAAACAATACTTCGAGAAGATCAAAGAACTGGAAACGGAACCCGAGCAGCGCACTCTCAAGCTCGATAAAGCAGCTGCCGCTCGCTTCATCAAGCACGGTCTTGTATGTTTACATCATGCGCCAACAGTAACGTCAGCATTGGAGCACTAATCGGATACCAGGCTGGAAACGATAAGATTGATCTAGAGCGCAAGGAACAGGAAGCGAAGGAAAAAGCGCGCGCACACCTCAAGGCATCACTATTGGCTAAAAAAGCATCTCCAGCCTCCGACTCCGCGCTCAAAAATGCCACCGACGATTCCGAATCCGAGTCAAATGCTGAAAGCGATGAAGAGGCCGCCAAACCCGCGAAGACTACCCAAAAGACCAAGAAAAAGCAACCCAGTGACGACAAGAAAAAGAGCAAGGACAAGCAACGGAAGAAGCTGAACAAAGAAGAGCGCAAAGAAGTCACGAAGGACCGGAGGAAGAAGAAGGGTGACATGCGCAAAGCGAAGAATCTCAAATGAGGTAGCCAACGGTCTTCAACAGTGGCATGACTCGACATTATGGTCGGCTGGTCCGCCTCATGTGGTCAAGCACTATCTGGCCGAACAGTCACAGCAGGCACCGGGAACCTCTACTTTATGGCAGTGTCGCATAAGGGTTCGTTTCCAGGGTGCCATCTTCCTCTCTGCGAACGGAGTTCTCAGCGCATACAACATGAGTACACTAGGAGGACACAGCGACACCCCCCTCTCAAGCCTTCTCTTGACCGAACTGTGTGAGGTGCGAGGCCGAACGAGTGTTTTATTTCTGATTGTTGCGCGGGTCGGCATCTTGCCTTCTCCAGCACGCCAGTGGACTCGCTCGGCGCGGAGCTTGGACTCTTCTATGACCTCCTGCAAGGTTCCACACCATCTAGGCAGTGGCAACAGTGATATTAATCCGATTACGGAAGTGAAAATGGAGCATGCTCAGCCTTGTGGATCATAGCCATGCTGGCGGTGACTCACGGGGAGTATCAACCGGAGATAAGGGTGTTGAAGGGATGGATAACTCCGTATAGCGGCAATGATCAAAAAATACCAGTCGGTTCTGTCTCCTTTCAACCCCTCCTACCACTCGTAGAACAGGATAATAATCCGTAACTGCGTTCATCATGTGCTACAAACAAGTGATTGCCCACAGCCTCAGTTCTGGCGCCTGAATGCAATCCATAAAAGGGTTTGAAGCAAACCAAACAAACACAGACGTCGAACTGCCGGACCGGAAGCTGACAAAACAGCCGGCCGCACCAATCACGAGTGGCGAAATAGGCACAGCATCGGAGTGATCGAACTTTCTCCGCCCGACGGTTCGAGCTTGTTCTTTTTCTATAAGACAATCCCCCCAACTCCTCCTTCCCCAACACATACTTGTGCCATCAAACACACATCAACCACACCCTCAACTCAACCCCCCCCAACAACACAAATCACAAATCACCATGCCTCGTCAACGCCGTGGTGCCGCTCCCACCCCCGCGCGCAGCGCTCCCACCAGACCTACCGCCGCCCCGGCCAGACCGGCCGCTCCTGTCCAGCAGCAGCACAGCCAGCCTCACTCGACCTCCGCGCACCCCCCGGCCGCTGCTCCGGCCGCTGCTCCTCCCACGCCCATGGCCGCTCCCCAGAGCTCCGGCCCAGGTCTCTTCGGCCAGATGGCCTCCACAGCAGCGTAAGTCGCTTCGACGCGCCCTTACCACTCAGTTCCCTCCCTCGCCTCTCCCCTCGCACGTCTCTCCCTCAAAACCCAAAACTAACCAACGGACAGTGGTGTAGCCGTCGGCTCCTCGATCGGCCACGCGATCGGCGGCTTCTTCAGCGGTGGCGGCTCCAGCGCACCCGCCGAGTCCGCAGAGGCGGCCGCGCCCCCTGCCCAGGCTCAGCCCATGGACAACGGCCTCTGGGCCGGCAACGCCACCAACAGCTCGTGGGAGAACCCCGCCTGCGCCACCGACGTCCAGAACTTCCGCAAGTGCATGGATGAGAACCAGGGTAACATGTCTATCTGTGGGTGGTATTTGGATCAGCTGGTACGTTTTTCTTCCCTATGTGGTTGGATGGGTGAGAGAGATGAAGTGAGAGAAGCAAAGAAGAAAGGTTGCTAATATGGGTTTTTCGGTGATTATAGAAGGCCTGCCAGGCTGCTGCTAAGCAGTACTAGATTATTCCCACTCATCAGATTCCATCTCTGTGTTGATGGGTTTTGACGTGGATCTATGCTGTGTTTATTTTCAACGGAAATTGAAAAGAGAAATAATCTATACAATACATACCCCAACGTCTCCTGCGACTGGTTTCTCTGTTTCTGAGTGCTAGGGCAGGGGTGTTTTATTTTACTATATGGAATCGAATCAAATCCAAGCTCTCGTCTCAATCCGAGGCAGGGTCTGTGATGATGGTGGTGGATGGCTGGGATATGCCATCTGCTTGTTTTTTGCATAGCGGCGAAGGACTCCCTCGACGAACGAATTTTATCATACCTACCACTACACTATTCTTGTATATCTAGACCAATGATCATAAAGCCATTAGGCACAACCAAAAAAAAAATAGAAATATCTTCACTCTTCAAAGTGCTAGTCACTGTAGACTCGGATTTAGATGTGAAAGAATGACCCGGGCAAACTAGATAGGGCTATCGCTATACTACATACATGGAAGCAAGTGGTCCAATTTCAAGCTCAGCTCAAATCGCAATGTACATTTTCATCGTCGATCCGTGTCATCCTTGCGTGGTTGGAAGTTTAGCTGCAGCCTAGTATCAGTATCTCATGCTATGTCACAACGAGGACAATAAGGGCAGACAGAGTAGAACATACCTGATTCCCGTTGTAGAACTGGTTATTCTCCTGCTCGTCGCGGTGGTCTCTCAATGTCCGGATGATCGGACCTCGGCTCGCGGTGGTGGCGGGTCGTGCCCTTTGTCCTGCATCCCTGGTCGAGGAGATGCTCGGAGAGGATTGTCCGGTCTGCGAGGTCGTCGGGTTCTGAGGGGTGGATCCATAGCCCAGGAACGAGCCAACAAGGCCCGCCGCGGTGCCCACGGCTGAGGAGAGCAGCCCGTACGCGGAGGATGCAGCGCGAACGGGAAGGCTGGACCCGGCTGCGGAGTAGGCATCAGTGTATGTGCTGATGGGAACCATGACCAGGTTCGCGGTCGAGCCGAGACCAAGCTCGGCGAGAGTCTGCTCTTCGTCGGCTATAGTCAGGGTGCGGTTCGGGAGGGGTGTGAGGATGTGCTTGAGGTTGTAGGGTCGCTTTTCCTCCAGCATCTGGGTGTCGAGCCACGGGCGGACATCTGCGCGGATGGTCTGCGATGGGGAGAAGCTCGAGCGGACGGAGCTGCCGTCGAAGAGGCGAACTTGGAGACGGTATTGCTTCGGAGGCGAGGGGGGCTGGGTTGGAAGGACTTGGGGCTTAGGGGATGGAGGCGCGGGTTTGGGAGTGGAGGTGGCTGGCTTTGATGGTGTTTTGCGGGGAAGCTGATCTGGGATGATAGGCTTGCTGGTTTCCTTAGGCGTTGGGGTGGGCTTCTTCTGTATCGCGGCCGGTTTGGTAGACTGGGATATTCGTGCGTCCTCGACTCTCTTCTTGCCCTCGCGTATGCTAGATTCGCGGGTTTGATCCGCAACAGGGCTTGACGTCGAAGGTGAAGCCGTCAACGGTTCCGCTGCAGATAAGGTTGCGACAGGCGCAGCAGGCGTGGGCGCAGGAGCTGTGGACGCAGGCACGATAGGCTGACCCGCAGCACCCTCCGTGGTACTATCAGACGTGCTCGTCAGGTCCGGTTGAGCAGCTGCTTTACTCTCATCCAGTTTGGCGGTAAGGCGACTGCGAAAGTCCTCCTTGGATAGCTCTGGCACGAGGTAGTCGCACAACATGCCATTCCTGCAAGACAATCAGCAGCCAAGCATAGCTTTGAAATCCACTACTCCACCGCACGTACTTTATAACAACAACAGTCGGGAACTTGACAATCGGGCAGAAGGAGGTCAGAAAGCCAGCTTCCTGACTATCCTTGGCGATGCGCAAGAGGACAGCTCTCGTCTCGAGCAGCCGGGAGAACTAAACCGTGAGCGAACTGCCATGTAGATCAGGAGCAGCTGAGACAGCGAATGATTACCTCCTCATCTCCTGTGAAGTAATCGTCCTCCCAAGTCGAGCTCGTCTGCTCATCGTCTGGTCGACCAAGATTAGCTCCACATACCAAATACGTAGTCGGAAGTGCCAGCCAGCCAGCTGGATTGCGGAGAAGCGACAGCTGCGACGAACAATGAAAGGCAACGAACCTCGAACGAAACACACGACAGCCTTAGCCTGGCTGACAGCCAAGGCAATTCCCTCTTGTAGACTCCCCGAGTAGAACATGATTAGAGATATGAATAATGAACACAGCACCACAAGCACCAAAACGAACAACAAACAAGTGGGAGGGAGGATCGGAGCGGAGAAGCACGAGACTAAACCAAGTAATGTAATCGATAAGGCGGGAAGACAAACACCGCCGCCGGCCGGCGTCTCGTCTCCCGCCGCGGAGGTTCGGTTCCTTCACTTCCTTTTCCTCTCTCCGTACGTACACTCTCTACCACCACCACCAAGCATATCCCTACACCCTCAAGCCAATTGCTCGGGTCTTGAATTGCCAGAATGCGGTCCCTAATCTCCGCGCTCCACCGGACCGCCGCATCCATACGAACTTCCACCCCCTCCTCCTCCTTCTCTATCTTCCACACCCGCCGCAACCCCAAAACGCTCGACTCAATCTGCCCCAGATGCCGCATTCAACAGACCCGATCCTACAGTCGGCAGTTAGCAGACGACCCAGCCTGGCTCAGCGTGGTCGACAACCCGGCGAAGATCGTCCGAACAGGCAATAAGCATGGACCGGGGCTGATTATTCTAGGTGAGCTCCCTACCACACTACATACATCTCTACCCAACGGGCCCCCCCTCCTTCAATCCCCCCTCTCCCCAGCCCAGTCCCCTCATCTCAGTCAACCCAACCCAACTAATCCCAAAAAAACAGCCCTAATCCCAATAATCTCCTTCGGCCTGGGCACCTGGCAAATCCAGCGGCTAGACCGCAAAACGAAGATGATCGCGACCTTCGAAGACCGGCTCGTCAAGCCGCCACTGCCACTACCGCCGCGGATCGACCCAGACGCGATCTCGGAGTTCGACTACCGGCGCGTCTACACGACAGGCCGGTTCCGACACGACCAGGAGATGCTCGTGGGACCGCGCATGCACGACGGCAAGGACGGGTTCTTCGTGGTGACGCCGCTGGAGCGCGGGGAGGGCGAGTCGACCATCCTTGTGAATCGAGGGTGGATCTCGCGGAAGCAGAAGGATCAGAAGGTGCGCGATCAGGAGGGGGAGAGGGGTGGCGCTGCTGCCCTGCCGCGCGGGGAGGTCGTGGTTGAGGGGCTGCTGCGGGAGCCCTGGAAGAAGAATATGTTCACCCCGGATAATGTGCCGCAGGAGGGGAAGTTCTATTTCCCCGATATTCAGCAGATGGCTGAGCTGACCGGGAGTCAGCCTGTTTGGATTGAGCAGACTATGGGTATGTTGTTTTTTCTCCCCTTTTCTGAGTTGGGTTGGGTTACGTACGGGGAATTTATGTGGGAGGTGTGGGTGAAGATGGAGCTAACATTCCTATGTCTGTCCCTAACGCTATAGTCCCCGATCTGGTCGAGTCGTATACTCGAGAGGCTAAGGGTATTCCCATCGGTCGTGCCGCCGAGGTGAACTTGCGGAATAACCACAGCCAGTACATCTTCACATGGTGAGTGGGTCCTAACCCTAACGGTGTCTTCAAAACCCCCCAAGTCCCTGCTCATGCGCTCTAGGTACGGCTTGTCGCTGGCCACGTCCATCATGTTGTGGATGATCATTCGCAAGCGGCCGAACGAGGCCACTCGTCATGTCCGGTTGAACCGTAATTGGTAAGGCCAGATCAGTGATCATAGCCCACCAATCGGTGGCGGCGTTGGGGTTGTATGTTAAGGAAGATTCATGTATATGTATCAACAATTCATGGTGGCATCGCCAATCTCATATCCTGCAAAAGCTCCTTCGGTAGATGCTTCTGCGCCAGCGAGAAAACAGTAGTGGCGTTGTTGAGATGTCGTTGTCTAACCAAGTTAAAATGTTAGTGTCAGTTGAGGCAATAACAGAGTGTGGTAAACTTTACCTCCGCATCAAAGTTGTAACATCGCTCTCATCGATAGTCTTGCGCCCAGCATGCTTGGCATATACTGCCAGATCGTCACTGGCTTGCTCGAAGAACCACGACGAGGCCTGCTCAATCGCAGCGAGGGTTTCCTTGCTGATCTTCGCCTTGGACCCATGCCGTGCCCGCGCAAAGCGCATAGCCAACTTCTTGACCACACCGACGGGTAAATTAGGAACGGGAATCCCATGGCGAGAGAGTTTCTTCTGCTTGACACCGGGGAGATACTGTTGCTCCTCCCGCAGACCTCCGGCGACACCAGGACTTTGACTCTCACTCATGGCAATCGGTTCCGCGGCCGGGAATTCCATGCCGAAATCTCCGCCGGCATCGGATACACTGCTGACATCGTCGTTGTCATCGCCCGGTCCGACATCCAGATCCAGGGGCATATCCACCGGCGGAAGCTCGAAGCCTTCGTCATCCTGCATGGGGGCGTCCTGGTCTAGATCACCGACCCCGGGAGCAGGCGGCGACGGGAAATTGAATTCGAAGTTGAATCGGCCCAAATCCTCCGTATCTCCGCTGCGAATAATATATCAGCTAAATTCAAAACACCCTCGAATGTGAAAGAAACTTGACTCACCCTCGATCAAAAGCCCCTTGGCTAGTAATAGTCTCCTCGGCTTCATCCCCGTCGTCGTCACCCTGCACAAGACCCGTATCATCCCCGTCATCCTCGTCGTCACTCTCTAACCGAGTGGCATCGCCGAAATTCTCACTCATGCGCGGGCCCATCATCGACAGTCTTCCTCTATCCAGTTCGCTCGTAGCTCGCCTCGGGTACTCAACGGTAATGTCATCTTCCTCAATCGCTAACGAAAGTCTCGGGGGTCGCAATTCCGGCTCCTCATCGACCTCATAAACCTCTTCCAACGGCAAGGATAACCGAGGGCGCTCCATCTCGGGTTCATTGTCGAGGATCTCAAACTCATCCCTCTCAGGCTCGGCCAGCTCTGGGGCTTCTGGCTCCGGCTTCTCACTGGGTGACGAACGGATCGGTTGGGTTGCAGGGGCGAGTGCTACGCCAGGTCAGCCAACTTAGTCCCAATTCAACCCGAGATTGCATGCGAAAGTAGATATGAAAGGAAGTATTGGAGTGCAAAAAAGACAAGGCCATACCCTTTCCCAGATTCCGAAGGATATCGAATGTCGTTTCCCGTTGGATGCGGCCGCTCTTCCTGCGATCACGGCCGGGGGTGTTCGCATTACGTCGCTGAATTGCATTCAGTCTAAACGGGGTGGCAGGCGCGCCGGCGCCTCTGTTGCGCGGTGTGAATCTGTTGGCTGATGGCGTGGTGGATGTCGTCGCGTGTCGGCTGGGTGTTAGGGGGAATTTGTTGTGGATAGGAAGACGTGAAAGCTATGTGATTCAAAATTTCCGGTAAGCTATGGTTGTATTAAGGGAGGAACAAGTTTGCATACACCTGTGAGCGTCGTATCGCCAATCGGAGAGAAGGATTCCGACACTTCGGACAATCGCGGTGACCTACGCCGGGAATTGGGTGTAGTCGACATTGTCGCGAGGGATTACCGCTGTGACGATCCGAAAGAAGGTAATTGACAAGGAGTACAGTGGAATTCAGTTATTCATGGGCTCCAACAGCAGCTCATCACCAGGTCACCTGCACTCTACTACAAAGTCACCTGTGATAGCAGCGGGAGAGGGGGAAGCGCGTGGTGGATGCGGACAGGTGAAAGTGACGACGACCGCGCAGCAGAAGATAGACTCGAAATGGCAGGCGGTCGCACATGCTCGGTGGGTCCAGATGTGATTGGCGGAACACTGTTTATCTTATCGATAAGGTACGGCTGACTCAGCATAAAAAAGTTGCGCAGAGACAACACGATTACGCTGCCATTGAAGGCTTTGCTCAGCAGTGAAGAGAGTCAATTCCAGATCAGAATCATGTCCGACGCAAACGCAAAGCCCACCGGTCTGGCCGCCAAGGTGGACAAGAAGCGCAAGAGACAGGCCGAGGAATCCAACTCCAAGCCGGAGCAGACGAAGTCGACTGGCAACAATGCCTCCGAGGGACCGAACAGTAACAAGAAGCGCAAGAACAACAACAAGGGCAAATTTGACAAGAAGGGTGGAAACAAGGGCAAGGACAGCAAAGACAAGGCGAAGCAGCCGAAGGAGCCTCAGGAGACCAAGGCGACAGAGGTCAAGGGCAGCATCGATGAAGCAATCGGCAAGATGGACGGACGGTTGTTGGCGGACCACTTCGCTCAGAAGGTCCGACGACACAACAAGGAGATCACTGCAGTCGAGCTGAGTGATCTGTCCGTACCTGGTACGAAAGCTCCTAGTGCTTGCACGGCGTGGGTTTAGAACAATCCACATACTAACGGCCACCAGACTCCGCATTCCTCGACACCTCATCGTTCGACTCCCCACGCAACCTCGAAAACCTCCCCGCGTTCCTGAAAGCTTTCAGCCCGGAGAAGGGATCCGGATTGGCGAAGTCATCCGAGGAGAAGGGTACCCCTCATACACTGGTGATCGCGGGCGCAGGTCTCCGGGCCGCGGATGTCGTCCGAGCCCTCCGCTCATTCCAGAACAAGGAGTCCATTGTCGGCAAGCTGTTCGCGAAACACATCAAGTTGGACGAGGCCAAGCAGTTCTTGGAGCGCGCACGGTATGGCTTTCTCTCTATACCGACTCCCCATGGACATGGACTAACCCCGCATACAGCATGGGCATCGGAGCCGGTACCCCAGCCCGCATTTCCGACTTGATTGATTCAGGTACGCTCTCTCTCTCACCGTCTCGCCTCCACATAACCCAATAATTCTAACACATAGCAGGATCCCTCAAACTCGGTGAACTGGAGCGTATCGTCATCGACGGTTCCTACGTCGACCAGAAGCAGCGCGGCATCTTCGACATGAAGGAGACGCATCTTCCGTTGCTGCAGCTGCTCACCCGGCCCGAGTTCAAGGATCGGTACGGTGCCAAGCAGAAGGGTATCAAGATCTTGGTATTTTAGAAAAAGAAAAGGTGATTGTACATAAGCAAAAAGGGGTTGGCGTTTGTCAGACGGTCTGATTTGATCTTCTTTTATGGATGATAATATATAGCCTTTGATAAGTTCTATATTCTGCGTTCACCTTTCGTGTAGGCATTGTCCATTAGGCATTGTCCATATACTCCATTGGCTGATAAGTACTGGAAGAGCTGCACTATCGCTGTACTATTTCGCCACGTCTTCACTATGGAAGTCAATTAATGTAAGTACCGAGATATATATCTGGGTTTGGAGCCTCGTTTTCAACGGGTAGTGCCAGGCACTCCAATCATTTTTACAAATATGTGTCCAAGTAGCAAATTGGTGCTATTCTCTAGTAATATTGATCAGTCGCAAGATACAAAGGAGGTTGCCTCTGAAATCAAGCTCTGCCGGTAATATGGTACGATGGCGGCGTTACAGTTATATAGGAGATAGAATAGACTAATAAATTCTCAGTTCCATGTAGACAATCATCTATATATGAAGATAGGATCGACAGGTCAACAATCCTGTTCAGCCTTCTCGAACCTCCACGAAATATTGTCCAACACCGCAGCCATTCTCTGACCTTCATGCTTGGCCGTCAGACAGCTAAAGCCACCAACCTGCATTTCCTCGAATGCAACAGCCTCCAACAAGGGACAGTTTTTCCGCACACACCTGAAGAACCGAGTCCACGAGGCAGCCGAGATCTTAGAGCACATGGAGAACTTCAGCGACCTCAGATGGCGACCGATCAACGGCAACCACTCTTCAAAGTCCTCGGGCCGGAAAGCCGAGCGACGGATCTCGAGATGCTTGATCTCCGCCAGCGGCTTGACGTTCTTGAGCACGCAGACCAGTGACCTCGACTTCGCCGAGTTGGCATCGCCGATGAGGATCAGTCTTTCCAGCTTGGGCGCGGTCCGCAGGATGCGCGGAAGGAGCCTGTAGAGGTAATTAGCGAGGTGGTAGTAGTAGGGCTGCGTGACCTGCAGGGAGGTGAGTTTGGACCAGGCGCGCGCGAGATCCGGCTGCTTGTGCACGCGAGTATTATCCTGAGTATCCGGCCGGGCTCGTCTGGACTCCCTGAGCTCTTCGGCGAAATTGTGCGTATATAATGATAGGTGTTCCACGGGGAGCGCGGCCTCGACGAAGATGTGCAGCAAAACGTTGAGGACGTCGTCGCTGTCGAGATATGTGCGGCGTCCTTCGTGCCTGTTGAGGCAGATCTCGAAGCTTCTGCAGTTCGTCAGCGAGCACACGAGGTCATTTTTCAGGGTCTTGATGCTCGGGATCTGGGTGGGTTGCTCGATCAACTCGTGCGTAGTTACCCTATGCAGTGGGTACAAGGGCCCAAATGGTGGCTCGATCCTCATGACTTGAACGTGCTTGCGCAGTATGTCGATCTGCGCGATTCCATGCATTTGGGAGAGGCTCCGATTGGAAAGATCCGTGCACAGAACGCGCAGTGAGCGAGCCATAATCCAATCAGGAAGACTATGTATTTTCGTCATGACTCCTACAGACACCGCATAAAGAGAAAGCAAATCCCACCCGCTCAAATGCGCAGCAACCATACTGAACAGCTCTGGGGGCAACCTCGTGAGAGACATAATTGAGGATTAAGACGAGAAAGGACCATAGATGTGTTTTTGTGGCGGGGATTCTATCATTGATGCCCATGGCGCTGGGCTTGACATGCGGTTTATATAGGGCTCTTGCGACACAAAACAGAATCAGCGGACTGCAACAAAGGGCATCAAAGGCTGAGAATATAATGTAACCAGACAATGGCATTTTTGAATCAAGGAAGCAAGTCAAAGGGCATAGAAATGAAGATCGCATGTTATCTGTTCTGTTTAAAAAGGATCTGCTCGTTGGTCTTCATGGGTTGGAGATGAGTGCAATCGCATGGCCTGATCGAGCTTTGGCCTCTGGTCTAGATGCCTTCAGGAAGCCTTAGATGGAGACCTGCAAAGCGAGATGCGACGTGCTCAGTCAATAATCGAGGCCCTGAACCAAAGGCCACCGTAGTCAAATAAGCTTCGGGTGTCATCACAATGACCGGCCCGAAAGTGAGGTTATTTTCTTATTTGTAAGTACTTCCAGCACTCTCATCCGACCTGTAACTTTGAAGTGGTATAGGAATATCATCCCCCAGAGCACCTCTACATCAGTTCGAAGCATCCGGACATAATACCAATGCAAAGAACTAGAGAACCCTGCGTTCTTCGACCTGGAACTTGAGCTGTAAGCAGAGAAATTGCGAATACTTGGGACCAGTCGTGTATGAGAGAAATCCAGCAGTATCTGATCTGAATGAAAGTGCAATAAACTGTTCCATTCATTCTCTACACCCCAGAGTGCTGATCATATACCTGGTGTCAGCAGGAACCGCGTCAGAATATATTAGTGAGATGCCAATCGAAGCAAAGAGATTGATATAACCCATGAAACAGCAATGTTTTTCATTATTAGTGAAGCAAAGCATTCCACTTTCATCGTTGGTTTGAACAAAGCGAACCAACAGGAGACCCAGGATGCATGAGATCAGAACCAATGCTAACCATAGTAACTCGGCTGAACCCCGGCGGGGCCATCCATGGTTGTTGCCCGATCGAACCCGGAGAGACACCTCAGGCACCCACAAGCTATCGCTCCGCCCGGTCCCACCGCCATTTATCTCCGCCCGGCAGAAAAAGGAAATTTCCGAGACTTTTCGCTATCTTTGGCACCGGTTGCATTCCGGTTCGATCCATTGCTCACCTCGGTTTCAAGATTTCCGTCGATATATTCATTCCTCCCCTCTTATCCATCATGAGCGACAAGAAGCGCAAGCTCACCGAGGAATCGGTCAAGCCTGAGGGCAAGAAGGCCAAGCGCGACGAAAAGAAGGAGAAGAAGGAAAAGCGCAAGGCCAAGGACGTTGTTGAGGAAGTAAAGGCCGAGGAGGTTCCCGCTGAGGAGAAGAGCGAGAAGAAGGAGAAAAAGGAGAAGGAGAAGAAGGAGAAGAAGGAGAAGAAGGACAAGAAGGAAAAGAAAGAAAAGAAGGAGAAGAAGGAAAAGTCCAGCGACGATGCGGAGGCCGCTGAAGACAACGAGGTGGAGAAACAAGCCCCTGAGGCCATGGACGTAGACGCCCAAGAATCCAAGGAGAAGAAGAAGGAGAAGAAGGAGAAGAAGGACAAAAAGTCCAAGAAGGCAAAGAAAGAGGACAAAAACGCCCAGGATGAAACCCAGCCCTCCGAAACTCCCGCAGAAGAGCCCGCTCAAGAAGAGGCTAGTCAGAAGGGAAACAGATTCATTTGCTTCGTCGGTATGTTTGAGATGATGACCCGAACCTACTAGCTGGCTTGCGATGGAGGCTCATTTCATTATGACAGGCAACCTCCCCTACTCGGCCAACCGCGAATCCTTGACCGCGCATTTTGAGAAGATCACGCCGGTATCTGTCCGTGTGGCGACCGAAAAGGACAAGCCGACCAAGTGTCGTGGCTTCGGTTTCATTGAGTTCGACAACTACGATCGCATGAAGACCTGCCTTAAGCTATACCACCACTCCATGTTCGATGATAAGAAGTACCCGCCCCGGCGGATTAATGTTGAGTTGACGTGAGTGCCCATAAACCACGACTATGATGGGATGAAGTGCTGACTTTATGCAGCGCCGGCGGTGGCGGCGGCAAATCGGAACACCGGAAAGCGAAGATCGAAGCGAAGAACAAGAAGCTCTTTGAGGAGCGACAGCGGAACGCCAAGGAGATCACCAAGGAGAAGGAGCGCAGATTTCACGCCGAGGAGACTGGCGAGGATGCCTATGCGGGTGTGCACCCCAGTCGGAGGAACCGTATGGCTTAAGAGCCGGGCCTTGCCTCGTAGCGATCATAATTCGATCAGTTTTGGTCAAACCCAAAAACGTTGTGTTTTTCGTGTTCGCTTGAAAGATATCCTTCTGTTCTCTTGTTCTCATGTGCATACTTAGAAAGTGTCAAGCAGGAATATAGACTTTAAAAGACCAATTCTGTATATGACTGGGCTCTGACTTGATTATCGACTGAATCTTGCATTGCAAAGAAATCCAACTCGTACGCTCGCTCATGGCTTTCAATATTCAACGACGGGGGAAGCAGAGACACTGAAGGCTGCGGTCAACTCGGAAAAGACGCTCATAGAGTGGTATTGTAATGGCATGTTACATCTGTATAGTGCATCAAGGCGGAGGGGGAAGAAGACAAAGAGGGTAAGTAAGGTTATCCTGAACCTGGACGGAGACGGAGAAAAGAAAACCTCAGGGTCATGGCACCAAAACAAGGAACGGGAGGACAAACAGCCAAAACCAGCAAAATGCGGGGCGTTACAGCCAAAACCCAGACGCCGTATTAGTTGTTTATATTATAGGTCGGAAAATGCAGTGAGGGAGAGATCTACAGAATGACACATTTCTTGTTCTTCGGTTTCGCCGTAGGCCGGGGGTTGAGGACAGCACTGAGAGCAAATGGTTAGAGCTCGAGCCGCAATTGCGGGGTACTTCGCGAACAACATACCGAATAGCCTCATCGAATACACTCTTCAAGTTACGCTGTGTGAGAGCGGAGCACTCTAGATACTTGTGTGCTCGGATTTCCTTGGCTACGGCCAGAGCCTGTTCATAGGAGACGGGCTCCATCTTCCTCTGGCGCAGGGTTTCCAGGGTTCCCCGGTCGTCCCTCAGGTCGAGCTTAGTACCAACAAGGATGATCGGTACGTTGGGAGCATGGTGTTCGATTTCGGGGAACCACTGCAGGAAGGTTAGTGGATAGGTTCGAGGTATAGGTTGGGCAGGCGACCATGGCCTCGCAGGGATGAAGTACCTTAGCTCTCACGTTGTCAAACGAGGGAGGGCTGACGATGGAAAAGCAAATGAGGAAGACATCGGTTTGCGGGTAGGACAACGGGCGAAGGCGATCGTAATCTTCCTGTCCAGCAGTATCCCAGAGTCCTAGGCTGATCGGTCTGCCATCTACCATCACACTAGCAGTATAGTTGTCGAATCTGTGCGCGGGGGTCAACAACGTATTCGCATCAGACTTGAAGCCTCGACAGGGACGGGATCACGGACACGGTAGGTATATATTCACCGGGGAAGGCGTTTGTTGTATAGGAAATCAGGAGACATGTCTGACCGCTGCGTTAGCAATGGATGATCAAATCAAGTTACCCAGCAGGACGAGGAACCAAGAGAATTCACGTACTTTACCAACAGCACCGTCACCTGTCACCACACACTGTAACCCGTCACTCAATCATTAGCTGTAGTTCGGTTGAGCAACCTGTGGGTGTCGCTAGGCAGAGGCTGACCTTCAGAGACTGGGTCGCGGGTCCTGTCGCCATTTTTTTTCGCTTATGATTCTAGAGGGTATATGGAGCACAAAGATAGAAACAATTGCGACAGTCGTGGCAGGTGGATGGTACTGGCGATATCGATTCCAAGGAAGCTCGAGGAGTAGAAGGGGGTTGCGTTTCGTGGCTTTAAACGGGCGGGCGTGTAACCAAGTAGAGCGGGTATCTGCTGAAGACCGAAAGGCAAATCGAACCGGTCAGGGAGGGCTTCGCAATGCACAACGGAGATAACGGCGACAAGACACAAGACAAGCAATATGCCAAAAGTGTGAGATGGAGAGAATTAAGCAGCAGGCAAAAATAAGAGGAATTATGCCAGAGAATAAGGACACAATCAGGATAAAGGGAAGAAAAAGAAGAAAGACGAGCAAAAATTCGCAGAGCTGGTGAAGGAGGAGGTGGAGGAAGTGGAGGAGGGTGGAGTCGAGGGGATTGAAATACAGAAGTGAACGAGAGAGTCAGCGGCGAGAGAATGAGGGAGGAGGAGGAGGAGGGGAGGAAAGTTGATCGATCAATCAGTTCGAATTGGGTTTAGTGGATGGAGTGGATAAAGTGGGAATGGGGGGGGGAGGAAGAGAAAGAGAGAGCGTGAGAAAGAGAAAGGGACCATTAAGGAGGAGAAGAAGGAGAAGGAGGAGGGGAAGGAAGAACAGAGTACTCACTCACTTACAGAACAGAATGCAATGATGGATGGATAAGAATCAGACCTACCTGATAGAGAGATGTCGATTCACAAGCTGAAACAAGCAGATAAGACTGGAGAAGTCCAAGCAGGCAAACTCCCTCCGCGAACAATGGGACTATTGATCAATAGATGCCTGATGCTTGATACTTGATGCTCGCTCGTCCTATGGAGACTTGTTGTACAGTACAGTACTTTGTCCGTTTAAACCCAGAATCACGAAACACAGACAGAAAAAGAAAACGAAGACTCGGGATGGGCAACAACAGCCTGTCAGCCAGCCATGGATAGAATGACTAGTCAAATGAGTTGGTTGGGATCAATCCAATCCATCATCCATCCCCTCTCTGACAGACTGGAACCACAAAGGAATTGGATGAGATACACGCGATGGCTGGGAAGCCAACACCCAATCACAAGCATGTATCCAATATCAGCCTCTCTTCTGGTCGACAACCATGATTCTCTATCGTCCATCCCACCACCATGTTTGGGACTGAATGGATGGTCCCGTCCGGATCCAAGGGACGGCGCCTGCATCGCTTGTTGGTTCAGGGGTCCTGTCCTGTTCTTCAATCTCAGAGGAGATAACAGTTTGTCTCCATCGCTGACCAACCGACCCAGAGGTTCGCCGTCCAGTACATACAAGGAAGACTGGCGATGCGATATCGTCATGACCCACGGACCACAAGCCAAGGACTCTACATGCCTGTCTGCTCCAGGACTAATACTATACTAACTAAGAAATAATGAACAGCCAAAGTCCTCCATCTCCATCCGTCACCTAATTCGGTCCGCCTGCAGCTCCAAGCGCAGACCGCCCTCCTTCGGTCTAATATTAGATCATTAAGCATCGGTCTTAGATATGTATGCTGCAGTGACGAACGGGGATGGCTCGATTTGCATTTCGATCGAATCCCTATGCAACTAACTCCCAGACTACATACTTACCAGTGAGGCTATATTATCGGAAGTACCAACCTCTAGACTTTCCCTCGCATCATTAGCCCGCCGCCGCCTGTACAGTACTTATATTAGCCGCGGTGCTATGCAACACTCGCCTATCCCACCTCCTCCGCCGCCACCACCGGATATATCACAACTAGCACAGGGTAGAGTCATATTCATGAAATTGATTTCATTTTCAAAGGCAGTTCGATCTACAGGCGGGAGATCTTAGATGACTCGGGCAATTGCCCACTCCCCCGCTGAATGTCAAGAGGCTTGGCCATCAACCCCCCCGCCTTGGCCATGAACGTCTGGAACCAAGGCGTCTGACCATGTTTTTCATATGCTTCTTGGTTGCGGTATCTATGAACCCATCAGCTCGAAGTTCCAGACGGATTCGACCATCCTATCCTAGCAGACCAGGGAGAGGGTTTGGTTCAGTACCTCTCGACGACAATGACCGCGGTCCGATCTCGATTGACGTAGGCATAATAGAATAGGGTATCGGGCTCATTGGCCTGTACTTGACGTGAAAGCTCACTCCAAAGGGCCGCAACCTGATGACAGGTCAGGGTTACGGCACATCAGCAACTTGAAGGAGAAACCAAGGGTACTCACCTCGTCGATCTTGTCGGGTTGAGGATAGGCAAAGACGGTCACATTCACTTCAGCGGATGCCATTGTATCTGTTATCTAAGATGTCTCTGGGTTCTGGTTTTCTTGAACACAGCTACAGTCGGACCATACGAACTTATATAGTACTCATTCAACATTCAGACCCACCGAGGAACCTCGAATTTTCAGACAAGAGTGCTCGAATAGCTGACTCTCTGCCTCGGTAGAATCGGTAACATGGACCACATTTGTCATCGACCTCACTTTATCTCCGTCCGTAAGTTAACTGCGATGCCTGTTGAGAGATCCAACTTAGTCAGGCCGTCCGTGCTGTTTTTCGGTGGAGATTTTCTAGAACCAACCCAGGGATCACTGGGTGAGACCGGAGCAGAGTCGGGCTAAGCTCGGAAGGGCTGGCTGGTCAACACTATCGGCAGTTTATTATTACTGACTCTGTTGGGGACTAGATGGAGATAGGAGTATGGGTATCCCCAGCATAGATAACCTTACCCTCTCTCAGCTCACTCACTGTAAGGAGCCAACCCGTGCCTGGCAGCCCTGGCAGGCAAAGGTGAAAAAGCACCGGCCAACCACGCCTCCGCCGCCACCCACACTAAACCTCTTCCGGTCTTCCCGCCCACCCAAGCCACACACGCTAAGCCTCCCCCACCCGCCGCCTTCCCCGATCGGGCGCATGATGATGCCTGAGTGCTGCGTGTGTGTCTTGTCTGTGTGAGTGTGATGAGAGAGAGAGAGGATGACTTGCTCTTAGTTAGGCTTCCGCAAATACTCATCCTCCACTGTCTATACACACCTCTCACTTCCGCATCGCATTTCTCCCTCAATGCGCCTTCATCCTTTCTGTCAATAATCAATCCTGTGCCATCCACTGCAACCTTTCCTATGGCAGATGTGTCTTTACCTCACAGCTCGGGGCCCGAGCCCGATGCGCCGCCATCCAGTGCTGGCTCTGCCGGCCACTCCGCAGCTATCGAGCTGCGTCCGGGTCCGGCCCCGATGACGGAGGAATTGAAGGCTAAGATGGACAAAGTCATCTATTCCGATGTATGGCAGTCACCTCTCATAGCTTTCTCCCCCCACATCGCGCCCGTACTGATTGCAGGACTCGGTCATATAGATTGGTATCACCACTCTCCTGACCCGGCTAAAGCAGAGTGTTTCATCTGCCAAGGTTCGTCTCAACCACAGCGCACCGTCTGAGAAAGCACAGATGCGCTAACTAACCCCGCAACTGGATGTAGGACTTCTCCACATTCCTCAAGAAAAGATCCTCCCTCGAAGAAGAGCATGCGCAAGGTCTGAGGAAGCTGTCCCGCTCGCTTCATGATGCGGCACATCGCACCGAGAATCGCCAGGGCACCTACGGGACCAGCTACAATGACCTCAATCGCTTCCATGAGCGCATGGCAGATCATGGACTGCAATTCGCCGTATCGTTGCAGCAGATGGCCGACGACCTGAATGAGCTGGCCACAAACATCGAACGTGGCCGCAAGCAATGGAAGCAAACGGGTCTGAGTGCAGAGAAGAGGGTGCTCGAGGCGGAAGCGTCTGCCGAGAAGGCAAAGGCTAAATACGAATCGTTGGCTGAACAATACGACCGGGTGAAGACGGGCGACAAGCAGGGTGGAAAGTTCGGTCTCAAGGGTCACAAGTCCGCTGCGCAGCACGAGGAGGAGCTATTGCGCAAAGTACAGAATGCGGATTCGGACTACTCCACTAAGGTCCAGGCTGCACAGGCGGCTCGCCAGGAGCTGGTCTCAACCCATCGCCCCCAAGCTGTGACGAACATCCAGAAGCTGATCTCAGAATGTGACTCGGGTCTGGCGTTGCAGCTGCAGAAGTTTGGTGCGCATCACGTTGTCCCCCACCATGTTCCTGTGGGGTGTTAGTGCTGACGTTTCGTAGCAACGTTCAACGAAAAGCTGCTGCTAGGCCAAGGACTGTCAATTAGTCCACTGAAGGATGGCACAGCGAATCCTGCTTTGGCGCCAAAGAGCCTGTATGAAGTCGTGTCGCAGATCGACAACGAGAAGGACTTCCGTGACTACATTCTTAGCCACGAGAGTAACCCGGCTGCAGTGGCATCCGAGCAGATCAGATATCAACGGCATCCGGTCAGTTTCTATGTCTAGATCGTCGGAATGCTTCAAGCTAACAGGTTGATCACAGACTCTCGGAGGCTCTGGGCCTGCTGCGCCTGTCTCTGCACCCACGACCCAGAATAAACGACAGTCGACTTTTCTCCCTTCGTCCTTTTCTACACAGACCCTCTCCTCTCCACAAGCAGCAACGCAGCCGCCAGCGCCGGCACCAGGCCCGGCACCCGCACCCGCACCGGCGCCAAATACCGAGCCGATGCCTTACCATCAAAACCCAGACTCCTTCAGATCACCTCCTTTCCAACCACAGCCACCATATCCGACAAGCTCTTCGGGACCTCCAGAGCCGCATCATGCTGCAAGCCAGCCACCTGTACCGCCAGCGAAAACGCCACTGCATGCGCCTGGTAATGGTTTCCAGCCACACTTACCTCCTCTGAAGCCGGTGTTCGGTGTGTCTTTGGAGGATCTGTACACCCGAGATGGGACGGCAGTTCCCATGATTGTCTATCAATGCTTCCAAGCCATTGAACTCTTTGGTCTTGATATGGAGGGTATCTACCGTCTATCCGGCAGTGCCACTCATATCAGCCAGATGAAGGCAATATTCGACAATGGTGAGCTATCTTGTCTCGTGACCTATCGAACTAGACCTAACATTTGCACGGCAGACTCGTCTCAGGTGGACTTCACCAACCCCGAGAACTTCTACCATGACGTCAACAGTGTCGCGGGGTTGTTGAAGCAGTTCTTTAGAGACCTACCTGACCCTCTATTCACATCTCATTTCTATCATGACTTCATCAACGCAGCCCGTAAGGAGTCCCAAGCAGAACCTGAACCTAGCACCAATCCTGATGCTCGAAATCTAGGCCTCGATGATGACATCCAGCGTCGCGACTCTCTGCACGCGCTCGTGAACAACCTACCGGACGCCCACTACGCTACACTGAGAGCTTTAATTCTGGTACGTTCCCGCGCCGATACTATCCGATGGCTTCGACACTCCTTCTAACAATAGGCAGCACCTCAACAAAATCCAGGAGCATTACACGCAGAACCGGATGAACGCAGGCAACATCGCCATCTGCTTTGGGTCCGTCACCGATTCCTTTTCCCTCCCCCCCTCCCTCCCATTCTTCCCTCAAACACGGACTAACATTCCCACCCAGACCAACCCTCATGGGCGCCAGCTCCGGCGGCAACATCGCCGACGCAGGCTGGCAAGTCCGCGTCATCGAGACGATCCTAGTCAACACGTTCCAGATTTTCGACGACGACTAGATTTATTCTCCGCGCACGACCATGCCTAATTCTGTTCGTTTTGGCCTTGCTAAACCGTGACCCAGTATGTGGATTTGCTTCCCCACATCTCCCATTTCTACTACGCGAATACCACTCGATTTATTGCTTTTTTTTATGTCGTCACTTGTTTGATCGTTCTCTCATCTTGGAAACCGATTGGCTTCCGAGCTTGGATGTGTATATATGCGACTTAGTAATACCTGCGTCGAGACACAGTAGAATCTTCCTACCGCTTGCACATGGGTTGCCATCGGCTTGCTTTCGTAGATCCATCGTCTTGGTTTCGTGGATTCGTGATTGATAAGGCTAGCGTCGGTAGAGCTCTTTGCCTAAGCACCTATGTTTCCTGGACAGTTGTTCACATGCAACACATGGCTTGGCATTGGTACATTGATATATTGGATACAGTATATAATACAGTAGACTGAGTAATTCCCGCGTATGCAACAAAGCAGACTGAGGTAGTATGGCGGGCTAGAAGAGGAAATAGCCTCGATAACACAGGGGCGTAGGCTACTAGAGCAACCTGAAACCCAAGATAGAAGAAGAATATGCAATGGTGGAGAGGAAACCAGGCTAAGAAGACAGGGATAATGGCAATGGGCACATTTTGGTTCAGGGGGTGGCTGCTCGTGACTATCGTGTTATTAACAACAGACTTCATTTGGAGGATGACGGATCAGATTCCAGCACAGGGGCTAGGGCCATCCGACGACTCTCTGTATCCGTGCAAGGCAGGAAGAAAGGAAGGTCCTCGAGTCAGTCTCGGATAGAGGGTTCGTGCCGTGGTTGTGGCGAGTGCAGGGCGGGCACCAGACAAGCAGGGACGAAGAAGGAAGGGCAGTTCTGCTTAATTTACTTTCCCAGCGACGCATTCATAGCCTCCAACCGCTCGCGGATGGTCAGACCAGGAGCAAAGAATGGGCTGCTGAGATCCTCGACGGTGGTGGCATTGGTATAGCCCCAGACGCGCCATTCAGTGTCCTCGCCTGTCCACCGGAGCTTCTGGAGGACCAGGTATTCAGTGCAGTCCCGCTGCTTGGCGTCCTGGGCCACAGCAGTGGAGTTCTTGGCCGTCTTTCCATTGGCGGGCTCCGTGTATTTGCCGGTGGACTGTTTGCTGGTGATGCGCACGACGACCTGGCGCACGCCGGAGTCCGGCAGTTCGGGGATCTGAGTGGCACGGTCCGAGACCACGCGGGCACCGGTCCAGAAGGTAGAGGGGTTGCGGATGTACTTGTCCAGGCTCCAGGTGACCTTCTCGTTTTTAGGGCGCGCTGCGATGCGCTTGTTGAGGTCTTTGGCGAGACCGGTGCAGCAAATCTTGTTAATGGTGTTGGTGTCTCCGCTGTAGGTATGGCACGAGATAGTGTTAATTGCCTGTTTTTGTAAAGGGAGGCACATGCCGCTGAAGGTATGGGGAGACTCACGCGGCGAAAGCAGAGTACATGCGTTGATGGTATTGCTGGGCAATCTGGCGACGCTCCTTCAGTTCGAGTGGCAGCCCTTTGTTGAAGTATCGGCAGTAGGCGAGGACTCTGTATATTCCAGAATTAAACGTGTGACGCCAAACCTAGTTGAAGTGACCCAGTACGTACCCCAAAAAATTCTGGAAACCCGTCTTCATCCACAACCATTCCAAGCGTAAACGTTCTTGAGGTTGTTTGAAGATGGACGGCATATCCTTCCATAATGGGCGAATGTAGGTACCGGGCAAGATTCCGAAGTCCTGCGGGAGTTCCGTCCTTGCCATTCCTCTGGTTTTAGTTCTCGTACTCGGCTGAGGGGGTGGTCTGGCAACGATGGTCTTTGGCAACCGCCCCATGGAGCGCTGGGACGACTGCGAAAAGGAACGGGATTGGCATGATGCGGCGCCGGAGACGATGGGAATCGGAGAGAAGGGATTGTTGCTGGCTCGGACGGCCGAGGACAAAGGCCCCTTGGACAGTGACGAGGCCATGATGCGCGCGTGGGCAGCGGAGTGCACCTCGGTGGACCTAAGTCGAGGAAAGCTGGCAGAAGGTTGGGGTCGAACGAATGGAGATCGAATCGCAAAAGAGATCCGAATGAGGGAAAATCGAAACCCGCCAAAGACCCGGCGAGACGGTCACGTGTCCGCCACCGCCGCGGGCTTTTGCTTTTGGCTGATTTGGCTTCATGCACTCAAACGGGCTCAAGAAATTGTTTCGCGTGCGCTTTACAAGACGTCAGATTCCTGCCTAGAATTTTCTGATCCGGTGAGATCAGCTGGTGCATTGATTCCGGGCTTTCGTCTTCAGTGCGCTGTTTGTTTCCAGAAGTCTCCAAATCCAACCATCGCCATAATAAACAACCAGAAAAACGTTCCGGTCCAGAGGTTTTCCACTTCCCCACACCGTTTTGCAGCAATCGACTCTGTGTGCACAATCGACATTCACTTCGGCATTTTCTGCGTGACGGCCGCATATGCCGTGATATAAGGCTGGCTCCTCCTCGTCGTCGTGATGCTGCATCTGCGCCCATCCCTATCCAACCACTCCGGTCACCACCTCTTGCGTCTGACCTGAATCCTCTGTCCAATTCCTCCTCCGCCGTCGACGAGTCTCTCCTCCAATCTTCCACCGTTTATACATCCTTGACGTCAATCCTCTCAAAGCTGGATTCCCGCGATAAAGACGGGGCCCCCGCAGCCGTTGTCCCGCCCTTCCCTTCGGCCGCCCCCCATACCCCTGGCAGCGTGGGCAGCAACAACAGCGGCGACGAGGGCGGCCAGTCGATCCCCTCGTCGGCGCTCCACCCCCGCGTGGCAGTCATCCTAGGCGTGGATCGCAAATGGTACCTGCCGCTGGTGATCTGTCGCGCGCTGAGCACCGTGCCGGCCGCATGGTGGGGTCTGCGATGTGCGTTCACATTCCTCGCCGAGCTCCTGCAAATCCAGCCAGGCATGGGAGGGGAGGGGTGGGCGGCGGCGATCGTGGGCAGTGTCGGGCAGGACTGGGATGTTGAGCGAAGATTCCGAGTCACTGAAGTGGCTTTGGCGATTATGTGGGTATGTATCTTCTGCTGGCTGCTTTGTCGCTCCTTTCTATGACTAGAACCGGCGTCTAATCCTTTCTTTGTACACAGTGCTGTGCATCTGCATATCTTTCTTACTTTTTTGCTGATTGTATGATGTCTCGATGGTATGTCCTCTTCCTCCCACCCCCCAATAGTTCATTCACTGATGATATATCGTCATTAAGGCTTTTGAACTATACCCCGCCAGCTGTTGTTATTCGTCTCCTCACGACAAACGGGTTGATTGCTTATATTACTTCTTGGGTCCTTTATCTTTCCGGCGCCTCGTCCGACCCCCGTCTGCTTCTCCCTGCCTGGATCTCCATTACGACTGTGAGTGTGCCTTTCCCAATATCCATTCCATCTCACAATAATAATTTACTTCCCTCCGTTTCTCGTCTAACGTCTGCTACCTGTATTAGACCCTCACTTTCCTTTACCACGCCACCCAGAACCACGCCACGATCAAGCGCGAAACGGCCGCTGCGCTGCTCGTCGTCGCGGTGGCTAGCTTCGTGAGCATGTCCTCCCTGCTCCTGCAGTTGCACCTTACCCGCGAGAACGAACCCGAGGTGCCAGTGTTCGTCATCACCCGGAAACTATGGGACTGGGCGGTCCAGATCTTCCTGCGCATGCGGGTATCGGATAGTCGGGCGTATCCTCCGGGGGAATTGTAAGATTAGCTAAATAGATGATCGTTGTGTGGGCCGTCGTGCTTTGTTGCGTGCTTCCCGTATTACTACCCCCATATGGATTTATTCTACCCTGTTGACTCAAGTACTTGAATATTCAAGTAGCCTTTGTTAGTCTGGTTCCGGCCGCACTTTGTAGTAAGTAGCTCTCAGTATCTCAGTAGATCTACGTCGTCGGATAAGTAGTAATCATGAATAACCAAAGTATTCCATTCTTGGACAATAGTACGGAAGTGACAGTCTAGGTCGGCATGTGCGGAGACAAAGACGATCGAATCATAGGAAACGAAAGAGATCAAGAATAACGACTGTTCCTCAATCCCCACCCTCCGAAACAACCCTCTTCAAACATAGCAAACCCTCGACCGTCCTTTCAGAAGAAAACTAGAAGCTAAGAAAAATATCTATGCAGATAAGGGTATCTACCAACGCCTCGTTCCGTCATTATCCCATTCCAGGTATCGCAGTTGAGTCAGGAAATAAACAGTTTCAGACCCACTGCTGCCCCCTCCTTGCCCAGACGCCTATCAGAGTGCGCCGGAGGGAAGGAGGGGGGTTCAACTTGACAATATTCTTTTTTAACAAAGCAAGCTTCAAGCCCAGTGTACCGAAACAGAGCGATGGAAAGGTATATGAAGACGACAAAGCTCGTGAGCCGGTCGACTGACAGCCTTCAATTGCAGTGACGTAGTGATGCAATAGCCGGGTTCAGAGAAAAGCGACGGGCACGCGAGCGATATCGACCTTCAGAGCCTTCCACCATTTCTGAGAGTAACGTAGACCGAGAAAAGAAAAGAAGGGGACCGGAACGGGGACGTGACGACGGGGTGCTTAGAAACCGTGGACCTTGATGGTCTTGGCATCCAGCTCGAGACCCTCTTTCTTGTCGGTCAAGAACTCCTGAACATCTTTACGCTGATCTCCTTGGAGCTGAATCACCTCGCCCATCTCAGTGTCGTTGACGATGGTTCCATTGCAGGCTGGCAAAACGTTAGTCCGACGCTTGGAGTGGGCTTAAGGCGGAGCAGGCCCAATGGTAACATACCGAACTTCTTCTTGATCACCTTCAAAATCTTCTTCTGGTCGAACTTCTTCGGAAGACCCTGGACCGTAGTCAAGGTCTTACGACCATTGCGCTCTGCGAGGGAGGTTAGTCTCAAGGCTCTGTAACAAGACGGGGCGCCACCATAGGCCAACAAAAAAGAGGCCAACAAGACGGCGATAGGATGGGTGGTGACGATAGAGAGAGAGGTATCGAGGATGACGTACGTTGAATCCGTATGTGGATGTAGTTTTGAGACTGCTTGGTCTCGCCGGTGTCTTCGTCAGCTTCGGCGAAGGGGTCTGTGGGAAAGAAGCACGTGTCAGCCTCAGGCTCATGACCTGGAATTACCCCGCCAAAAAGTGATGCGAATCCGACGAACGTCAAGAAAGCCGGCCAGATGACTGAAATGCGCCAGCAGGTAGTGTATACGCCATTCCCAAGAGGAACGAGACTGTGATACACTAAACTGGGCAACATTCAAGGGAGGCTTATCCGCAACAACGTCGACATCGCCCACAGAAGGGGGGGTGTGGCGACCAACTTACCGAAGGTCTTAAGGTTTTCGATGGACATAAACTCGGCCTTTCGTCGTAAACGGCCCTTAAAAGCGGTATTGGTAAAAGTGAGCGGAGGGGAGAGAATTTAGATCTCTGTAAAAAGCGTAGAAGCGATTGCGAGTCGAGGAGACTGAGGTTGGATGTTTGAAGATGAGTGTAGAGGGGGGAAAGGTCGGGAAGGAAGCAGAGAGAAGAACAGAAGAGCCTTTTGAGGGGCGCGGCTTGCCTTTAGCGCCCTTGTGGGGGAAGGCGGTGTATGGGCCTGACTAAGCCCTGTCTGGTCTGTTCGTCTCTCAGCTGGTACGAATCAGTAATAATGTTGCCCCTGTGACTGGCTCTCCGTTCATCAGGCATCCGATGTAGACTACACTACTTATTACAAGTTAGGTTCTGGGTCAAAGGAGGCTTGAAAGAGGCGTTTGGCTCCATCAGCGTCAATTGGTTGGAGGTTGAAGTTCAATGTTTGGTGGCAACCAGCAACCTTCTTCGGCGCATTGCACCCCCCTCCTCTCACACCCCCCTAGTGCGCCTCCCCACTCACCACCAATACTTTACTGACGCTGCCGACGTAGCCCTTACGCACTGGCTGTGTTCCAGCCATCCATCTGTCTGGACTGGGGTTCAATTTCAGGCTGTCAGGTTCTCAGAGATACCAACATATTTGCCAGCCAGATTATACTTTGAACCTGTCGCTCTGCCTGCTGTCCTTGTTTGCCTTCATGTTACTTTTTCTTTTTCCTTGCAGTTTCAGCTCCGATGTACTGAGGATGTATGTATGTATGCACTCTGCATATTTCTTGGTTGCCACTGTCCTTTTGTACTACCCTATGCGGGGCGATCGTCCTAGCAAAGATGACATTATGGTATTTGTGGTATTATAGTATTCGTACAGCATGTCGGATTTTCCCGTACATCACATCGATGCCCCGTGGCCCTGAAGCCCGCCAAACACACCCCCATTGACTTTTCCACTTCCCACTCGGTAACGCTTGGATATGCCGTATAATCTTTGTCGCAAATTCGAAAACTCCATGAACAAATAGTGTATCAAAAGACTTTCGCAAGGGGATGTCGGAACAGTGTTTCTCTAAGCAGAGGGAACGGGGGAGGGAGCAGCAGCACCGCGCGCGGCCTGAGGAGGCAGGAAGATCGGGAAGTAGGTCTGCATAATACGAATTAGAACAGATGACCGGAGCTTGCAACTCTGTTTGCGAAACGTAGCCGCACATACCACGACCAAAGCCATCACTAGATCGCGCCCTGAAAGTCAGCCATCGATACTCCATAGTCTCGCCAGGCGGGGTGCACGAACAGGACATCAACACGGACATATACCCTGGAGTAGAAGCAGTCCTCTTCTGCTCGGGGGTCTCGCCTAGCCAGTTCTGGAGGGAGAAGACGAATGATACCCTGGATACTAGTTAAAGATGCGCAGATCGATGTCGTGCTCGTCACCTACCATCCGATCATCCTGTATGAGTTTCAGTGGTTAGCTGCCAAGATTCGTATCATCGCCCGAGGGAGCGTCTTCCTCTCACCTGTTCCGGGTGAACATCTAAGAAGAAAACATTAGTATGTTTCAGTTGTTGAGGGCGGAGCTGGGTCGCAACCTACCGCAGCCATCGGCATGGTGCTGGACATCGTGCCTAATTCCAAAGCATTAATGCGACACTCATCCCCGCCTTAACCACCAGGCTTCTTTATCGCTCGTGACGTACTGGACATGTCGGCTTCATTCTTGTCCTTGGGCGGGTCGATGTAGGGGATGGCTAAGATCCGGAGTCAGCATCAGCAAGAGTGCGCTTTGAAGCGGCGTAAGGCACAGGGACAGGTAACAGGCAACGTACCGAGATCCAGCCTACGCATGTCTTTCTTGGACGACATCTTGTCAGTTGATGGTATTTAGTATAATGATTGATCAACTTGTGGGTGTAAATCCGGGGTGCGAAGCTGTTGAACTGGCCAACCAAGCGACCAGCGCCGCCAAGCCCGAAAGCGGAAAGGTTGCTTTACTGCCACCATATCTTTCCCTCTCGGCTTTATCTCTCCGCTACGGAGTACAGTACTGTACTTATCGGATTTCTTCTCTAAGAGTAAGATATCAACTATCTCCCTTAGCCACCTTGAAAGTCAGGCACTCATTCTTTAGCCGAGTATCCAAGGCCGACAGTTGCTACTTCACAATCACCGTACTTATCTTTTTATCAATTCAATTGTGATGACCATAGATTGACGCGCGAAGCGTCCGGAATCGAGACATATGGCCGCTTCCCCCGACCAGGCAACCTTGGCTCTTGCTCGCTCGATGTGTCGTGTCTTGCATCTCCGGATCTAGCCCCTTAGTTGCAAATGTACGGAACCACTAAATCCACAACGCCACGATTCAGGGGATCAACAGCTTGAGCTACTCAACGACAATCACGAAAAGTCGCTTGACTCTCGGGGAATTGCGCAAGCACAGTTGATGGCGCAAGATCGACAACAGCGCAAATGTACAAATGTAAGGCAACCCGACTCGAGAGCTGTCTTGCAAACATGGGTCTCGAGTGGACGGAACGCCACGCAGAACGGATATATACGGATCTCTTTTTGGAATGCAGGAGACTTGGCTTATCTATCGTGTCTGGAACAAATGCTGTCTTGCCTCGCAAAGTGACAGATACGAAGCTTAGTCACTGACGGGGAACTGATCCGGGGAAGTGGCCAAACATTGGTGTGCGCCTTCTCCAGGGTTCATTCAAATCTAGACTGTGCTTGTGTGACATTGACACCTTCGAAAGGTGCCTGTCAAATCCGATCCGACTGCGTACAGTAGTACTGCATTCTGCAGACCGCTGAGCTGGACATCGCTTTGTCGCAAATGGCTTTCCGTGTGAAGGCCGGTCTGTGCTTTCGGAAATGCCGGGCATGAATTTGCAGCCCAAGGCGAACAAAAGGACACTTGGACCCCTGGTTCGATTTGCGATTCCTACATCATTTTGTGTGCTACTCAGGTAGAGATGAGATCGGGGAGGAATCGGCCATTGTAGCGAGAGACCACCCCACGTGAGAATTAGGCTATACCGGTTAGTGGGAGGAAGATCTCTAGAATATAGCTATGGCATTTGGGATCAAATGCGGAGAAGGATGACTGCCTCGGTGGGCGTCCATCATACCACACACACATATTACACACAAATGTCATGCCACTGAGAGGGGAAACACTCCGTTCCCAGAAAGGGTTCTTTTTACCCATCCAAAGGTTGAACCTCGGACGGCAATCTGTCCCGAGAACTGGGCCGCAGAACCCGATGGTTGAGACCAACACAAATTCGCTCTCTGGCCGGTTGGATCGATCATTCTCGACGGGACTCTCGGGGATGTGTGTGGGCTATGAGCAACAAAGAAACCAAAGACTTCCGTGTGTTCCGTCCTGGTTGGTACTCGTACAAATGTTACTCAGTAAACTCATATGTTTAGACAAGTGGGGAGATCTAAGTCAGGGCAATCCCCTGGAAGTTGAAGAAACCAGTGGCCCACATCAATTGGAGTAGAGGAAAACTGCAGAAGGACCAAGTCTCTAAGGCTTACAACAAAAGTCGTGCCCGGACAATTGCTAACTATGATTAACTCTGGGCGTGGTCGGTTTCAGCCGGTCAGGGCACATTACGCGATAGACTAGGCTAGATGATTACTTCCCGCATTCGAAGATCGCAGGAGCGCTCACCGTATGTTCGGAGGTAGGACAACCCGAGGAAAAGGTTTCATCCCCTGTTCAGAATCATCTTAGCCCAGTATGCACCGTCGGGGGTTCTGTTTGATTGCCCACGTAGTCTGGCAGTACGTGGTACGAAATCTGTGGAGAGTCTGTGATGCACCCAACGATGAGTGCCATTCTCCTTCTACCTTGCCAGCCCTTCCCCTCCCCATGTGGGCTCATATGTACATATCACTTACAGCAAGTGCATGCGGATTGATGATGGCAGGAGGTCAGATACTGCGAAGACAGAGTACTCCGTACGGGCGCAGGCGTTAGCGCACGCCAGGGGGAAGATCTGCGAAAGATGACCAGACTAGCCGGTTGGAGAAAGTCGTTTGCGCCTTGTGTTGAACCCTTCAACCCATCCATCCTCTACCTATGTAGCTACCTGTGTTCTGTGTATCCTGTTTTGCGACTACTCTGGCCCTGGTCATGCCCGATCCCGTGGAATAGTAATGGGGTGATATGCCGCGATACCATCAGCTCATCGCGTGGATGGACGTGCAGGCAGGCTAAATGGCTGATGCTGTGGTGATCCCATCATCTGATGCCAAGCAAACCCTTCGTGAAATTTGGGGCTTGGATCCCACGGGGCTATTTTGATGGTAGTATATTGATTGTTGCGATACTGAAAGAGGAGAGGAAATCCGAGTCATGAATGGAATGAATGTCTGAGGGAATGTGGATGCATCTGGTGGGCCACATCAATATATCGAATTGCTCGCTTGCCATGGATCATGGATGGAATTAACTCCAGATACACCGTGGATACGTAAGCCGGAGAGAATGGACAAGGTGATCGATCCTGATCCCGGAGATAGAAGCAGATAAGTAAGTCTGGATACAGGCTGTAGTTCTAGTACCGTACGCGTGCACTTGAAGGAGAGAGAGATGAGAGTGACTTAGTAAAGGCCGGTAATACTGCGGTATCACTGTGCCATCGTCTCCATCAACCTCCATCTATCTTGCTGGGTTGACGGGTGTCAGTCCCGGTAAAATTACTGTTCTTCTCCGGTAACTTCAAACACCTTTCCAGAGTTTCTTCTCCTCCACATAAGCTGATGCCAGTTGGTCCCTCCTTACGTTATCTGGAGATCGTTCGCTCACCTCGTTCGGTCGCCGTACTCGGCTCTTTTCCTGTTCGGTCGCCTCTTCCCCCCATATTGCCTTTTTATTTCCTTTCTTTTTGCATTTCCATTCTCATTCCCCATGTTCCAATCTCCTTTCTTCTTTGTTTGTTCCCTTTCCACAATCCCCAGACCCCTCTTCTAAGTTGCTATTGTCTCCTAGCGGACAGATCCACCTGCAGCCTTCCGCCTCCTCTGCCTGCCATCTTACCCCCGGTCCCCGACGGTTGCCGTGATCAGTATAGCCGCTCGGCCGTGGATCGCCCATCAACTCCACACTGTAGGGGGTTCTTAGATTGGAAGCCCGAATGTGAAATTTATTGTCACTTCTTCCGATCACCTCTCGGACACCTTTCGGACAACTTGATATCACGACGCCCGTTCAGGCTTAAGGCGAGCCTTCAATCTGTCTGCACTGACCGCGCTGCTCCAATGATCAGAACCCCGACGTTGAGATACACCATGACGCTAAGATGATACCCCATTCCTCTGCCGGCGTCCAGTCGTGGAGTCGCTCTATGCGCGCTCCAAATAACGGCTTAGGACGCGTTGAGGCCTTCCAAACGCTGAGCCAGTCCGAGCCTCCGTTGGAGAGGCCGCCAATGCCCGTACCGCAATCGCTCCCCCGACAGCCGGCAGTCATCGACCTCACTACGAATACCGGAGATGCGCAAGAGATTGAACCACCGGCCAAGAGACTGAAGCTGGATGTGACACCAGGGGCATATGCGGCAACAGGGAGTCCGGCACCGGTGAGTGGTGGAGAGGCGAGAACCACCCCGGGGACTGCAACTGCCAAACCGCAATCATTGACCTGGCGGGGTCGTCCGGTGTGGTCATTCCAAGCCCTACTGTCGGAAACCACTGGCGCAGTTGAGATCAAGGATGACGATGCCAGCGCGCAAGGGAAGACTTCGTCCCCGCCTCCTCTACCTCTAGTCCCTTGGAAGTATACGCCCCAGGAGACAACGGCAAAGGATACCCCCAAGGTTGCGGAAGTTGCACCGATCAAGGAAGTCAAAACAACACCGTATCGCATCGAGGTGCCTGAGGTTGCGCCCAAGATCAAGGGAGAGAGTAAGTTATCTCGTCCCGAATCATTTGCATGCAGAGTATGTCTGACCGCACATTGCAGAGGTTGCGGACTTCTCCCCATGGACCGGTAACCACCCGGAAGATATTCTCAATGAACACACAGCGAAGCAAGGACACTATGACCGCACGCAGGTGTCGCAAAATGAGTCCAATACCGCACGGCCGTCGCTCTATGCGCAGCTGAAGCACCGTTCAGGTTTGCAGATGCTTTCTTCCGTCTTTGCTGCTGCCCTTGAGAAGAGACAAAGTCACAATATGGTCACGGCTCCGTCGAGCTTCAAGCCACCTCCTCGGGTGACTTTGACGGATAACAAGCGCGAAGCTTGGCTGCGTGATCTTGCTAATCCATCTGTGCCCCTGCGCAGGCTGAGTCGGACGATTCCTCATGGTATTCGAGGCAAAGTGCTTCTCGATCAATGCTTGGGCAAATGGATTCCAGTGCCTCGGGCCATATGGCTGGCAAGGTGTGTCGGTGCCAACGAAATCCGTGCGTTCAAGCGGAAAGGCACAAGCGGCGCACTCGCCTTGGGCTTGGAGTCTAAATGGGTCCGCGACTGGACTGCTACCGTTCAACAGTTTCTGGAGGGAGTCATCAGCACTTGCGGGGCTGCGGACTGGAAAGTGAAAATGACTTATGCGTACGTCAACTTCTTGAACGTTATCCCTCTCGTTCCGCAATTATTGACTATAATACAGAGTCAGCTTAACGTCACGGCTCTTTTTCGAACGCTTGCTCGATCATGATCAGTATCTTAGCTGGTTCCTGTTATCGTTGGAAAACGCACCCCTCAATACGATTCCTGTTTGGCTCTTGATGCTGGGCATATATTGGAGTAATATCATGCGTTACAGGAAGCGTGGCCGAAAATTAGCAGAGGTGCTGCTTGAAAAACTGCGACAGGTAATACCTGTAATCCGTGTTTGCTCTTCTTTGGTCGGCTGCTAACGCGCTTGGTAGATCAAGAAGCCAGGACATCGCGAAGCCCTGCAGCCGCTCGTTGATCGTCTCTCGCGTTGTATCAGAAGATTGGTCTTGGAGCATACATCATCCATGATCCTCCCCAATTCCTGGACGAAATACAGAGAATTGATCTCATCGTGCTTGAATTTGAAAGAGACGGCGGACCACACCATGTTCCATAATTTGGTGGAGCGCAACACCCGTGTCCAGGTGTCGAAGAGTCAGCAAGGGGCGAAAGCTCAACTACCTCAGCAACAAGTCATCTCGCTGCTTGATTCACTTCGCTCCACACACGATGTATCTGCCACGGCTTCCGCATGCCTAGATGCAATCGATGACAAGGCTGTTCTAGTCGCCAAACTTCTTGAGTGGGCAGCAACCCCATTTCGACACGGGACTCGTCGTGTCTATACCAGCGTCCGTCTGTTACGGAAGTGGAAGATGACCGGGCTTGACATCGAATCCTACATACTTAGTTTTGTTGCGGGCATTGACAGCAGTAGCCGGCTAAATACGGAGCACATCTATCATATCCTTTCCGAGCTTGTCCGGTCTCAAACGTTCTCCGTCGGCAGGTACTTGCAATGGCTGATGGCCAAGGGACTTGCACATGGCCCTTTGGCAGATGAGCATGAGGTCAGAGATATCCACATACAGATTCATTCATGCGAGCGCTTCCCACTGACATCGCGAAGGCTATATCGGGCGAACTTCGTCTTTTAATACAACTCCCATCACACCGTCTGCCCGATCATGTTCGTAATCTGCGCCATATGCTGGTTGACCGCGCAGGGTTCTCTCTTTCAGAAGAGAGTTCCACTGTCGCAAAGCTTCAGATGTCTATTGCTGGCCGGCTCCCCAATATTTTTCGACCAGAGAAGAGCGAGGCGAAGAACTCCATCTTTCCCCTCCCTCCTGATTTGACGTGGGCGGTCAAATCCGAGGTCGGCCTTTGGATTCGACGTGGTGTAGGTGGACATTGTCGCAAACCGGGCCGGTATGTTCTCTTGTCAGTAATTCGTTCATCGATCTTGGGCTCACACCATTTCCAGGAAATACAGCAACATTCCGTTGTTGTCTGACTCGGGCACCTCTGCACTTACTCCCGGCGAGTTCTACGTCATTCGGGAGATCCTTGAGGGGTTTGGGGACCTCTCAATGCTCGCCGATGTACTCAAGCAGGCGACTACATCTGACAACAATATCGTGCTCGCCTCGGTAGCAGACACGGTGAATTATCATTATGACTCGTTCTGTATTATTGGCGCTGTGCACGATCTCTTCAAGGGCCTCGTTGAGTCGTATGCCCGTCTGAAGAGGTTTGGTGCTCCCAGCCTGGAATTAATTTTCTCCTTGATAGAGCTGGGGCTTCGACTCCCCAGTGAATTCAATACTGTTGCTCTCCTTCGTCAGGATCTCGCTCGGATCGAGAACAGAGCTGCTGTAGCGGCCCCGTCTCCGCTCTCTGACCATCTCTCGATGTCTACTGGCCAAATCGACACCTTATTCCAGGAGAAACTTGATCAAACGCTTCTCTCTGGCGGTGGGTTGGACCAATCGGCCATGGACACTTCTTTTACCTCGCTTACCAAAGCCCTACAAGATGGCCACAAGAGACTTTCAGCAAACGAAATTTGCAGATATATGGCGTATCTGAGAACTTTTCATCCCAAACGATTCGATGCTATGCTGGTTCGATGGGTCTGCGGGCTTTTGAAATCCCCTACCAGATCAACGATGGCTCGCATCCTTCCCCCTCTCATTGGGGTCGGATGTGTCACTATCCATGCCTTTGTTACCTTGGTCAAGAAGCTCCTGCAGTCGGAGAAGGTGGCTGCAGCGATCCCTAACGTCGTGGAATTGAAGCTCGACCTCCTCGAACTCCTTATACCGCCGAAGCGGGAACCAAGCCGCCTTGCAGATCTGGTTACGTACCGTTTTCGACTCGCGCAGCGAGAATTCCTGGCTAAATATCCCGAAGACAGCCTTGATATAATCCGTGATGCAGTACCTTTGATTGCTTCCGAGACAATCGACACCGCAAGCGCAACCAAAAGGGAAAATCTCACGGAGTGCGCAACCGCCCTCCTTCAGCTTCTACTCACACAAAAACCCGAACGCATCGTCCAAAGCTGTTTGCAGAGGTTCATCGGTCGACATACAGCGTCCACGGCTCTACTACACAAGGCACTCGACAGCCTTCTGGGCTTTAACTCGGATGCGGTTGATGAGACTACACCTGAGGCCGAGAAAGTCATTCGTTTGAACAACGATTTTTCGCTTCCCTTTTGTCAGCTAAAGCTTCAAATACTTTTCGATGCAGAAGCCGCGCGGCAGGACAACAATGGCATTGTGGATGTGATGTTCAAAGCTGCGGTGGCAGATACTAAATTACAAAAGAACCATTGGTATGGTCTAGTGAGTCTGATGAGCCAGGATGCCATTCAACAAATTCGAGAGCGGGCCGAAAAAGGGTTCTTCTCCGTCCCCATGTTCGAAGACAATCCAAATAGTCTCAACTCAATTGAGACTGCAAGGCTCTACCTGACCATGATCGAGAAGCTAGCCCCTTGCATTCCTGATGCTGGCATACCTACTATTGTTCCTGTGCTTGTTGAGAAGATGGAATTCTTGCTTCAGAAATTCGTGGCGGTGCAAGCAAATCAAACGGGCACCGGTGATGCACGTCCAACAAACCAGACTAGTCCATCCTTTGAAAGAAGTTTGGCCTTCTGGTTTTCTGCTCTGCTTCGGATCGTCGTCATTCACCGCGCATCCTTCATCGCACCGGGACTGGCACCTAGGCCGCATGGCTTACCGGAGCAGACCCGTCTGCTGATATCCATTTTTTGCATATCTCTGGCGCGTCTTCCCAACCGTGTCCTTCGTCTGTACCCGTCAGCCGATTACTTCCCTCAGCCCAAACCAGTGGAGAGCTACCGGCCTTGTCCTGGGATACTGCTCCAAACCCATGCACTTGACGTTGCTGCATGCCTTGTTGACATATTCCCCGATGAGGCACGGCAGCAGTGCGCCCGGTTCCTCAAGGAGAAATGTCCGCCTTTTCTTCAATTTCAAAATGATGCTAGATTTCTTTACCTTCTTGGTCCCATAGCGGATAATACCAATCCTCCTCAACCCGCCTCTCTACCATCTCCTGCCGCTGGCGGCTCTACACCGACACCAACAGGAAGCTTAGCCTATAGCCAGCATACGCCGCAACCGCCACTATCCGCTGCTGCTGTATCCAGCGGGCTCTCCACTGGTCTTCCCGAGGGCGTCAATTGCATTGCAAGTCATCTTCGGGTTCAGTATCGCAACCGTGTCATAGGAGCATATCCCGTGCGTCCGTGGGAGCTTCTTGAAGACGCGGCCCCAATTGTTGGGATGAACGACACCGCATTGAGCCTGAAGTATTTCGATGCCAGGCGCGTTAGAGCCTAGCACATACTCCATTCATGTATATAATACCTACAACTCCACATTTGACCTTTCATTTCCCGTGTTTCATTGCGCTTGCTTCACATACCCATCTGCATATCCTCATCACATATGACATCTGCAACTTTTCTCATTGTCATGCATATTCACTACTTCTACTCTGGCCCCCCCCCTTTTCTCACATGACTCGCTGTTATTGGTTCGGCAACACTCCAGGAGAGGGTGTTAGGTTGCACATATGGATAGAGTTAGGCGTTCAATGGGATTCGGCATGTCATAGCATATCAAGGTTTATTGTTGTTCTCTGTTGCGAGTTGGCATCGAGGAGCGGGCTGCATAAGCGAAGTAAACATTCTGTCGTCTGGATGCTGTATAGGTATAAATTCATTATCAGTCACTTTCTCGAAACTGCGAATGATAGGGCGTAGCAGTAATAGTGGGGCGAGGGCCCAAATTGATTGAGGATTGGCGGACAGCTGCAGTGACGATTTGTCTAGCGCCATTGGGGCTAACTGCCAACATTGCTGGAATGAGCAGCATTCGAGCTGGGCATGCCACTTCCAATGCCATGCATCCGATAGTCTATGGCAGGTTGTTTGTTGCTTCCCCAGAGCATGACGCGATAACTGCTACTATGGCCAATGCAATTGCGGATGAAGCGGCCAATCAAGCGGTGAGAGCATGCAGCCTCAGGCAGCGACGGTATCACCTCGGATGTTCTTCTCCGACGTCATGCCGGGCGGCGAGTTTCTTCGCCTCATCCATGCCTGTTCGATGGGAGCCTGCGTTGGACTACAACCGTCTTGACTATTCGAAATTCAGGCCAAAATGATTCCAACAGCAAGATGTCTAGCTGCCAAGCCCTCAAGCTTCATCAAGCGCAGTGTAGATGAGCTGAGCCGCCTCTCCAAAGTTGGTGCGTTTTGCAGTCTCCGCATTCTGCCCGCGAGCGTGTTCGTGCAATACTAACTCGGTCGCTTTCAGCCTGGAACACGGAAGCTCTTCATACCCCGACGAAGCCCTACGTTCTCCTCGATTTCGAAGATGCCTCCACTGTTGCCGGCTGCAAGACAATGGCCGACCGCGCGGTCGGAGGCTTCAGCACCGCCAGCTTGGATCATGTTCCCGCGGACCCCTCGACGAACAGCCCGGCGCACGCTCGCTTCCACGGAAGTATCTCGACCAGATTGCCGCCCAATTGGCGCGTTGAGAGGACCGGTACGTTAGTCGGTGACTTGATTGCTCGCGCAGCCCTCCATCTGATTTGAATCCCACGACACCAGCACCGGCACAACCACCGCACATACCTCTTCCTACTCGTCGGGTCTAGCAAGTCCATACTAACGCGACCATTGGCTACTGAACAGGATACGCCGCCTTCCGCAACCAGGACCGCGGGCTTTGGCTCTTCGGTCGACTCTTCTGGGACGTGGATCCCTACGCCTACCTCGCACTGCGCGTGAAATCCGACGGCCGCCGCTACACGGTCAATATCCAGACCGACTCGATCGTCGAGACGGACATCCACCAGCACCGACTGTACACGCGCCACCACCGCGTGCAGCAGCGTTCGCACGAGGCCTTCTCGCCCTTCTCCGCGCCCGAAGTGTCCGAGTCGGCCGAGCCCGCCGAGACGCTCTACCCGCACGGCGTGCCGCCCTCGCTGTCGGATGTGCCGCCGGAGTCGACCATCATATCCTCGTCCAGCAGTGTGACGACGTCCGGGGAGGCGTCGCTGACCGGGTGGGAGACGGTGCTTCTGCCGTTCAACGCGTTTGTACGCACCAATTTCGGCCTGGTGGTCGAGCCCCAGACGTCGATTATGCGGCAGCGCGTCAAGAGTATCGGCATCGGGTTGACGGATCGCGTGGAGGGGCCGTATGATCTGCGAATTCATAAAATCTGGGCTACGAATGGCATGAGCGAGGCCGAGATCGAGGAGGAAAGGCGCATCTGCGGGGCGGATGCGTTGGAGGTCGATGAGGGCGTGCGCACGAACTGGATGGGTGACTCGTCTGATTCGACGGCGGAGGTTAGTGGGGGTTCAGACGACGCAGCTCAACCGGCGCCTAAGAAGAGCCAGGATAACAAGGGTAAGGGGCTGAAGGGCCTGCGGGATGAATGGAGCAGGTAATGGGGATTTGACAGATTGATACCACTACGAATGACTACTGTACAGTACATTGGAAAAATTGAGAATATATCCCGACCATTCTATCTTTTTTTTTTTCCTTTCACTCGCCCACGAGCAAAGCCGAGCAGTTGCTTGCTCTAACTATAATACGTGCAAATATATACTAGGTATACTCCCCTCAGGGGTAAGAATCAGTTCTCACCGCCGGTGATACGCTCCCACGCCTCGCGGTACTTCTGGCTAGTCTTCTGCACGACCTCCTCACTCATCGCCACCCCCTCCTTCCCCTTCAACCCTTCTGTAACCAACCAATCGCGCAAGAACTGCTTATCGAAGCTCGCCTGGCCCTTTCCGATCTCGTACGAGTCCTTCGGCCAGAACCGCGACGAATCCGGCGTCAGCACCTCATCAGCCAGCACGACCTCATTTGTCTCCTCGTCCACGCCAAACTCGAACTTGGTGTCCGCGATGATCACGCCACGCGTCAACGCATACTCGTGCGCGATCTTGTACAGCTGCACCGCCAGCGAGGCGACGGTGGAAGCGTAGGGCTCGCCAATGATTTCGACCGCTGTTTCCCCCAAACACCCCGGGGTAGTATATTAGCCCAACGACCAAGAAGAAAAAGTCACCATCCACCTAACCCCCACCCCGAACGGAAAGAAAATGGACATACCCTGATCAGGATGAATATTCTCATCATGCGCCCCCAACTCCGCCTTGGTACTGGGCGTATAAATCGGTCCACCCGGGAAGGCCTCACTCTCACGCAGCCCCTCCGCGACGCGGATCCCGTGCACCGTGCCGTGGGCCTGGTACTCCTTCCACGCCGAGCCCGTGATATAGCCGCGCACGATCGCCTCGATGGGCAGGATCCGCAGCTTGCGCACCTGCATGCTTCTGTTCTGGAGCACCGGCCGCAGGGCCTCAGGGATCTGGGCCGGGAGGTCCAGCGTCAGGAAGTGCGTGCGTAGGCTCGGGAGCGCTGTTGTGAGGATCTCGAACCACTTGCGTGTGCAGAGCGTGAGGAGGATGCCTTTGTTTGGGATGCCCTTTTATCATCGGGTGGTTAGTTTCGTTTGGGGACGGGGTTTATGCTTTAAGGGCTGTTGGGGGGGGGGGGAGGGGGGACATACATTCTGCATGATCACATCGTAGGCGGAGATTCGGTCGGTCGCGATGAATAGCAGCGTCTTCGAGTCCACTTCGTACAGGTCCCGGACTTTGCCGCGCGCGATCAAAGGCAGGGTGCCTTGGAGGTCGGTGGTGGTGTAGGATTCGGTCATGGCGAGGGATCTGGGGTTGATTGAGGGGTTGAGTGTAAAAACTTGGGAGTAAGTATGGGGAAGTCAGCTCTATTAATTATTGAGAGTGAGTCAAATTGCGGGAGTGCACGATAATCGATAAGCTTTTTTCCCGTTGGCGGGCGGGGTGGTGGAGTGCCTGAGGCTTAGTGTCTGATCCCTCTTACTGATTACTCGTATACTATTACAATCTGGACGGATTATGTAGGCAGTACGAATCAAATTGCTGTAATAGACTATGTCTAATTACAAGCAGGAACAACCGAGCAGCATCCCCAGTCACTCCTCATTCGAGCCATCGGCGGCGACCCGGTCTCTCCACCGGCTCGTCCCAGGTCTCATCGAAGATGTCGAATCCGACCTGGTCTTGAGGGTTCAAGTAGCGAATCGGGGCCCGTTGAGTCTCGATCTCAGCGATAGATTCCATACCTTCGCTGGTCAAACTCTTCAAGTTGATGTTATCCATGATGTGTGTCATCCGGACGGTCCTGGGGATCACGGATATACCCCGCTGCAAGTGCCAGGCAAGCATGATCTGGGCTGGCGATCGATAGTTTTTGATGGATAGTAATGCAATCTGTCGAATTAGGTGCCATTCGAACTTCTAATGACCGTTCGGGGAGCCGGCGACTTACCACTGGTTCATACAGTGGCCGCGGACGACGAGCCTCGTCATCGTCGTCGTCGTCGGGCTTGCCTCCAAGTGGCTGGTGAGCCATGACATGGATCCCTCGCTCTTTGCAAAAGGCTACAAGCTCGGTTTGTTGTAAATACCTATCAATGCATCAATTTAGTATCTATTAGGAGCCATGATCTCTCCCTCAAGGCCAATGGAGTCCTTACGGATGTATCTCGATCTGGTTGACGGCCGGCGGGATTCGAGCCGTCTGGAGCAATCGGTTGATCTTGAGAGTATTGAAGTTGGACACCCCTTGTGATGTGAGTAGTGAGTTAAACAAGTAGAACTACGAGATGCATACCTATGAGTCTCACTTTGCCCTTGTCGACGAGCCGTTCCATGGCAGCCCACGTTGCAGGGTACTGCCTCGATAGTTCGTGGTCAATGACCGGCTGTGAGATATAGCTTGTGTAAGTATGAGCTTGACTGATATAGAGGTTCAGCATGTACCTTTCCATCGGAATATCGCATGATAGTATTTTCAGGACCCGCACGGTAGGCATATGGAACTGTAGCCGCCAATCAACAATTGGTCTAGCAGGTTCGGATGGGAGGTTGCTCGTACAGTGCATGAGATACAGGTCCACTGGATGTCGCAGCAGCAATGGTCAGTGATTGAATGGCTGCCAATACCAGTGAGTGATATACTCACCGTAGTCCATTTGCAGCAACCTCAAGCTGCGGTCCAGGGCTTTCTCAACGTCCGCCGGAGCATGGCACGTTTGTGGCCTAGTTCATCACGATGCGTCAGTGATCGGACGTGAATGATAGACCACCCAGGCAGAGCAGACTGACAGCTTGGTGGTGATGAAGAGCTGATCACGAGGTACGCCACACTCCCTGATGGCTTCTCCCACTTGCTGCTCGTTTCCATAGGCAGTGGCGGTGTCGATGTGCCGGTAACCGCTGATCAGAGCCTTGATCACGGCGTCTTTGACCTTATAGTTGCCTGCCTCAGCTTGGAATGTACCTAGCCCAACCGCTGGAAGAGTATACCCTTTGACATTGAATGACTCAGGCAGAGGAGTTTCACCAGGAGGTCTCATTTTGACAGGAAGCTAATCGAAGGAGGCTGATGGAAGAGAGCAGGAAAGTCCAAGGTGATGAAAGCTGGGGTATAGAGGGATTCTTCTGGGTATTATATAAATCCTACGGCATGCAACAGCTTATTCCCTCACTTGCTTCTCTCCCTCTCCCTCTCCCTCTCCCTTCTTCTCTCTTCCTCTCACTCGCTGTGTCCCCGCTCTTTGTGGTGGAGGGTTGGGAATAAACACCCCGGCCATGTCGACCGATCCAGGCTAGTGACCAGGCCAACAGGCATGATGCCTACCTGCAAATGCATGGATGCGTCGAGTTAGTGATTCAGTACTTTTGTCACATTCAATCAATAAATTGGCAGCGGCTGATTCTTGACTCGGAACGCGCATGATGAACAAGGGCTCTGACTTGCTTACTCGCATACTCCGTACTTATCGGCGCATAGCCGGCAGAAATGACTGGTTATTTTCAGGAGGGACGAAGTGGATTCGTAGTCGAGTTAGCCTTGCAGCGAACCACCAATCATATCACCTCCTCGGGCGGCGGGTTGGCCCATTGCATATGCACGCCAACCGTGGCTGTCTGATATATCAATTCGTGCGAATCCAGCCAACGCCTCCATTTTACTATCACTTACCTCTTTGTCTACCTACCTTTTCACTTATTGCCAATTTCTTTCTTCCTTCTCCCTCTCAAACCACCCACATATCTTTACAGCTCTCTCACCAATGGAAAATGTATGACTATGCACGCCACCAGACTGTGGAGCCTTCCCCCCCCCCTCCTCTCTTCCTCTCTCTTATCCTTTAAACCTGTTAGAACTAAAGACATGGCCTTAGAATCCAAAAAGGCGCAAAATTACGCGACCATCATCTGGCCTAACTACCTTGCGCAAAAGTACAGACATCGTATGCAGTCCGTATTATGACTACAAAGGCTCTTTCGGCCTCAGTCTCTTGCATACCGTGCCGAATCCCGCAGTGGATTTGATTTTTGTGCATGGCCTGGGGGGAGGTTCGCGGCAGACATGGTCGAAGACCTCTGAGCCCTATCATCACTGGCCTCAAGACTGGCTGTCGCGAGATCCCGATTTCAGCCGAGCTCGAGTGCATAGTTTTGGCTATCAGGCTGACTGGCTGGCCTGGAAGACCAGTCCGGGGAGAATCGACAGCTTTGCTCAATTTCTTCTCAAGTCAATCAAGTCCAACTTAGACATATGTCGGAGCAACGTGAGTCCCACTCATGAATTGGCCCGAATGAGTTTGTTTGATTCTTACCAACCAATGTCATTATCATCGACAGTCGAAGATTGTTATAATTTCGCATAGTATGGGTGGTCTTGTGACCAAAAAGGTTAATTGTTTAGTCTTCCCAACCTCTTCTTCCCTGCTGCTGCCTCTTCACTGACTGCTCCGCCCGCCGCACTTCAGGCATATCTCCTCGCCCGGGATGACCCTCAGTTGCGAGAGGTAGTCAGCAGATTTCATTCATTTCACTTTCTGGCAACCCCTCATAATGGCTCGGACTTTGCAAGACCACTCAGTAGGGTCCTGAATGCCTACTTTAGCACCCAAGACTTTATGGAAGACCTTGAGCGCGAGGCTGAAGCGGCTCAGCTGATCAACAATGCGTTTCGACAATTTGCGGATGATTTCCAAATATGGTCTTTCTATGAGAGGCAAACTTCCGAAATCGCCATTTACAATGTTCCTGTCGTCAACCAAGCTTCCGCTACTCTGGGATCTCGCCAGGAAAGGTGTTTGCTTCTGAATCGAGGCCATAAGGAGCTATGCCACTTTGACCACTCAAGTGATCTGGATTACCGGGCGCTGCGGAATGCGTTAGCCGACACCATTGATTCGATTCTGGCTGAAAGTAAGCTCCGTCACGTATCATCCGGGGCTATACTCTGGTGTCTAATCTGTACTTCAGTCCCAGAACCACTATCCGAGGCAGCCAAGAAGCAATGCGTGAGAATGATGGACCTCACCGGTATCGCCGAGCCCCCGATGGACGACCATATTTCTTTACGACATATGAGGGCCCCTGGATCATGTAGATGGCTGGAAGCGAAGGACGAATATGCGACATGGAAGTCGGAGCGGCCTAGCAAACCAATCTTCTGGCTCACGGGCAGCGTGGGCGCAGGGAAATCAGTCTTGTCAAGTTCCGTCATCGATGACTTGACAGGGGACACTGTTCGATGCAGTTATTTCTACTTCAACCACGGGAACATGGACAGATCGTCAGCGGTCGGGTGTCTACTGTCGCTTGCTTTTCAGATGAGCCAGATTGACGAGACTCTCCGCGAACGCTTGACTTCGCTGCCACTAGGTGCTGAGACTTGGGAGCTGTTGGACGTGGTTACCATATGGCGCAAGGTCTTTCTGGGCTGCATCTTCAAGGACCGACTTCCGCAGCGCCACTACTGGGTTATCGACGCGCTTGACGAATGCCGCAACTTCCCCCTTCTGGTCTCGCTGTTGGTCAGAGCGCCACCTGAGTTGCGCGTCTTCTTCACGAGCCGTGACATTCCCTCAGCGATCCAATGTGTAGCTGCTCACGATACAGCCGTCGAGCATTATCACATCGAGGAGGAAGACATAATGGACGACTTGGGAATTTTGGTCGATAGGTGGGCAAATCGCCTTCCAGCTTCCAAGGACGGAATTCCTCCGACCATTCGCACCAGAATCCTAGAGGAGTCCAGGGGCTCTTTCCTCAGAACGTCCCTTATGATCCAGAAACTCGAGACTGCACGTTCCGCAGAAGCAGCGGAGGCTGTTTCGAAGGGGGTCCCCGCCAGTACGGAGGGATTTTATCTTGCAATGCTGCAAAGCATCCCCGAGGAACATCACACTTTGGCGCAAGCCGCCTTCAAGTGGACAGTACTTGCAATGCGACCTTTGTCGGTGGACGAACTCAGGCGAGCACTAAAAGCAGACACGGGTGAGACTATCTATGGTCAAGCCAGTTCCATTTCGATGATCTCGGGGCGGCTCTTGACAGTGGGACAAGACGGACAGGTCGAGTTCATTCATCACACAGCAAAGACATTCCTACTTCAGCAGAAACACGTTAAAGAACTGGCCATCAACCCATTCGCGAGCCACTCAAGGATTGCAACCCTATGCCTACAGTCCATGATCGCAGAATTTGGTGTCAAGTTCATGGATCGTAAATTTCGCCAAAGCTTGGACCCAGCAACAAGCCCCGTGGACATTACACAATATGCCGCCGTACACTTCTTGGATCATCTGCTACACTGTGCCCCGGAAGATCGAAAAGCATGGATGGCGCTATCCGAGTTTTTAGAAAATCATGTATTGATATGGGGGGAATTTCTCGCACGATTAGGGAAGTTGAAGCACGTGGCTCGTATAGCCAGCAGTTTGGAGCTGTACATGAAAACCGGTAACCATCAGTCTCGTCTCGTATTCGTTGACTACGAGGCTTTAAGGTCGTGGGTTCACGACCTGAGGAAAATATGTGCCCGGTTCTGGACTTTCATCCACACTTGCCCTTCGGCGATGCGGACCTTGATCCCTTCGCTCTGCCCTTCAACGTCAAAGATGGCTAAGTTCCACGGCTCCCCCGATACGGGTCTGATTATCAAAGGCCTGGACCACAAGGCGTGGAGTGAGATTGTCGCGAGAATGAACTATGAAGCAGCCGAGACCAGTGCTGTCGCTCTTGGAGATCTTCATACGAGCGTCGCTCTATCGGACGGCACGGTTTTCCTCTATCCCCGCAACTCACCTGAGCCCAAAGCGAAATTTAATCATGGAGAGCGAGTCAACCTGCTGCGGATCAGTAGCGACAACATATATCTGGTCGCCAGCGGTTCGCAGAAGGTGAGGATCTGGGAACTTCGGAATTTACGCGAAGTGCGGGCTATAGATGTTCAAGATCCACCACTGTCCCTGGTGTTCAGCCCGGACAACACCTCCCTGGTCGCCGCAACGGAGGGCAACGATGCTATTACCTGGCACATACAAGAGCACCCACAGGAACCATCGATTTGGTCGTGGACTGACGTTTTTAATCACGATTTGGCCGAGCCTCCAGACAGAGCTCTTCTCTCCGATGACGGTACATTTCTGGCAGTCACATACGGACCGGGGCCCATATACCTTCTGCAGGTAAATTCAGACCGTTTGGTAGCATGCTTTTGCAGGGACACCTTTGCCGGCGGACAACATGCTGTGGCAGCTCTAGCATTTCGATCTGGTCCCGGTTACGAGCTTCTGATCGCATCTTACACAGACGGGGAGCTGGTAATCTACGACAGGTGGACCACAGAGCCCACTTACCGTGCTGCTGTGGTATTCGCTCAGCACCTCGCATGTTCCCCAGATGGTCGATTCCTAGTCACTGGCGACCCACAGGGCTTTATCAAAATTTTCCGGTTCACAGGTACGCAGGAGACGGGACTGACATTGATCTATGAGGTCGAATCCCTTGTGGATACAATGATGGGGATCGCGATCAGCCGTGACAATTTACGGTTCGCAGATATTCGAACCTCTCAATGTCGCATTTGGGAACCGGAAGTGTTCATCAGTCGTCAGCTTGAAGCTGTTAGTGGAAGTGTGCCCAGCAAAGCGGTGAAACTTTTCGATGACAATGCAGAGTGGCTCGAAGGTGTCCAAGGGTCGAAGATAACAGCCATGTGCCTCCATTCCAATGGACGGTACGCATTCTACGGAACGGCAGACGGCAGCATATGGTACTATGATATCGAGAAGGCTATCCAGAGGGAAGTCCTCTTTAGCCATCCGACGAACAGCAAGATCACGTGCATTGCTTTGTGCGAACAGGCATCAGCACTCGCAAGCGCTGACGAATCTGGCCAAATCATGATCCATTCCTACGTGTGCAAGGCCACTGCCACTAAATGCTCTCCGGGCGTATTTCTGCATGGCCTCATCCACAAGGAAACCGTGCGGTCTATGGTTTTCAACACACCAGGAACGCGACTGGCATTGCAAGGGAGCCGATCGGTTCGAGTCTGGAGGATGCAGGGAGCCGACACATATGTGCGATTGGAGCTTGATCCCACTGAGAGCGAGGGTCTTGTTCTCGGCACTCATACGAATCCGCACTACTTCCTGGCTGCTAACCCTCGACGCTGCCACGTCGTCGCTTGGGATGACAGACCAGATCTGATAGCCGAAGCCATATTAGCGAAGACTAATCACAAAAAGAAAGGAAGCTTAAAGAAGCCGCCGCCCAATTATTTCACTTCTGTGGGGAAACGCTATGATGAATCCGAGAACAGACAGGTTTCCACGTTTCTGGCGTGGGAAATTGACCACCTTGCGCCCCCTCACCGAGACAGTCACGAAGCGGTCCAGCTGCATGGCCTCGAGACGGTCCTCAGCAATGTCTTACAGGTGATCAGTGTCTTTGGGAATCTTCTTGTCTTCGTCGACATGGACTTCTGGGTGTGCACACTTGATATCAAGCGATGGAATCAGAAACGAACCCTTGCGTGGAGGCATTTCGTCCTCCCTGGTGAGTGGAAAGGGTCTGATCCGTACTTCCTCATCCATTTTGTGACCCCGAGACGCGAGTTCGTGTTGGCTAAGGGGCATGAGATTCTTCTCATGAGGCGTGGCCTAGACTGTTGTGCCTTAATGGTGACGTGGCGAGCTCCCGAGGATAACGGTGGTGCAGTGTCCTTAGGAGGGTGATAGAGCATTCTCGTGTTGCTGCTGTTGATACTGCTGCCACTAATACACATCGGCAGGCGATTGTCGATACGGCAGGTCAAATGTGTTCAAGTCAACTACAGCGCGGAAGTAATGGTAATATGTTTTCTACAATGCATACACACTGCTGCGGTTAGCAGCTCCTACGAACAAAGACTGTGATTGAATCAAAGTGAATGACAATTCAATTGTTGTTTTACATGGAACTTCCCTCAGCTTACAACCTCCAAAGACCAATCTCTCTCTCTTTTCCCACAGGGCGAAAAGAAACTTACCATCTATGATTCATGCCAGGGCTTAACGCAACGGTTTCATGCTCCCTAAAAATCAGACAGTCAGCCAAACATTTGCCCCACGTTCCCAAATTCCGGATAGACAGCCCCGAAGATATCCTCGTAACGCAATGGCTCCCAGCGAGCACGCTGCTCACGCGTCGGCGGACTGCCCGGGACCAGCTCCTCCATGACCCAGCTCCACAGGGTCGCTCTATCCTCGGCGATATGGTAATATTCCTTGGGCGGCGTCAGAAGGACTCGGTTGATGGCGCCTTGTCCTGGTGCCGCGGCCTCCGAATGAAGCCAGACGTGGTTGCGGCACTGCACGAAGCCTATGAACGGCGCCGCGCTGGGGCTGTTGCGCCGCAGCACCCTCCACGAGTCCCGCAGCGCGGCCTCGCACTCTTCCTTGTACTCCTTCTCGCTCGGCTCCCAGGGCTTCAGCCATTGCACGTGGGAGAGTATGGTGTGCGGCATTATGTAATGTCTCCGTCTGATTTTGACGATGCGCCATGGTCCGGTAGGAGTCTGGTTGGTAGGTGCCTGGCTGGCAGAAGCTGGCGCGGTAGACTCCGTTTCTTGCGCCGGTTGGCGAGATGCTCCGTCTTCGGCGGATGACATGGTTGCAGTAAGTGTCCGGGTTGTATTGACTTGGGGTCTGTTCCAGACTGGTTCATTGCGCTTTTGGTGGCCTGGTACATACTTATAGAGATAGACAAGGGAAAGCTTGGAGGAAGATTCCATCTTGATAGCCGGGAGTATCCAACGCTCTTTGTCTTTGATCACGATGGACTGTCTTCGGGGTATGTCAGTTTTGGAACGTTCCTGCAAGGTATTCACCAGGCAAAACATGATAGGAGATGTACGACTGCAGCAGCATGGCAATGATCGTTCTGGCAGCAAATCGCCGGCTCTTGCTGCCCTGTTCCTCTATCGGACTAACTTGGTGCGCATAGTGTTCATGTCTAAGCAACAATCATCGATCAATATCCGCAATGTTTTCTCCACATTGTTTTTCGAAAACTTCCTGGGGCTGGCTTGATGGGTGATGGAGGAACCATCTGGTACGAGAAACTGCTGGTGTTGCTGATCAACTGTGAGATATCCCTCGATGTAGTATATATACCACGAGAGATTTACTCCACATAACCTACCAACCATTACTTCCTCAATCAGATAGATATCTATCTGGCAATAGTAAAATATGAATAGCAACAAAGATGACACAAAAAAACAAAAACATACAACAGAAGGGATTCGCTGGTGGTCACCCACCCAACTACTAACCTCCCGGCGTGTGGCTTAAGTACGGCTGAGCGGACGGGAAGCCCTGTTTTCCACACCCTGTGGTCGTATGTGCTTGTGTGGTGCATTGCCTGTATAATATGCGCTGTTTGCTCCTCCGCCCACTTCTCTTCCTTTTGCTTGTTTACCTCGCAACATCGACCCTTCACCACCTGCATGTTTCGGCTACCGATCTGAATACCAAGCCACTCTGCGGGGAAGTCGGTTTGCCATTTAGTTTTGTTATCAATTTCTTTCCATTGCGCCAGAAGGCCCCTTTTTTTCCGTGCTGGCTGTAACCCACAAACGGCTGCAGAGCTTCTTCATCCAGCTGGGGGTTTGTGCCGACGGAAATCTGCAGCTCCACCGTATACAATGTCCAGATAGGGAATCACCATGAGTCGATATCTCACCCCCTCCAAAATCGCGCTTCTGTGCTTAATCTCCGTCTATGTGGACGGCGTCGTCCCCAACTCCTCCGCGATTCATGTCCTCTCATTTCTAGTCTCATGCTTGAGTCCCTTGGGCCGGGAGGCGGCTGCCTCCCCTTCCACGTCGAGGAAAGACACTCGAAGCTCGGTGTCCATCAGCGACCTTGAAGAAGCCCTTCTCGGCCACGCGTCTTCCGTTCCGGGGCGCTCGATCTGGGATCTATTCCTGAAAAAGATCTGGTCGATCGACTCCTGCGATGCGCTCGAGGTCTTCTTCGGCGACATCTCGCACCTGCTGGCCAAGACCCGCGATGAGCAGATTCGGGAACGAGACGCGGGCCTGGCTCCCGAGACGGGCTCGACCAGACTGTCGCGATGCTCGCCTCTGGGCATGTTTGTCCGGAGATCGCAGTTGGAATTCACGCGACTGCAGTTCCATGACTCGGTCAAGCTTTGGAAGGGGTTCGTGAGGTACCGGTTGCCGACGTACCGGGTATGGGCTCGCAAGAACCCCGCCGGGATGCAGGCCCCCGTGGATATCAATCTGCTGGAGTTGGGTCTCGATACCACTAGCCATCTCTCGCAGGTGGCTTACGGCCAGATTGATGATGATTCGGATGACGATAAGTACGTCAGCACGAAGGATGTCGAGCGGCTCTTGGAATTCCAGATCAATGAGCTACAGAGTATAAAGCCCGTTCCCTGTGCTTGGAGGAGAAGAGTTGGCTAATGGGCTCTAGGCTTGGGTGGGAGGGTTCCGGATGGAATGAAAGCACAGCTAGAACGTATCATCGCATCCGGCGTGACGATGCCTAACTTGGTACACTATCTCAGGCAAGCTTGCTGTTTCCCTTCGGTTGAAACGAGAACTGGGACTGACGGGTTGGCAGGTTTCTCGATGCCTGGAGAGCGGGCGATTATCCGTCATCCTTTGACAACCTCCATCGCTACTTCGACTACACTATGCACAGTCGGGATCGAAGCTCTTATCAGTACGCGTTGTTGAACCTGGCGATCCTGCAGGCTGACTATGGCTGTCATGGAGAAGCTGTCTCGGCCATGCAGGAGGCTGTCTCCATTGCCCGTGAATCGCATGATATGAATTGTCTCAACTTCTGCATGAGCTGGCTCTATCACTTTGGTAAGGCATTCCCAGAGCAAATGAAGGATATACAGAACACAGGCATGCTGGGCAACGAGAAGGAGGGTCTCTCATTTTTAAAGGCGAAGGCCAAGGAGGCGGAGATGTGGAGTCTTCTGAGCACAACTTTGTTGAGTGAAGCCAAGCTTGAACTGCAAAATGTATGGCGTGCCCATTTTTACCGTCCTGACGTTCGACTAATATTGCCCAGGGAGAAAGTCTGGCTTCGTCCATGGAGAACATCATCCGTGCCTCGCATCTGAATGTCACGAAGAATTTGACGAACTCAGTAGGACCGCAGCTTCTACTTCAGGCATCGCTATTTACGAGAATAGGTTCTGTCCCTACGCAAACAATGTCGGGTCAGGGCTAACCATTCAGCAGGGGTCACCCACTTGACTTGGTTGAGCAGTGAGATTTTCCGCCAATGTTACGCCAGCAGGGCGCCATTCGAGGACTATCTCAAGAGCACATTCCGCAGCTGCCTGCTTGTATGTTCAAGTTCACCCTCGTCCCAGCGACCATTTTGCTGACAACCGTAAAGCTCGCTCAGCAGGGTCGCTACAAAGAGATCTCGATCCGCATGGATCAAGTCACGCCCGAGAAGCTTCGATCCTTGAAAGCCAACCAATACTGGACCTTCTTTACCGGTGTACTTCAACTTAAACGCCAGATCTACCGGTATGACATCTCCACAAACCTCTAATCACAACCGGACCTAACATCCATCCAGCGACAACCAAGTGGCCACCGAGCATCTCCTCTCCCAACTGCAAGCGATCCAACTGCCAGACACCGACATCTCCATCCTTCTCTCCTTCCTGACGATCGACCTCCACATCCGCCAGGGCAACTACACACGCGCACTCGAGCTCGTCGAGAAGACCGCCCAGTCCGTCCACCAGGACAACTTCGACATCTACAGCCAAGTCAAACTCCTCTGCCTGAAGGCGCGCATCCTCGAGAAGACAGGCCACCCGCAGCGTGGCTTCTCGCTCGCCATGCGCGCCGCCAGCATCGCCCACCGCGCCCGCCTCCTCCCCAGCCTGTGGGAGTCCATCTGCGTGTTAGCGGGCGTGCTGCTCAGCCTGCGCGAGTTCGAGGCCGTCGCCGCCCTGCTGGAAAGCATCATGCCGCAGATCCTGGAGTCCGACGATTGCGACCTCGCCGCCCGCGCGTACTCGCTCCTCGTCGACGCCCACATGGGCGTCGCGGGCTCTCTCTGGAGCCAGGGCCAGGCGGCTCACTCGCCGCTCAAGAAGGAGTACATGAACCGCGCCCTGGGATATTTGGATTGCGCCTACGAGCAGTACGAGGAGCTCGAGGATATCAAGGGCCAGTGCGAGATGATGGCTAAGAAGGCGACGCTCATGCATCTGACGGGGGATCCTGTGCTCGCCAATGATTACGCCGCGAAATACCTCGATCTCAAGAAGCAGCAGCGTCTTGAGACTGCGGAGGTTTAAGCCGTGATGATGCTTGACGGGTCAATTGTATGGGATCGATCCTCCCTCCTAATGAATTCGATGCTAGATCCATGTTTACATAGCAATGAATGTACACTACATTTTCAATCACGCCGTCTACAAGTCTACCATAGAGTTGGACAGGCACTTGCACCAGGCAATTGCACCAGGCACAACCAAACCGCGTTGGGATTTACGTGCAGCAGTACAAAAGAGCGCAATACACAAAAAGAAAATAAAATTGAAGCAGCATTGTGTGACTCGCTCTCTCTCTCTCCGTCCTCTCCGTCCTTCCCCCTGGGATTCCTCTACATTCTGCAGATTCCGCAATAAATGTACATTTGGTCCTCCGGCATCCGGTCTACGACCGAGAAGCTCCCCGAGGAGCTACAAGCCCGTCATCCGACGACTAGCCATTTAGGTGGCCTTGTCCTTGTTGTGGTAGTTGACGCTGGAGTTCCAGCTGAAGGAAGAAAAAAAAGCTAAGTTAGCATCTGAAGCAACAGAAAAAGCGAGTCGACTCGATCCGTTCCCAGCTGCTTGTTTCGCGGTGTCGACAGCGGGAAGCGCAACAGTGGTTTGGGGGAGCAGCTAGAAAAGGTTCTGATAACTTACAAGATGGTCTGTTATGGAGAGAAAATCGGAATTAGCTACCGTCTTGCTGGGTTTACAATTGCGATTGGGTTAAAAGGAGGAAATCTCACCTTGTCACCGTCTCCCCAGGGGAAGTTCTTGACACGGACGTTCTGGTAGGGGTACTCGGTGCGCTCCTCGAGAGGGGGCATGTGCTCCCAGTGCTCCCAGTGCTCCTCCCAGAGGTTGTAGGCGTTGATGCCGCCGAGGATCACGACGGGGACGACGGCGCTGCGGGGAGGTCGTTTGTTAGTATGGGTGTTGGTTTGGAAGGTTGTGAGGTTGAGTGATGGGTCGGGAATGGGTGCAATTGCTGGTGCTGTGGAGAGAGTTGTAGTGGCTAGGAGCGGACGGAACGTACTAGATGGAGAGCTTGCGCCAGAGGTCTGTTGGACATAGCAACCCATTGCGTTAGCATGATACCAGATCCAGACCCAATTGATAGACCGCAGAACAACAACTCCAATTGCATTCGTTCCAATTGGGCTGGAAGGTTACTACGCACCACTGGTGGCAGCAGCGTGGTGCTTGACGGCCTCTCTCTCACGGTTGAACGCGTTGTCGGCGGCCCACGAGGGGAGCTTGGACTCGGTGTGGGCAAGGCGGCGCTGAACGTTGGCGCGGACCGGAGCAGCACGCAGCTGCTGGGTCAGGCGAAGAAGGCTGCGCTGAGCGGACATGGTGGGTGGTGGTTTGAGGGGACGGCGGCGTGGGTGACAATCGAAGTGTCAGTGTTGGTGGTGGTGGAACAACGTACGACGTCTGTTTGACGGTGGGATTATCGGCGGATGTCGGCCCTGCCGGCTTAACGAACCAAATCCCGTTTAGCGTCCCCGTGATTCGCTGCCTGCGGCCACAGCCAGAGTGTCCTTATGTCAGCAAAGAGCTGACCGCCGCGTGATGTCACAGTCACGTGCCTGTCCCGATGCATGTCCGTTGCTGTCACTCGACGACCGGAGTTAACTCGTTGCTGCTGGACCCATACATCCGAGTCGTCGTGTGGCGGCGACATAATCCAGATATACTATCCCACCAAGCTTCGTCCCTTCCGAGTGGATATGTGTTGACCAGACTAGTAGAGACGGAATGGGGCTTCGTATCACAACATGGAACGGTGAGTGCGGAACAACATAGTGGCTTTGTTGATAGCATGAAGCCTGGCTGGAATTCATACTTACTCGTAGTTTGCAGTCAACGGGATTCGGTGGGTCAGACTGTGTCGTGGCTTCGAACTATCTGGCGCTGACTCGACGCAGAAATCCATTCGCCTACGAGCCATGGAGGGGGAGGCGCACCTTCGATGTATATCACGCTCTCGGCTCCCGTGCGCGTTGTGATCTAGACTGACGTGCTTAGGCGATGTTTGACATCCTCGAGGCCGACATTGTTGTGTTTCAAGAAACGAAAATCCAGCAGAAGGACCTCCGCGATGATATGGTCCTAGTACCCGGATGGGATTGCTATTTCAGTTTGCCCAAGATGAAGAAAGGTAGGCCTGGTGCACGGAGCAGGCTATCTGACCTGGCTGACCCCACCCAGGTTATTCCGGGGTGGTCATATACACCCGTAATGCAACCTGTGCCCCCATCCGCGCAGAGGAAGGGCTTACCGGTACGCTGTGTCCACCTAACTCGTCGGTCCCCTTTCGCGATCTTCCCGAAGACCAGCAGATTGGCGGATATCCAACGCTAGAGCAGCTCAGTAAGCTCGAAGTCGATCCCGCTACGCTGGACTCGGAAGGGCGTTGTGTCATTCTCGAGTTTCCTGCTTTCGTACTGCTTGGTATCTATTCGCCTGCGAACCGAGACGAGACCCGTGACTCCTTCCGGCACGACTTCATTGATCTGATGGACGCTCGCGTTCGCAATCTCGTCGCTATGGGAAAGAGGGTGTTCGTCACAGGTGACTTGAACATCTCCAGAAGGGAAATCGATGCAGCCCATGTGGGAGAGTCGATTCGAAAAGGAACTTTGACCGAGGACGAATGGATCTCGACCCATGCTCGACGTGTTTTTAACCAGTGGTTTCCGGATGGTAGAGTAATCGGGGAGCGTGACGAAGGGAGAGATGAACCCGTTCTTCATGATATCTGTCGATCGTTCTATCCCGATCGTAAAGGAATGTATACATGTTGGGAGCAGAGAATCAATGCCCGCCCCGGCAACTATGGCGCACGAATTGATTATGTCCTATGCAGCTTGGATATGCAAGATTGGTTCTGCGATTCCAATATACAGGAAGGGCTTATGGTATGCTTCGAAGGCCATGGTGTCGACCAGATCCTTTGCTGACCACAGATGACACAGGGCTCGGACCACTGCCCTGTCTATGCCGTTATCAAAGATAGCGTACTTGTGGGAGGAAAAGAGACGAATATTCTTGACATCATGAATCCTATTGGTGTCTACGAAAAGGGCAGGCGTCAGCAAGAGTACACGACGAAGCTGTTGTTGCCTACCTCAGGCCGTCTAATCCCAGAATTTGACAAGCGCAGGAGCATCAAGGACATGTTCATGCGCAAACCCTCCAAGTCTTCCCAGAACTCACCCACTAGAGCTACGACAAACTCTCCGTCAATTCAAACGCCAGGAGCAACCGCGGCCTCCGCTTCCCAGAAGACTATTAACGAACCGGTCGGCAATGCCAATGGCGAAAGCAGAGGCATCGTACGCAAGCGATCAGACAAGCCTGAGTCTCCCATCAAACGATCGAAAAGCACGAATGTTCCAGCACCCGCGCCTACTAGCGCTGGGCAGAAAACTCTGAAAGGGTTCTTCAAACCGAAAAGCGCCCCCGCGAATCCTAACGACGAGTGTTCCATCCAAGATGTTAAACCTGATACCGCTCAACCGTCGACTACCGTCTCCAACGCGATTTGTTCGGCAGAGTCCTCGCAGTTTAAGGAGCAAGGATCCGTTAACACTGTGACCAGAATGTCTGCTGATGAAGAAGCCAGCGCCTATATCTATTCCAGTGTACCCAACCACAAAGTAGACGACATTGTTATTGATCCGATCGCCACCAAAGAAGATTGGTCCAAGCTGTTCACAAAGCGACGAGTTCCTCCTTGCAGAGGTCATGAAGAACCATGCATCAGCTTGACGACGAAAAAGCCTGGACCGAACTGTGGACGGGCCTTTTGGATATGTTCGAGGCCTCTGGGACCGAGCGGCAACAAGGAGATGGGAACGCAATGGCGATGTCCGACGTTCATTTGGGCAAGCGATTGGAATTCGCAGTCATTGTAACTGTAAAGGAGAGCTTATATTAGCGAAGCCCGATAATGGTTTTTGTTTGGCAGAGTTGAAGAAAATGATACCCCCACCTGCGACTCTAGAGCTCCTGTGTGAGTCGAAGGTTGATAGTTGAAATAGCAACCTCTCGTTCTCTGTGTGTATTTATTGACCAAACAAGCTGGTATTGCGCGGATGCAATGCAATATCCATGACTGTGCAGCCAACATAGTTTGTTGATATTGACTGCCATCACCACGCATAACGGACCGGCCTTTCAGCTTCACAATAATAGCAAACACACTGGCTCCGCCGCCAGCCACCACCCTTTGTTTGTGAACCGGCGACTCACAGTTAGCGGTTCTATCCACAGCGGAGAAGTTTTGGCAGGTGATCATACCTGATATTACGCTCCCAGACCCGCTTGGAATATCCACTTGCGCATCCAAAGCGGAGACCTGTGTTATTGTCTGAACAAACTGCTTCTGCGCTTTCCCAACCGCGTGGGGCTATTGACATCGGTGGCATTCGGGGTTAAAGTTGACTCTCAACAATCTGAGGCTTCTCGAGGTCGTGTTACTGTGAAGTTCATAGGTGGTGGAGGCGGACTTCGATAAAGACTAATCTGAATTGGAATATCAGCGGCCATAATAAAAAAAGGAAGCAGGCAAACCTATGTGAACCATAGACTTGCCCAGAAAAGCTGTAGTCATTCCAAACCACCATATGTTAGATTTCTAAAGATGATCCTATGCACATTGTTTGTAGTCTCCACGAACTTGGATGCAATTTATGCAATCTGACCCCACTGGATGCATGGTTAACAGAGAAAACATGAGACACATTCTTAGAAATATCCTAGCTAGCATCAGCCATGTCATAATAGTCTGTCCAAAGATCGTGATGCGGGAAGGTACAATCTGTTCCATTTGAGAAGAATGAAAATACAGGAAAGAAATAAAATAGCAAATGATATTGAAGAGATCACAAAAGGGTGCCTCAGTCTGAAGACGAATCCTCGGTCCTCCTCTCCCCCCCCCCTCTCTCTCTCTCCCCTACTCCGAATGTATTGTGGGCAAATCAAAACGTAGCGAACATCAAGCGATATCAGAAGTATGAGCAGCCTGGATCAGCCAGAAAGGCCAAGCTCCCGACCAATCGGAGCCACTCTCTCCTCCGACGTTGCTCGAATCATCACTCAATTGACTTGATGTAGTAGATGTCCGCCAGGAAATCCGACAGCTCGAAGCGCTCGCCAGCAAGTCTCTCGTTCATGCCGTAGTTCGCAGAAGCAAAGATCATCGCGCGCTGGTTCTCGCTCTCGAACTCCGCGATGAGATTGTCGAGCTCCGTAGCACTGAAGTGCCAAGGGCCCTCGGACATAGCGGTCTTATCGGTACCAATGACGACGTTGGAATCAGAGCGAATGCTGTTGGGAGTTTGGACATTGGTACCAGGCGCCGAGATGTTGGAATCTTCAGGTGTAGGAGGAGCGACGTCGAGAGCAGTGCATGTCGCAGTAAGAGTGCGAGACCGTTTAATAAGCTTGGGGTCGGGGCGCGATGAGCCACGTCGTTTCTTCTTGGACGGCTTGCGTGGAGTATGATGGTAATCCGGACGGTCTTCGGCGTGCTTGCGTTTGATCTCTCCTGCCACTTTCTTGTACTAAAGCTTGAGATGCTTGGATTGGGCCGATTAATGTCCTTCATACCATATCCAGCTGGGGTATCATTTGGAGCTGCTGAAATGTGGCAGCCCCATCGGTATGTAGCTCATGGTGTTCTTGTAAGCCTTTCCTTGCGGGTCACCTAAAATGAACTCTACAATATGATTTCTTGATATTGTGACAAATCCCACAGAAAGGGAGAGATCCAAAGACAAAGGGCTGACTGGTGTCGAGTGAACGTTATCATCTTCTAGTTAATAACTCCGCTAAGCTCAGCCTATCAGTAGAGCATCCGCTCTGTGTCTCAGTGAATGATGGGAGAAATCCTTTGTCTGAACCCGCCTCCACGACTCACAACCGAGTGGCATCATGAACAATCTTAACACTGTTCCTATTGTCCTCCTTTTGTCTATATATCCACCTCCACATCCTCTCTCACCTTGACCTTCTCTTCTTCGTCCCTCAACCATCCCCTTTCTTCTCCCCTCATCCTTCCTCAACCATCTTCCGTCCTTACGAGCATCATCCTCTTTCGCTGAGAAGATATTGTGTTACAAGCCAACCTCAAATCCGAGTTTTCACATTCGAAGAAGGATGGAGAACCCGAATACTCCCCTTCAGCGCGCTTTCAACGCATTCTTGACAACCATGCCTCCCCAGCAGCTCTCAGAGTTGCTTCAGCACCTTCAGGACAACATGCCGCAGGTCACCAACAAAGACATCCGCCCCTCCCATGAGAGTGAGACTATTGCAGAAAGTTCGCAGGCGATCCACGACAATGCCAATGCAACCGTCGATCATGGAGATCCTGGTACTCCGACACCGGCTTCGCGCGTGAAGAAGGCTCCTCAGGAGGGAAAACGCAGACCACTGAACAGCTTCATTGCATTCAGAAGTTTCTACTCGGTCATATTTCCCGAAATCACCCAGAAGGCCAAGTCGGGCATCCTTCGTTTCCTGTGGCAGAACGATCCCTTCAAAGCGAAATGGACCATCATCGCCAAAGCCTATTCCATCATCCGTGACACTCATGAAGACGAACATAGTGTCTCTCTCGAAACCTTCTTGAACCTCAACTCGGGTATGATTGGTATCATCCAGCCTGATCGCTATCTCGATGTGATGGGTTGGCAGCTTGCTGTCGACAAATACCAGCAGTACACCATGACCAAGGTCAAGCTCCCTACCACCACCGAAGGTCAACTTTCTACCAACTATTCCGTCGATGATATCATCAAAAATTGCTACGACACTGGCTATGTCTCTGGCGGAAATCGCAACAATGGACCCGGTCGCAGTCGTAACCCTGCTGTTATGGCTTTCGCTGCCCAGCCAACTCTTGTTGTCCATGATCGCAACAGCATCCAGATCAATGACAGCCACACCATCACTACTGGGAATCGTGATGGAAGCATTCCCACGAAGGCTGCTTCTCCAGACAATGCCACCGAAAGCTCATCCCCTGAGTCGAACGACATACCCGCCACTATCGAAGACAACCACAATGAGCATGCGGAAGCACTTCCTGTCTTCGATTTCATGCAGGTACCTCAGTGCAACGACTTCCAGCCTGATGAGACATTGCTTTCACTCTGGAACGAGGATGGACCGATGCATCAGTATGGCGCCGCATTCCCTCCATCGATTCCTAACTTCGATCCACTCATCTACAACGAAGCCTATGATACATTCGACTTCGATCGTTTCATCATGCTTTGATGTACGACACTCTACATCCACCATGCATGGAGACAGTACGAGGAATTTTGTGCGCAGAAAAGCAAGAGTGGCATCAAAGATTTTGGGGGCTCATTGTCATTTCAACTGCAACTTTGAAGACGATGCATTGATGGCGAATGTTTTCAATTGATGGATTTCCTGCAATCATTTTCCCTGTACACACTGCATGAGCAATTTGTTTTTGTTTTTCCTAAGATACATGGAAAAGTCCGACGGACCAAGACTCTGCCGCATTTCATTGCGTCGAAGAAATGTTGAAACAATTTGAGGGGTCAAACGGAGTGGGTCGGTGCGATGATGGAGGACTTTTCAGATTACCTTTTTTGATCTACCAAGTTGTCATCTCTCGTTTTTGTTTTACCAGACTGCCATACTCTTAGGAATCAAACTCAATAGTCGCAAATCCTTTATCCATATCAGTAATCTCGAGTTTGAATCGCGAGGTAGATCAGATCATTAGAGAGGACACGACCTAGTTTGACAAGGAAACCCTCAACGAGTGGTGAAGCGAAGCAGTATGGATCTCATCCGGTCCATGGCCATGCGAGACAGGGCATTTTGCAATGAACCATAGCTCTACTGAATATGAGTGGAGACAAAAGCCCAGACATCCAACCATTTTACCATCGGCTTCACAACCTATGGCTGGACCTTCGAGGCCATGAGCAGGTGGCCAAGATGACAAAGAGAAGAGGAAGTAACGACCGCCATTTGAACGGAAGCGGAAGCGTCCCCTCCCTCTCAGTTCATCATTGCCTCCTTCTCGCCAACCAGATTGCTTCGCGGCTTGGTGATCACGGTACCTCGTGGTAAACAAAGAACCGCCGGCTGGTCGTTGTGAGAATCATGCGGGGAGGACCAAAGATTGTAGTTTGACCGAAATCATGGGCGCATCTGCGTTCTAGAGTCATCGAACTTGCGTCTTCGCTTGTGACGCGACCCTACATAGAGCAGACGGGGACAGAAGTGTTTCCTCGACCCATGGCACAACACTAGAGGCTCGTGCGTGGTGCTGGGAGGCTTTGAGACTAAAAGACGCAGGCTTGCAGCAGACGTTCTGCTAGAGGACCCCCGAAGCCTGCATCTGCAACGGTCCGCAAATGGCTGCTGTGTAGCCTGCAAGCCAGACTAAACTTGAATGGTTCCCTACACTCGGTACGCCCTGGTCGCTATCGTCCTCGTTCAAGTGCTTTCTGAAAGCCAAGGATGCTCCACCTTCGTGCAGTACCAACTCTACCGACAGGAACACACTTGGCTCCTGCAGCGTTTGCATGGTTCGATTCGGTTTCGTGGCCAATCAACGCGTTCAGGCGAAGACACACGGATCATTGGTCAAATGGCCGCTTTCGGCAGGCTTGGCCGTGGTTCTATACAAAGGAGGCAATTCCTTGTGACTCTCGAGCTATCTCTGGCGCGGAAGTTGAGCTTCTGGCGGGCGAAAAATATTTCCTACAGCTTTGAGGGCTGTGTCATTCCTACATGATTGGGTCGTGACATTAGCAACTTGGGGCTATGGCAGGGGATAAAGTCTGACGCCAATGGGCAGCCATCGCCTCGTTGTGAACTAAAAATACTACGCACTCGCAAGGAGACCACTCGGGAGGGCTCGTTCGCCAACAGGGCTTGCGATTCTTCAACAAGGAGGCCTCCGCTAATCCATTTTAATTCGAACTTAGTCACGCCTGGACTTAACTACGCCGACAAAGCCCTGCACCAACCTATCTTTGAGAAGCGTAGGCCGAGAGGACGTATGTTTCATCGTGCTGTTGGCTTTAGACTTCAGCTAACACGCCTCAAGGTTGTGAACAGAAGTTCCCCTTTTCGCAAGTTGCAGACAGTAAAAAATCCACCGTGATCAGGACGCGAGGCATGCGCAGTTATGCATTTTTTGCACTGTGATCCCAGAGGTTTTGAGTTCTTAGCTGCGGAATCGCAGTTCCGGGCCGAAATATGTGGATCTTTGTCTCCATTCCAAGCCGGAAACTCTACCAATGCTCTTGTGCGGCTGTCGATCTAGAGAGCCACCACGGGCTGGCCATCTACTCGTCAACCTACTGTGCTCAGATACCTCGCGTAAGCCAGAGGGATCACCTTGCGATGCGACATGATATAGGCTCTACCCAGGAAGACGGGGACTGCAATAGACAATCCAACCTTGCGCTTGCTCGCACTCGAAAAAGATCACAAGATGGGCTCTTTATTGGGCTCGGAGTACTAATCGAAGCGATGCAAGACTAGCAGTCTAGTTTGTCTCATTCTAAACAGCATCTGCCTCACGACCATCGTTGGGGCATAGGGGCGAGCTGCTGTATAGAACTTGTCCAGCGCTGCGATAGACTTGTCAAGCTTGGCAGAGTCAATATGCGTATTTCAGGTCCGTGCCTGAGCTGTGTCCAGCGTATCAAGCAATGTTGACAGCTATAAGACATAGGTGCGCGAAACCACTTTTGTCACCTGGTGTGCTAGTGTATATCGCCTCAGACATGTACTGTACAAAAGTACCATGCACGCCCACCTTCGTCTTGTCCGGCCCCGGGTGAGCAACAAGGAGTATCGGTCAGAGAGACGACCACCCTTCTTCCTCGACCGCGGTTATGAGAGAGACACACATCGAGGATATAGAAGGATTGATGCATAAATTTAGAGGCGACGTCCACAGGGTTTGCCTAACATATCCGACCGCTACGGGCTTAGAAGTCCACAGAGTCGCCGTCCATCATCTTGCATGCTTGATATGTGGGGCGATGTCTTAAGAAACAAATAAACTCGGACGATGGTTCGTTGGGAAAGAGTGTCAGCGTTTCGTATGGGAGAGATGGCGCTGCTGCGTCTTGTTAAAGGGTGGTGGTGGTGGTTGTCTAAGCATGAAACGTTTCCTGTCAATGAGCTCTTCAAGTTGTTTGTTCAAGTAGAAATTCAACACATGCGTATTTGGGAGCATCTATTTTTGGTGATGTGGTGTAGGCTCGGGCTCGTTGGTAAGTTCCAAGTTCTTTGCCTTATCCAATGAAATATTTTTGCATGGCAGCGAAGAGGTTGTCGATATCGAGAATCTTGAATGCATTTGAGTTTAGATACTTGCGAATCGTGGTGCACTCCTATATTTGCAAAGATCTGGTGGTAGGTAAGCAAATGAAACCAAAGACTCAAGAACGTGACGAGCATTCGCTTGAGATAGCGCAGGGCATCAGAGTCTGGTACATTGAGGTATTCCTGGGTTTGAGCAGCAAATCGCACAGTGGCTCAATCCCATGTAGTGACCGGATTCGATGTGGATGGTTTGCTGGAAACTCCTAGATCTTAATGATTCTTACAAACAGGTTTGATTCAAAGCTACAGAAACTATTGTTCCTAGTTTAGTTCCCAATTACTATGGGAGAGTAGCATACATGACTCGGGAGTCGAGAAATAGAAAGTCAACCCCCCATCCAGAACAACGGCGTTACCATCAAGCCATCTACCCACAGCTGCATGGAAGGCTCGTTGTTAAAGCCAGTCGATGATTTCTGAAAGCCTTCTCTGCATGCATTCACTGTTTTGTTGTTGAAACCTGAATCGTTGCCTGGCTCATGTGACCTGGCCTGCATTGGCTTATCCTTCGAAAGTCACTTCCTTTTGTAAACAAACCCAGAACATCACCCTCGTGGTTCATAAACATCCTCAGTCGCATTTCCTCCTATCTAGATTCTCTTCCCCCTTGGAACACACCATCCAGACCACCCGCACCTGTCAAGACGCGTCAACTCTCCCAAAAACGATGCCCGAAGAAACCTTGAAAGCGGGGCACTTCCAGACCCTCACCTTCGAATCTCCCAAACGCATCGTCATTACCGACACCCTCTATGGCACGCACGAGATTCGAGAGCCCGTCCTAATTGACCTCCTCAAGTGTCCCGACCTCCAACGCTTGATCGGCATCGGTCAGCACGGCGTCACAGGCCACCTGGGCTTACTCCCCGGCGCCGTTAAGATCACGCGCTTCGAGCACTCGGTGGGCGCCTGTCTCCTTGTTCGTTCTCGCGGCGGCACTCTCGAAGAGCAAGTGGCCGCTCTCCTGCACGACATCAGCCACACCGTCCTCAGTCATGTCGTCGATTGGGCCTTGTCCAACCCGGACGAGGAAAGCTTCCACGAGGTCCACAAGGCCCGATATCTCCAGACGACGCGCATTCCCGACATTCTCATCCAGCATGGACTGCCTCTGACGGTCCTACATGAAGAGCAGTACCCGCTCGTCGAGCTGCCGGCGCCGCACCTCTGCGCGGACCGTCTGGATTACTCGCTCCGCGATGGGCTGGCCTTCGGAAAACTGGACCAGGATCGTGTGTGTGAGCTGCTGCTGTGCTTGCGTGCCTTTCCAAATCCGACAGCCAAAAACCGCATTCTCGTCCTTGAGAACCGGCGCGTGGCGCTCTGGTTTGCGCGGGTCTACATCCAGATCGACCAGGAGGTGTGGTCCAATCCGGCCCATGCAGACATGTACAGGCGCACGGGGAAGCTGATTGGGGATCTCGTCCGGGGTGGTCTTATGTCGGAGGAGACGCTTTGGAAGCTCTCGGATCAGGAATTCTGGGGCTTGTTGTTGCGTCTGGCGGATTCGGATGGGGTGGCGATGCTGAAGAGGTTCGAGGCCGAGGGGTTGATGGAGGAGAAAGGCCTGCTTCTTCCGAAGAATGCCAAAATCAGAACAGTGGATCCTGATGTTTGGGAGAATGAGTATGTCCCCTCGCCTTTGTCGAAGTTGAATCCCGAGTGGGCGGCGGAGCGTCAGGCATACATTGCTCGTCGGGAAGCGACACGGGAGTTGGACTGAATTTGAGTTATGTACGTCTGCGAAGGTCTGGCCTGGTTACTTCAGGATCAGTCTTTGGCTTTATGGCAGTTCACGAAAGACTGGCTGCTTTCTCTTCTAACTAGTTACAACCATACATGCAGGTGCATGATAAGTTACAGAGAGTAGCCACGAACAATGAGTCTCATAGGACAGAACGATCAAGCATGGTTTTCAAGCTAACCTGAATCTAATCTACCTCATGGCATCGACTCTAGCCATAGCGCGCGTCTTTAGGCTCGTCATCGAACCAGACAGGAGGAACGCCATGATTGATGACCGTACTTTTGAGCTTGGTGTAGCTCTCGTAAGCTTCCTGGCCATTCTCCTTACCGATCCCACTCTCCTTGAACCCACCCCAGGGCGACGAGGGGTCATTCAAGTGGTGGCCATTGATCCACACAATCCCCGCCTCGATCTGTTCTGCAACGCGATGAGCCTGAGTGAAATCGTTCGTCCAGACCGAAGCCCCCAACGCAAAGGACGTGCTATTCGCAATGCTAACAATCTGCTCCTCCGACTCACACTTGAGCAAGGCAATGACCGGACCAAAAACCTCATTACAGGCCAGATCCGAGTCAGGATGCGTCTCGATGATCGTGGGTTCGAAGTAGAACCCCTTCCCATCTCGATTCGAAGTCCGACGCCCACCACAAACAACCCTCCCACCCTCTTTCACAGCACGCTCCACGAACGCCTCGCATCTCTCGACCGCAGCCCTCGAAATCACCGGCCCAATCTGCGTCTGCACATCCGTCGGATCGCCCACCCGCAACGCCCTGACCCTCTTCTCCAACATTCCCTTGAACTCCTCATACAGATCCGCATGCACCAACAACCGACTCCCAGTCACGCAAGTCTGCCCACTTGCAATAAAGCCCGCGAACAACGCCGCCTTAACCGCCGTCTCGACCTCCAAACTGGGAAACAAGCACACGGGAGCCTTCCCGCCCAGCTCGGCAGTGATGGGGACGAGATTCACCGCCGCGACAGCCGCAATGGCCTTATACGTCGCCAGACCACCGGTGAGATCGATCTTGGCGATCCGGGGACTCTGGCACAGATATTTGCCAGTCTCAGCCCCATACCCACTGACGATCTGCAGCACCCCGTCGGGCAGCCCGGCCTCCTTGAACAGCAACCCCATCTTCAGCACGGACAACGGCGCCAGCTCGGACGCCTTGACGACCACGACATTGCCGGCTGCCAGCGCGGCGCCGATCTTCTTCATCGCAATTAGCAGCGGGTGGTTGTACGGCGTGATCAGCGCGACGACGCCCAGCGGTAGCCGCGTCAGCGTGTTCACGACGGGGCCCTTGAAGGGTGTCACGCGGCCTTCGTGCACGCGCGCCAGCGCCCCAAAGTATTCTAGCCATTCCGGGACGCGGGCTAGCTGTGCTCGCATCTCGCGAATCGGTCGTCCGGTTTGCTGCGTTTCAAGGGCGATGAATTCTGCGATGCGCGCCCGGAGGAGTCGGGCTGCTGTTGAGAGGACGGCGAAGCGGTCTGATGGATCGGCGCGCGACCAGATGCCTGTGCGGAAGGTTTGCAGCGAGGTGTCTATGATCTCGTTGATGGTTTCTTGGGGTGTGGCGTCGATGGTTGCGATGGCTGTCTCGGTTGCGGGGTTGATGATCGTGATGCGCCTACTGTTCGCTGCTGTGTGGGCGCCGTTAATCCAGTTGGAGACGTGCGGAAGAGGGTCTGTCATTTTGGATGCGATGCGAGCGAGTTGAGGAGGATTTAGTGGAGGGGGCAGGTGGATTGAGAAAAGTAAGGATGTGGATTCGTTCAGTAGATTGGATCTATTTATCTGGAGGGAGACCAACGCATTGGCATAACCCCGCACATGATACTAAGCACAACTCCATCTTATCACTCCATATCTTGCTGCTGAGAGTATCGGTCCAGAGAAGATATCTTATCTTCTGGCTATCTACACTGGTGTGCAGTACATCGCATCTGGGATGTTGATTTCCATGGGTGTTTTTCGTGGATCGTTCACCCGACAGGTAAACAACACCACTAACAAGGGGTCGGCTCTGTTACCCTTGACTGGTTTAACGCCAGTCGACTTAATTTTGACCTTCGATTACTAGTCCTCTGCGAAGCCGACGACTTCGACTGAGGATAGAGACATATCGACCCTTCCTGCCATGACTGGCTGTTCGACTTCATGTCGACTCGGCATCTCGTGCCGCGCCATCGGCCTTAATCGGCTCATTGCCGAGATCGAGTCATATTTAACCACTGCTTCCCCCCACCATTGATCCCACGAATACCTGAACTCATACGCACAAGTACAAGAATACCAAAGCAGTACATGATCCATCTCCAAGGCCCTGCCACAAACAACAAAACATGTCAGCATCAGGCCCCGACAGAAGCACGTTTACATCGCAAGACTCAGTTGCATATCTCTGGCGAGCCCTGGGACTGCCAGACGACAGTCTGAGGTCGCTCGACATCACCGACCCGGAGAAGCCGGGACTCCCATCCTCCTACAAAGTCGGCCATCTAGCACAGGCATCCATCGCACTGTCAACACTACTGGCTGCGCAGATCCACAGCCTGAGAAACAACAACATCCCCCCGTCAACAGTGACCGTGCCCTTCCGCCACGCCTGCATCGAGTTCAATTCCTGGCGCTTGTACACGATCGACGGCCACCCGCTCCAACACACAGGTAGTCCGGTCGGAGGCCTGCATAAGACGTCCGATGGCTATGTCCGCGTGCATGACGGGTTCCCGCACCACCGCGACGGAGCCAAGCTTCTCCTCGGATGCTCGCCAGATGTGGCGTCCCGGGAAGAGGTCGCGGCGAAGACGGCCGCTTGGCGGTGCGTGGATCTGGAGCAGACGGCCGTGGAGTGCGGTCTTGCGATCGCCGCCTTGCGAAGCTACGAGCAGTGGGATGTTCTTCCGCAGGCCCGCGCCATCGCGGATATGCCGATCCGTCTACGCAAGATCGGGGACGCGCCGAAGGGGCTGTCGGAGCGCATGGGCGCGGGCGCGGATAAGTGTCTGCGTGGGCTACGTGTGCTGGAAATGTCGCGTGTGATTGCAGCGCCTTTGTCAGGGAAGACGCTCGCCGCTCACGGTGCGGATGTTCTGTGGGTGACCAGTCCTAATCTTCCTGATCTGCCGGAGCTGGATCGCGAGCTGGGTCGTGGGAAGAGGACCATTCAGTTGGATTTGCAGGACAAGGCGGATGAAGATGAGCTTGTCAGGCTGCTGGATGACGCGGATGTGTTCATTCAGGGGTATAGACCAGGCAGTCTTGCGGCGCGAAGGCTGTCGCCGGAGGCGATTGTGCAGAGGCGCTCGAGTCGGGGTGTCATTTGCGCGAACCTGTCTGCGTATGGCCCCGATGGTCCGTGGGCTAGTCGCCGTGGATTTGACTCGCTGGTCCAAACGTGCTCGGGGTTGAACGTGTCGGAGGCCCAGCATTACGGGGCCGGTGAAGCAGCCCGTCCGCTCCCGTGCCAGGCGCTGGATTATGCGGCGGGCTTCTTCCTCGCCGCCGGAATCATGGCGGCGCTGTACAAGCAGGCGACGGAGGGCGGATCGTGGCAAGTGGATGTTTCGCTGGCAGGCGCGATGAAATACCTGCGCTCGCTGGGGCAATACGAGGGCACGAGCGGATTCCACGCGCCCGACTATATCCGTCCCGAGGACGTGCCTTCGGAGTATCTGGAGACGCAGATGACGGGCTTCGGGAAGATGACTTCGGTGCGACACTCAGGCTCTATTCAAGGGGTAGCCGTGGGATGCGACATCATGCCGAAACCACTGGGATCCGACGAGAAGCGATGGTTATAGAATTGGCGGCGGTATGACGAGAACAATCAGCTGTGATCGAGTGTAAAGGGGGGATTTGAGTTGATGGAAGTCGACTCTCCTGGGTGTAACCTTGGCTGCAGTTGCAAATCGTATCTTCCCTCCTTGCTTCTTCGTATACTCCTCTCTCCCCGCGTGATAAAGTCGCCTGATAGGTCCAGGCCTCAACGCTGGCAACATTCTCCCGAGTCTGGGATGCAGTTTGGAGGTCTGTTTCCCCTCTGTATGACCTCATGATGCACGGTGCATACTCGAGTCTCCGGTTGCTTTTTTCCTCCCACCCGAATTGCTTTGTCCACGTCCAGTGCCACCTCTTGGAAATCATGCGGGGTAGACAGCCTGCTTCTTTATCAATCGACGATGACCTCTCTCTTTGTTCTTCTTCCCTGCCACCACCGCAACCCACCGTTACCATCGGTTGTACCTCCTCCCAAACATCATGAAGGTCGTCATCGTGGGCGCCGACATTGACGGACTTATCTGTGCAATTGCCTGCAAGCAAGAGCACCTAGATGTTATCGTCCTCGAGCAGCGTGCAGACACCGACAATGCCGGTCTCCAGATCCCACCCAATGGCACTCGTTTCCTGCATCAACTGGGCGTGTTAGAGGAAGTGATTCGCAAGGGCACAAGCACCGAATACTTGGATCTGAGACGCTTTCAAGATGGAGCATTGATTCGGTCGATGCCATGGGGAGAACCGGTTCGCCTGGCTTACGGGCGACCTTGGGTGTACGTTCTGTACCACTCCGTTCCCTTGGCGGAGACTTCTGAGACATGCAATCAAAGCTAACAACCCCGGAAAAAGCAACATCACGCGGGCGGACCTTCGTGACATCCTCCGTGACAGAGCGCGACACCTGGAGATCGATATCCAGCAAAATGCCATCGTGGATGAGATTCATTGTGGTAGCGCCGAGGTTGTACTGAAGAATGGGACTCGAATCCAAGGAGATCTTATGGTTGGCGCGGATGGTATGTCGTTCTCACGTCGGCGAGGAGCCAGAAGGGACGGCGAGTACTGAACGACACGCGATGGCACAGGCATTTACTCTTCGACTCGAGACGCGGTTTTAGGCCACCCATGGCCGCCCACTCCAGCGAGCGATATCGCCTACCAAGCCACCATCTCCCGCGCGACGTTGAAAGCCATCAACGACGGACAGCTCGATGAGCTCTGCTCCAAGGCCAAGATCACCACCTGGCTAGGCTCCGAGCAGCATACGGTGTTGTTTCCTGTCCAGCAAGGCGAAGAGTATATGCTCGTTTCGTACCACACACACAGCCGCCCGCCCGTCAGAGAAGCCTCAACAACCGACGGTCTCTCTGAAATGCATGCGCTACATCAAAACTGGGACATCCGGTAAAGACTCCCTCATCCCTCCATCCCGCAATGCACCACCCGGTCTCAAACCGTTCCTAACAAACCCAAACCCAGCCTCCAAACAATCCTCTCACACGCAACCTTCTCCTCAACAGTCACACAGCACACCCTCCGCGACCTCCCCACCTGGACCAACGCCCAAACCACCCTCCTCGGCACCTCCAGCCGCATCATCCCGCCCTACCAAGCCCAAGACCTAGCCGCAACCCTCGAAGACGCCTCCGTTCTCAGCACGCTGCTGGGCCTCCTCAATCAACACGCGCCGCCCAGGCACGAACTCCCGCACCTCCTCCCTGAGATCTTAACCCTCTACGAAACCCTCCGCAAGCCCGCCGCCGCACAAGCCGTGAAAGACGGCCTGCTGAGCCGCCGCGTCCTCCAGGTCAGCAACACGGTCGCCCAAGCCCTCCGCAACTGGTTCCTGAGCGGCGCGGGCATCACCCGCGACACGGACGCGGGGTGGTTCAAGTTGGTCTCTTCCCAGCAGGAGCAGATGCTTGGAGGAGGTAGTAGTTGCGGGGTGCTGGGGGAGGCCCGTGAGCGGTTCGAGGCGTGGCGGAAGGAGAGGTTGCCTGCTTCTTCTGCTGAAGGGGGTCGTCCCTCGCGATCAGCGAGTTATGCAATAGGGAAGAAGAGGTTGCGGTGTTGGACTTATTGATTTGGGGGGGGGGGGTTTCGGGGGGTTGATGGCGGGGGAGGCGGGCAGGGGGAAGGGCATGTTTACTGAGGCACAGACATACTAGCTAGTTACCACTTATATCCTATTGAAGAGTTAGTCGTGAAAGCTAAGTTATACTATCCAATAGTCCAAGGACTCGTCGTGATTATCTTCTACGCCTCCCACTGCTGCTGTTGCCATCATTGCTCTAACTTCCCCCCCATGACTGCCCCAGTCATAGCTCAAGCCAATCGCGACAAGACATACTGATAATGATGATATGATCCACAATACTATCAAAATATCTTCAAGATCAAGAAGCACCGTACACTCCAACCCTCCAATCAATCAATCTTTCCTTCTCCATCGAAGTGAGGCAGCCAGCGGACAGTGACCTTTCTTCCTTCCTTATCGCTCTCCCCTTCATCTTTCCCCGCAATCACTTCGTATCCCCACCCAGTCCCCACTTCCCTGCATACCCTCACCCAATAGAAGAAAACGAATCATTCTGGCACTGTGGAGTGAGTTTGCATCTGCTTATCACAAACCACACCCCCCCCCCCCCCCCCGGGGCTGCTTTCGCTCACACTCAGTGCGGGCGTCTCGGGTTCAAAGGTGGACTACAGTACGCATGGGTAGATATCTATCAATGATGTAGTTCTGGGGTACGACTCTCCACGTATGATTTATCTCTTTTGAGTGCAGGGGTCTTAACTAGAAGTTCTAGGTCAATGGTTTGTTTTGTGTTCGTTGTGTTTTGGGGAAATTGGATAATAGGAGGTGCGTGGCTTGGGTTACGGTATTCTTCGCCGACGGGGTGGCTATTTATCTAATACCGATTGATCTGGGCCTTGAATATACACTTACAGTACAATATCAGGCATGAGCTCGGTTTGGTCCGGAGCATAGGTGTTGTTGCTGCATGCGGCACAGCTATCGCGGCTTGCTTCACCTCAGGTATTTAATTATCCTGGTATGGGTATGCAGAAGGCTTAAGGTCTATCCTACAGCGTGGTCGTCACGGCCATAGACAAGATATGTTGTTATTGAAAAAGGAAGAGGTCATGCATGGCCTTGACTCTTGGTATATCCAACGGAATTAAACTATAAGCGACAGCGAGAACTATATCGGCTTCAGGCCGAGCGAAGAACAGAAAGAATTGCCAGTACCATGCACGACTGTCATTGACAAGGAAAGAGAACTTGAAGAAAGGGTTATAACAACAGAGGAAAGAGAATCAAGAGAAGGATTGTTGGTCCACCTTTTCCGGATCGACAAACCAAACAGTAGGTACAATGACGCTGAGAACCCATACCAACACGCGACAACCGGACACAAAACCCACGCACAGCTCAACCACATTCACCTTGATCATCCTCGCGCATTTATTCTTCCTGGTAGGAGATCTTACGCATTTCTCCCAGGCGTTGGCGAGCCCGAGCAAGGCTGTTCTCGAGCTGAAGGATTTCAACCTGAAATGACGCATTAGGTCAGCATGATTCTCTCTTATGTCTCTCGATGCGAAGCTTACCTGTTGCTCCATTTCCCGCACCTTGAACTCGTGGGAGCCAAGTTTGCTGTAGTCAACTGCCTCCGTGTCATCCTGGTTCTTCTCCTTGATGATGCTCTGCACCTGCCGCACCAGAGCCCGGCACGCGGCGCCAACGGCCTTGCTAGCGGTCTCCAGGCGGTCCTGGGTCTTGCTCATGAAGCTAGCCTTGACACGACTAGCCGCCACCAGCTGAGCCGTGCTGGCCGCCACGTCGTTACTGGCCACGATCAGCTGCTCCGGCGAGTTGCGGCCGGAGATAACACCATCGGCCGTCTCAATCAAAGTGTTGGTCGAGTTGGCAACAGCCTTGGCTGCCGAGATCAACCCCTCGGTCCAGCGGTTGTTCTTCTTGTAAAACGCAGTGCGCGACGAGCTACCACGGCCCTCGCGGACAATCTCTTGCTGCGACTCGGTCGCTGCCTTGATCAGCTCGGCAATGGCGTTGGTCACGGCAATAGCAGCTTCTAGAATAACGTCATTGATCCGGAGCTCATACGTGGTGTAGCCATCGCGAGGCTTCTTCTTGAGCTTAGCCAGGCGTTGAGCCGCAGCATCGATGGCATCGGCCGCCTTCAAGAGTTCCTGGTCGACGAGGTCGCCAAGGTCTCCATTGGTGGTGATTCTTGCACTCTTGGGAGCGAACACATCGACCAACTTCGACAGAGCCTGCAGATCTCTCTGCACTTCCAGATTGTTGTTGATCACCACATCAGTCTTTTGAAGAGCCTCCAGCCCCTCCAGACGGAATGACTGCAGTCCCCGGAAGAACCGTACGGTGGCTTGAGCAGACTTGCGGGCTGCATTCAGCAGCTGATCCGCATTCTTATCGTCTTTAGCGAGGCGAGTCAATCCCTTCGTGTTGCTGAGGACATCGGCGATCGATCCGGAGAAGATAGACACAGTCCGGATAATTTCCGCATGGGTGCTGTTGGGACCATCGGCAATGTAGTTGTTGAAGGCTGTCGAGAACTCGGTGGCCGACGCAGACGCCTTTTCGATCTGGGAAAGCACGTAGGGTGGAGAGGCATTCTGGTTACCAGCTTGCATGGTAGAATCCACTTCGTACAGAGCATCGTCCACCCGTTGAACACCAGTCTGAAGAACAGAATCGATGATATCGTTGATCTTGGCCACAGTGCCGTGCAGAACCTGATCGATTTGTGTATCCAGGGCAGTATCCACATCGCCTTGGCTCTATCGAGAGTGAACATTAGCTTAGACCGTCTGGTTAGCGTCCGGCGGGGAAACGTACCAACTTCAACTCCTCGAGTTCCATCAGAGCCTGCTCCATCCCAGACTTGTAGACCTCAATCTCCTCATCTTTTTCGCGAAGAGTGAGCTCGTGGTCACCCTGACGTTCGGAGTTCCTGGAGGTGTATTCCTCCAATGCACGAGTTTTGTTCTGTAACCCATGTTCAGTATGCAATCCTAGGCGTTTCTTCGCGGGAAAGGAAACTTACCCGAAGAGACTCTTCCAGATCGGCCATCTCGCGGTTGTATTTCGACAACAATGTAGAGATCTCTGTGCCCTTCGAGCGCTCGGCATTCTCTGCGCGCTCAATAGCAAGCCGCAGCTCCCGCTTGAGCTTCTCTAGCTCCTCCTTGTTGTTGCCGGTCAAACGATCTCTATCATGCAATGCGCGATCTCTCTCTCGGATCATGTCGGCCAGCTCCAAATTCTTGGTCTTGAGCTCACGTTCAAGCTTCTCACGCCGCTCGATGGCCTCCTGAGCCGATGCAGCCTTGAGCTTAAGACTCTTCGTGGTCTGCAGCAGATCGAGATGTTCCTGGCGCAGCTGAGAATAAAGCTTAGCTAGAGCCTCATACTTGGACCGCCATGTGTTCACTTGTTCCTGCAAGGACCGGATTTGGTCGTCCTTGGAAGCATTTTGCAGGTTCAAGTTCGCGGTCAGCTGGTTCATCTGTTCCTCCAGATCCTTTACCCGGCGATCATACTGCTGCAGCATTAGTTGATCGCGCTCGTATTGGGCCCGAGCATTCAGATTCTCTTGCTCCAGCTCAGCCAGTCGTCCTTGGGTTTGAGTCTGGTACTGGTCGCGCAACAACTGCTCATGTGCCAGGCGCTGTTGCTCCGCCTGGAGACGTTGTTGTTCCTCGAAGTCTTGCTGAGCCTGCTGCTGCGCCATGAGTTGCTGCCGCTGTTGTTCTTCCCATTGCTGTTGCAAGCGACGTTGCTCCGCCTCATATTCCTCCTGCTGGCGCTTTGCCTCGGTAGTCCAGAAGTCATTGATGGGTTCAGGATCTGCAGCTACCGCCTTAGGAGGCGGAGTGGGCTCGGGCTCGGGCTCTTTGGCTGGCCGTCTTGGAAGAGCGGGACGGTCATCGTCTTCCGACAGTAGATTTGGTGGGTCCTGCGGCAGTTTGGGAACAGTGATCAGACTGGTGAGATACCGCAGGTTGGAACATTCGTAGTAGAACCGCACAAGGCGGTAATGTTGCGCGTCGTACCGCCCACGGAGGGGCTCCAAGGCTTCGGTGTCGCCGGTTGCTGAGTTTCGAAATGTCAGCCTCCGTGGAGCAATGATGCAGCAGGTAGTGCTTACTTGTGTGCATGGCCCTCAGCATGCTAGTGATGAACTTGTAGATTCCGTAACTCTCCTGAACCAACGGGACCAACGCAGAGATTCGACATTCATTGTTCGTACCCGACTGGAAATGCGAGAAAATCAGTTTCTGGAACGCATCGATCTGGTCCTGAAGAGTCATGAGGTCGCTAATTGTTTCGTAGCTATGATGAAGTCAGCCGAGTACATCGCGCCCGTTGCGGTTGGCCTACCCCTCATTAGGATCGTTGATTGACTTCAGACTGATGTACTCCTCGTATTCAAAAAGGCCTGCGAAGGTTTAGTCTACGGCCAATAACCGGGCGATCGGTCTCCTCACCATTGAATTCGGGGTGGTTTCTGTGGAAGGCGAGCTTCGACTCGAGGAAGTAAACATACTCTCGGATCAAGGGTCCGTATCCTGCAGCATTGCGATGAATTGTCAGTACTGATTCCGAGGTTTGAACCGTTTATCTCCGGACCAGACGAGCACTCGCACTCACCTCGAAGGCCCTCGCCCCCAACACCTCGCATGAGGCTATCAATCCAATTGGCATGTTGTTGTGCTTCACGAATCACAATGGGGTGGCCTTCTTGCAGCACCTTGTGTATCGTGATAAGTGCTTTGAAGGTCTGGACTTCATCGGCAAGAACCGGCTGGCTAGAAGCAGAAGTGGCTGGGTTAGCCGTCACCCTTATCCTCCCCGAGTATTGTCTGACAGGCGAGCCGTAACATACACTTTCATCCCGGCCCAGAAGGCAGCCGAGGATTTATGGTCCCATGTATACACAATGCAGCTCCGAACATGTTTCCCTGGGTGAGCATTAGCGATGGACGATCAGTCGCGCACGCAGCACGGAGCGGCATATCGGCGGCAGATAGGACGGTGGAGGGATCAATGCGTACGTTTCGGAGCGGTCTCCTCTGCAATCGGGATATGATCAGTCACAAGAAGCTAGAAAGCTGGCATTCAGATCGAGCTAGGTCCGACTTACCAATGCTGGTAGCTTTGCGGATGTTGATGGCCAAATCAGCCTCGGTGCTAGATACCACATGTCAGACTTCATTCTTTCTTAGTTTCCGCCTCGCGCATTCTTTTTTAGAGGACATATGAAACACATACCGACTCATCTTGGCGGTGCAAAGCTCTCGAGTGGTAGTCAAGGTTCAGGGGATCAGGAGACGGGGAAGTGCGGCGGGAGCCGGTGGGCCCGAAATGCGCAAGTTAATCAATCAGTGGAACAGAGTCAAGAGTGCGCTAAAGGGAGGAAAGGGGGAAGGGAAAAGAGGAAGGATTCAAAGATAGGAGAAAGAGACGGTGATCCGACTCTAGGAGAGAGAGAAAAGAAAAAAAAAAAAAAAGAGTGTAAAGTAAAATGGGGGGGTATGGAAAAGAGGGGACAGATAGCCAACGATAGTTAGGGGGAGTGAGTGGGAGAGGAGGAAATGACGTTCGGGGGAGAGAAAGAAAGAGAGAGAGAGAGAGAGAGAGAGAGAGATTGACTGGAAGTCTGCCGCCCGTTCTTGGCACCCGCCGCGTCAACCGGGCATGAATCCTATTCTCTATAGTAAAAGGTCAGGCAGCCATTTTGCAATCAAGCTCAGCGAGAGAATCTTCACTTTCTATTGATCATCACACTAAAGCTAATCCGACTCAAAAGAGAACCAGACTCCAAGCAATCAACAATGCCTCCTATCCCCTTGCGCCTTACACGCTCAATAATCAGCTAATGATAGGAATGTAGCAAGCATCTAAGTCGAACATAATCGATCAGGGCTTGTGGATGAAGATTCTTGCACAGCTACTTGAACCGGGCTTTTCCTCTCATCATCTCTCATCGCTTTACACGAAATGTATATGGGGAAACGCACAGCGCCCCGCAGTGTTAGACCATTGGCAGCTACTGACACGATTAAATGCATAAGAGCAGTGCAAACACCGATCTGTAGGCATCTTGTTATCCATAGCAGCCTCTATCACAGTCACGGAATGATCCCGTCCGTGGCAGAGAGCCATTCCATTCCATGTTTCCCAAGGTCAGGGTCGATCACCGAGGCCATTGTCGACCGTTTCGACTCGGATGCTCCTTGGTCTGTATCCGCCTCCGAGAGACCGCCACGATTCACCGTCTCATCGGTTGTCGGATCTAACGGTGTATCAGCTGTCTTCGGTGCCGCGGCCAATGTCGCTTCAGGGGTTATGTCGACCACTGGGCTATTAGGACCCGAATCATATGGCGCCTCGACCACGAGTAAATCCGTGGGACGGCTATGGCTATCATCAGGATGATACACAGGTTTCCGTCGGGGTGGCAAAGGCGGTTTCGGGACTGGTCGGTGGTTTTCCTTCTCCGACTTATGCTCGAGGACCGGCGCGTGACTAACAGGCTTTCGTTTGGGGACGACGGTCGAACTTCCAGTCCGTCTGTAGCTGACCTTTTCCGGCCGCGGCAGTGGTGTACCGGGAGGTGGGAGAGGGTGGCCACGTCCGATCGGCTGCTCCGGGGTGCCAGCAGGACGAGAAACATCCTGGCCGGAGCTGGAATCGCCTTTGCCAAACACATTCCATCCCCACTTCTTGGCCACAGACGTGGCCGTATTGAAGGACAGAGATGCCTGGGACTTGCCATCCGAGTTCGTTGCAGACGTAAGAGACCGAGTCAACGTCTCCATTGTGCTCCTCCGTCGTGATTTATTGCTGGTCAAGGATGCAGTCGAAGCATTCGCCATGCTGTCGACGTGCATCGATAACTCACTACCGTGGTGAATTGAAGGAGGCCGCGTAGGCAAGTCACCAAAGGACTCCTGGACGCTGTCAACAGACTCAACAATGGACGGCTCGCGGCTCTGGGAAGCACTGGTCGCAACAAGGTGGCTTTCCATGGGAGGTGAGCTGCCAGTCGTCTTTTCCGGCGAGCCAGGAGGCGAACGCGTAGATATCTCAGTCATACTGCTCGTTGCATTGGTCTTCTCTCCCCCCTTTGATTCGGACGAGACCCGGTCGAATCCCGCATGATCGGCGGTGACCACAGGATCCGCGGCATTGGAGAAGGTCTGAGAGCGGATGACTCTTGGAGGGGAAGTACCTAATTTCTCTATAGCAGAAGACAAGGCGCTAGAGCCACTCTTTTCTGAGTCCCCAATTGAGGCCTTCGAAGCCTTGCGGGCCTTCAGCGTAGCTGCACCAGATTCTGCAAGCGCAGGCGCGCTCATTGTGCGTTCATCCTTCATTTTCAGCATTTCGACGGACTGATCTGGGGGCCCTCCAGACACCGGGGATTGCGCTTCCGATTCGTCGGGGATATCTGCCTTCTCGTCAGGTGTGGGGATATCTCTCTGCCAGATTCCGCCACGGAAGCGCTGAGCCTGGGTGTCCAAGAATGGTATATCATCCCAGAATGGCAGGACACAACTTTCTGCGACCACTTCGCGAATTCGACTTTCGATAGTGCGAAGGATGATACCGAGCGTGATCTGTTTAGAGCTAACAATCGGTTCAATATCCATCTCCATGTTAGGCATCGTTTCGAACGATATCCAGATCCGATTACTCGGAGGTGGCTTAAATCGTATGAGCAAATGTCCTTCGAGTTTCTTCAGGACCACTGCCAGGACAATATCGACTTCTCGAGCTTTGAAGCGCGGACCCAGGTCGATTCGTACGGTAGCCGAGATCTGCACACGAAAATTGCCGGTATACTGCACGTCCGTCTCCACACAACAATTGCCATCGACAGTCAAATCTTTAAGCCTCGGATTGATGATGAAGGGAGCTCCCTCCCCCATGTCTATTGTCTGTAGACCGATCTTGCTGATGAAATTCGGCTTGTTGACGCGGGATATCTTCTTAGTGATTTTCTTCCTGATGAAGTCCTCCATTTCTGGCGTCTTGTACATTGCGAGAAACAGTCTACCCAAGACAGCATTGATCCAGCGGGTTTGCAGCTGTTCCTCGGAGGAGTGCAGCCGCTGCACCAGTGTCACGATGTGCTTCGTATCGAACATCTGGTGTTTCGGAGGACTATCCGCAGAATTCCACAACCTGGACTGATTCTGGAGCATGGCGAAGTAAAAATCTTCTTTTTCCGACAGGTTTTCTGAAAACAAAAAGAAAGGCGGCGTGGGCCCGCCGAGGTCCCCTAGTGACTCCAGGCGTCGCGAAAGACATATAGCGTTCCTCTTCAGCCACAGCTCTCCTTCCAGAATTTCTCCTTCTCCTCCATGGATGCTCACGTCGTGGTGGGCAAGGGAAATGACGTATCGGACTTCCACTTGGCTCGCGTTGTCGTAGAGCATCAAGTGCCCATGCCTAGCACAAGGAAATGATCAGAATTGAGGCTCGCAGGTTTGACGTGGGAAGGAAAAGTGACCGGCACCATGACATACCGAAGCACAATGTAAAACACATTGCGCGCCCGCTTTCCGTTCTTAGTGACGTTTTTCGTGGGTTCGATGGTGGGAGTCTGCTTCCGGTCGAATAGACTTCTATACATCGCTTGGTAGACGCTAGGGCTCTCGGCGGCGATCACCTCACCCGCCGGGGTGGTTCTCTCCGGCGGTTTCCCGTTGACTCCACCCGGGACATATTCACGACAGACAGCGAAATATCCGGCGGCCACGTCAGAGTCATGTGTACGATGGAACTTCTCGGCCAGCTCATCGGTCCCGGACTTTAGACTATATTGATCATCGTTATCGCGCTGTATGGACCCGTGTGCTGGTTGGCGAGAATGCTGGGCGAGCGGAGACGATGCAGTCCAATACGCATAGAAAAGAAAGAGCGATACGAGCAGAGGGATGAAGGTGAGTCCACCGAGGACATAAGCGACGAGGAGGTTGCCGAATGAACTCATTGGGGAGCTGGTTGGATCAAAGGAGCAGCAATGAAAGCTCCATGATCATCATGGGGTGGGTGACGCAAAAGGACCAAGTGGCAGCAGAGGGACGGGGAATTATCCAACAGCCCCTGGAGTGAGACCAGCTCCGATAGACAACGAGGGAGATAAGGGGTGGTGGGGTGGGGTGTGGGTGTGAAAGAATCGATAGAAAAGCAGAGAGGACAAGTGTACCTCTCTGCACGTCTTAAAAGCGGCTTTTGAGGTGAAGAGAAAGAAGAGGAGAGAGAAGGATGAAGCGGGAGAGCAAGCAAGTTGTACAGTTCGTCAGTACTCCGTACTGGAAACCAGCCTTACCCGGTTCGGCGGTTAATGACCTTCACCTCCGCGCTTTCCGTCGCGGCTCTCACCTTGCTTTGCTTGATTGTTCTCGCTGGCCTCAGGCAGCAGTGGATGATTGACGTCGATTCCGTTCGATGACGGAAGTTTGGCCGGGCCAGTGGGGAAGGAAGAACGTTGCCCCGCTCCCCCTCTCACGGTCTCCGCAGCCCTGCCAAGTCGTGAGTCCCGTGACCTAAGAGAGGACGAGGATCTGATACAGTATTCGGGCCAACGGTTACGTGCAGATGCTGGTGTCAGTGTTATCAATATTGACGATTCAATATGACAGAGGATCGGCAGGTTTTCACGCGGGAACGTTCGAAAGAGAGATCTAGGAGGGAGTTGATGTGTGTACTTTGTGAGGAGTATACTTAGGTACTTCATTGGAGGTTAGAACTGGGTCGCGCTGTACCGCACTCATTGTCCAGTCTATAGTTCAGATGGGCCCTTCTTTGGGCACACTTCTCACTGTTTGCCTGGCTTCTAGAACACTTCTCATGCTTGGATTTCAACCAGGGTTGCATTTACTAGCCCCTTATCAAGCTGCAAGAAACTGTCCCTGACATGAGCCCTGCAGCTTGAGCGGATGCAGCTATCCATCAACTGACGGCACAAACCAGCTCCAATTCAGTAACCCAAACTTAAAATAAATATACAGTTTTCCAGCACGCAAAACCGACACGGGTCGTCCATAAATGCCTCCCTGCATCCATCCAAGAACCCAACCTGACCGACTGACCGACTGACCGACTGCGATCTACCCATTCTATCACCTGTTCTATATAGCCAACCAAGCTATTTGATGACAAAGAACAGTATAAGATCCCCCCAGGTAAGTCTCACACACCGTCCCATATATGAAGATCGAAAGATAGTAGAAGTACACGGGACATTTCGACTTATAAAAGGGGGAGGGGAAAACAAAAATGTCTGAATATATGAACGGAGGGAGAAAACAAAGTTGATAGTGAAACACGACTCTCAGGACGCTCTGGGCTTACTCTTTATAACGCTTTGCAAAGACGCTGATGCACATGAATCTTGCGGGTTGATGTCTGGCTTAATCTATTTCCGACGGTTCATGGTCTTCTCGCACATTTGGACCAGGCCGGCCTTGGCATCGCTGTCGGGGAAGTCGGCGAGCGCGGCGACAGCCTTGTCAATGTATTCCTGAGCAAGAACACGGGTTTGTTCGACACCACCCGCTCTGTGGACGAGTTCGCGGGCCTGAAAGCGGTTAGTCTTGGTGACATTTGAATAGAGCATCGGATGAGTAAGGGGGAAAACTTACCGTCTGAACATCACCGGCCTGGCTGAATTTACGGCCAACCAACGGGCCCAATTCGGGAAACTGCTTCCAAGCATAAAGCAGCGGAGCCGTCGCCAGACCCAACTCCAAATCCGCACCGGCGGGCTTGCCCAGCTCAGCCTCGGTAACCGTGTAATCCAACATATCGTCGACCAGCTGGAACGCCAGTCCCAGATTGCGACCGTACTGGTAAGCCGATTCGACAACCTCAGGGACGCTGTTTCCCAGGACCGCGGTCGACCGGCAGGACTTGCTGATCAGACTGCCGGTCTTGAGGTACGTCTTTTGCAAGTAGTAGGACAGAGTCTCGTCCGTGAAGATGGGCTTCTTCTCGTCCGCGGCCGTGTTCTTCAACTGCATGAACTCGCCCTCAACCAGGTTGGTGATCACAGTCGACATCAATTCAATAACCTCGGGATCCCGCAGCCGGGCCAGGGCCACGGAGGCCCGACCAAGCATGAAGTCACCCGCCAGCACAGCCATCTTATTCCCGAACTGCAGATTGGCCGAAGTGAACGAGCGGCGTGACACGGCATTGTCGATGACATCGTCGTGCAGGAGAGACGCGGTGTGGATCAGCTCGGTGATCTCCGCCAATCGGCGCTGGGTGGGGAGGATGTTCTCATCGCCCGCGAAGTCGTAGGCCGCATCGGGGTTGCTGCTAGAGGCCGCCGAGGAGAGCGAAGAAGGGAGGTCCGGGTTGTTGTCAACCAGAATGGATGACGAGGTAATCGGATCGTTCACCGTCGCGTTGTAGTCCACTGTCTGGGGTTTCCGCGGGCAAAGCGCCGTCGCCTGCGACATGAGCAGAACAAGCAGTGGCCGCATGTGTTTGCCCTCACTGCGCGTGTAGTACTTAGCCACCTTGTCCAGCGTTGGATGACCGGATCCGAGCAACTGGCGAAGGTTCTTCGTCAGAAACTTGAGCTCTTTGCCGACCATGCGCAATGGGTCGACCGAGATGCCCGGCGGCGCCTTCGGGAGACCTTTGAACAAAGTCTGGGCCGCCGACACGGCTGCTCCAAACGGAGACACATCTTTCCGGCGGGTGGGATGGTATTTGCGCGTTTGAACTTGCGTTTGACGAAGGAGGAGATCATTTCGAAGGCATTGCCAACAAATTGTCGACGTTGTCGACGGCGTGGTGATACGAGACGAGAGTACTAGCCCAGAGGCTGGAACTGCGCGAGCTTTCATGATGGAGAGAGAGGCGAAAAAGCGAAGGGAGCACACCTAATCAAAAGCCCAAAGACGGTCATACCAAAAGCGCAAACAACGATCGGAAACCGGTCCACGTCCGGCAAGGATTGTGTGGGGGCGAGTGAGTGGGAATGAGATAATAGATTGAGGCCGAAGATTTCGAGTAGAGAGAGAGAGAGAGAAACGGGCGGTCACTGACTCGGAAACAGGCCTCGGGCCGGATCGGGGTTCCGCCTGGCCCGTCACTCAACTCAAACATCTTTTACTCACTTCCATACCTACCAATTCTCATACTACGTTTTCCACATCACTTCTAAGGATTTCGCTGGTCTAATTCGGTCATGACAGTAACACACGAAACTGGCCAGTAGAGTCACCCCGAGATGCACTCCAAGGGAATTGGAAGTAACGGAACAAACAAGTGGGTGCTAACCAGCATCTACAGCGCAAAAAAAAAAAAAAAAAAAAAAAAAAAACATAGGAAAATGGTTCAATAAAAGATAGGCAACATGGAAAGTCACGCCGGCAAAAGGTCAATTCGGCCCATTTCCCTCATACACACCCGAAACATTGAACTGCAGATAAGAACACATGATTGTTGAAAGCCGGCCCCTGTCCAACGAGACAGGGGTCGACAGGATTTATGGAGGGAATAAAGCCAGATTGCTGCATGTTATTGACGCTGCTTAAGATAATCCCTTAAATAGCATCAAAGTCACCGCCGGCATCCTCATCATCCATGTCTCCCTCTTGAATCTCCTTGGCCAACTCGCGCTCCCGTTCCCGTGCTTCCTGTGCACTCTTCAACTCCAGACGGTGCTGGTTCATGGGGAATCGCATGGCCTAGGGTTGAGATAATCAGTACGGGTTTCGTTTGCAGGGCTCGGGTCGTTGATTTACCTTAATACTCTCATCGTGGAGACTCAAGCATGCTCGAATACGCTCGTGGAAGACTTCCCCTGGCTCCCGGGTGGCATAGATGTCACCAACTTCCTTGCTCTTCATAAAGCCACGTTCGTGATCCAGGCTGGCTTCAATCACTCCATCGCGAATGGCTTTGGCCACGATGTACTCAGCCGACTCCTCACTGTCCAAGCCAAGGCGAAGGCAGATGTCGCGGAGGGAGATGCGAGAGTAAGAGAGAGACATCATGCGAATGCCTGTCTTGATCACGTTCTGCCTCAGACGCAAGATGAGGGTGTATGTGCCATCCTTACGGAAGGTCGCTGTGTGCGTATTTACGATGTTCAGGAATCCGTCCAGATCACCCACGCTCACGGCTTGCACCAGTAGGAAGTAGGGATGCAGGGCACGCTCCAGCGCAGGCTGGCGGAAAATTGCCCGGTCAGGGATGTCGCCCATGAGCAGCTCGACAACGACGAGGAGCTTGTGGGATGCCTGGTAGAAGCCGCGCGCACTGTGGCTGGTTGGAGACTTTCGAGTAGCACCAACCAGATGTCCGTGGGCCTCCGTGTACTGCAACTGGATGGCCCGGATCCGACCCAAATAGAACAGGTAGCGGGCAATCTGGTTGTTCGAGGCGGACGCGGGGAACCGGTTGTGCGAGATCAACAGATCCGCCTGCGAGATGTGGGATGTTGACAGGTAGTTGCGTAGGAGCAAGGTCATCACAGTAGCCTGGGTGTCCACATCTTTACGCAGGACGGCCGTCCGCAGCGCATTGAGCAAGGGCTGGCGGATCGCGGTGACAGATGCAGCGGGAGACGGGGGGAAGGGGGCAATCTGTTCGTAGAAAAGAGAGTAGTAGAAGTAGACGCGCGCCGCCAGAGAGTCAAGGGTGCGGCGGTTGAGCGTCCGCAGCTGCTCAATCAGGTCCGTGGAGAACTTGGCACCCTTCTGAATTTCCTTCTTGTCGTACAGGTAGATTTGAACAAGAATGGAGAGATAAGTGTCGATCTCGGGCAAGATCTCCTTGGAGGTTGACTTAGTCTTCTCCGATTCGACTTCCATCTTCGAGCTGGCCACAGCGCTTTCGAAAGCGCTAGATTGGTCGATGGCGCCCAGCAGAAAAGAAGCAGTCAGACTGGAAGGCGGGTAGGTCTCAACGATAACTTCAGTCAACACATCGGGGGTGATATGTTTGCGCATGGACGATATCGAACGCAAGACGCGGAGAGTGAATCTGGGGTCGAAATGGCTGACAGCTCGTTCAAGCAACGTGAAGTTGGACTTGATGTCTACAGCAGGTGTAATGTAAGGTTAGCACCGATGCCCATTGAAGTTCTCTCCTCATTTCCGAATTGAAAGAATGCTCACCTTGGATGGCCTTGACCTTGGGATCGACCTCCGACTTGGACTCCTCGGTGTCCACACTCTCCATAGCGACGTCGCCTTCTTGGTCCGGAACTTTCTCGCCGGATAACCTCGAACCCTTGGTCGGGGGCACTACAACAGTCATCTTCTTGTCACCTTTCCGGTCCTTACTGGCGGTGAATGAGGATGTAGGCCCACCTGCCGTATCCTCTCCCATCTCAATATCTTCCGAGCCATTCACACCCTTCTCCGTCGGGTCGGAGCCGTTGGTCCGCGGCTGGTCCCGTTGTTCACCCATTCCGGAATTTGTCGTGCTGTTCGATGACGCGGCTTTCGAGGTAGCGGTAGATTTGGCCTTGTTGGCAGCGGCGCGAGTAGGCGCCGGTTTGTCCTTGTTGGAGCTGGTATTCTGTGAAGTAGAGCGACCCTTCTCACTGTTAGCAGATGAAGAGGTATCCGACTTGCTATTCGATCTCAGAGAGCGCCTCTCAGCCGGCATCTTTGGTGAACTGGAATTTTCCTTGTCTGGTTGGGGGGGAAGTCGGCTTTCAAGCTCAGGTGAGCACTGGGGACCGTGGTACCAGAAGCAGAGGAAGGGGGAAGAGATGGAAAGCCACCGTTTGAAGGGTGGAAAGGGGGAAATCAAGGGTGAGGGGGGAAAGAGACACACAGAGAAGTCAAAGATGAAAACAGAAAGCAAGATGATCGCGGATGGTGGGTGGGTGAGTTGGGCGCAGATGATTGATGAGGTGGTGATGTGATGTCAAGGCTGGCTTTGGATGGACAGCGAGGGAACCAGCAGTGAGCACAGGGCAGCTTAGTCAGGTCGGCCTTACCGTTGGGGTGTCAGCTGGAGGTATTGAAACGGAGGGAGCGAGTAGGTCAAAGTAGCTTGCGCGTGCGCCTGATGCCTGGTCAGTCTGGTTCGGTCATTGCAGAGTCAATTATCTTGGGAGAGGATACAGCTATAGGTCAACTTACAGAGAATGAATCCGCGTGCTTCCGGTTCCTACCTCTGGGGCTAGTTTTGTACAGTAGTTGTAGGGAAGGAAAGTCGGGGAGAAATTGATAGCTGGTTGTTGGTTGGCGTTGCATTGCCACTCGGTTCTGCCTGCCTGGATCTTGAGGCATCAACAGCTGGAGCTCGGCTTGGCATGTTTACCGCGAACAAACAATCATCATGCATGAATAACAACAATCTTATCGGAAACACTGCTCTTGTCCCCACCTCTTATTTAACCTCACACTGTCGGCTCTCTTACTAGACTACACAACTACACAACTACACAAATACACAGAATATGTCGCTCCTCGACAGCCACCTGGAGCAAATCATGCTCTCCTCAAATGCCATTGCAGAGCTCCCGTACGCATCCAACATTACCCCGGAACCTTGACGCAGCTTGCTAATCCGCTGTCACTTCAGCTTTCCCCCGCCGCGAATGTTCACCAATGCTCTTCTAGGCTCTCATGATATTACCTCCCTGATTCGCGACACAGAGGCCCATGAACGGGCACTATTTCAGACTGACCCATCAGTAAAACCCGTCAGTTCGGCGCAGCGACGAGCTACCCGCCGCGGAACCCAATTTCCACAGGAAACAGAGAAGGTGTCTATGGCAAGTCGGATATACTCGGCCAGAAATAATAAGAACCAGTCCGCTGTGGCCAGAGTGTTGGGTTCAGATATGATGGAGGAGATCAAGCGATCTGCCGGTCGGGGTCCGCGCGGGGAAGTCAATGTTGATGTCTTGCTTCGTGGCGCGGATATCCTCTGCAATGTCTAGTAAGCTATGTTCTCCTTGCTTTCTCATCGCTACAGTTGTCTGATTTCCTTTTCCTAGCCCCGTCGCTGGAGCACAGGAAAAGATTGCGACTCTTCGCTACCGCCACCAAATGATTACCGAGTCGATTACAGATTTGGAAGAGCGTGTGGCTCGGAACGCTGCAGAGCTGGAACAAATGAGCCATTCCTACGACGATGACTATGACGACTTTGATGCTGGGGACAATCTCCAACCCGAGGTACCCGATGTCACAGATGCTGATCTAGCACGGGAGATGGAGGACATTCGAGAGTTGGAGAGAAGGAAGCGAGCCCTAGAGGATCGAGTTAACGGGATGGAACGGGATCTCGGTGGCTTGCTGGGCTGAAGAAGGCACAGGATTCGATCTTACTATTCGTGATCATGCAAACCTTTCCAACAAAAGCATGGTCGACCCGACAGTTCTTATCTTTGTGGATCGCTGCCCTTGGTTCTCCTGCGACTGGTCCGACATGGAAGCGCAGACATACTCACCGACGCATTGATGGGATGAGCTACCACGCAGTACCACGGTTTTTTTGTGCAGCACGTAGCATGGCTGTGTCTATTCAACCCTACAGCCCATACAGCCGAATCACTTACGCTAGGGCTCTATACGACCTTTTTGAAGCACAACACACAGCTTGGGGCTCCACAGTCCATGGTTTGACTTGTCCGATGAAGCAACTCCACTGTACGTGGGAGAACTCCTGGTTCGGAAATTGGTCCGGGAGGCTTGCTGTCTCGTTTGCTGGGAGACCGAGCAACCAGCCGATTCTCAAGCGATCAGCACGCAGCTGTCTCGGTCAATTTTCATCCCCCGAGGACAGAGGTATGGACTGCATACTTCAGTGGCGTGGCGACTCGGTCATAGCTATCTTGTAATACTTTTTACCGGCGGTGTTATAACCTAAATCGATGGCGACCTACGATTAATGAAGCTGGTTCCGCCTTTTCACCGCGATAATATCTGTATTGCTACCATAATGTCTACATTCCGAATCAAACTTCGATTGACTCTCTAAACAAGTCGAATTTGTAGATACTAGCGATATAAGAGTTGATTGGACTCGATCATTGCATGTGGTAATTATCTCACTGTAGTTGTTTTATCACGACCGCCTGCCGGAAAGGAACATGCGGACAAGGCCATGAAGCGAAAGCCTGAGGCATGTTCCGACCCGCCATCATCGTCTTCTCTTCCTTTGCTTCGGCTCCCGCTTCTCTTTCTCTTCCACCCCCCTACTGCTGGATTTCATTTTATTCAACTGGGAAGTACTGTTTCTGCTGTCCGCCACTCACTTAATATACTTTCACTTTCTCCTTACGCTTGATACGACCGCAGCGAACCCATACCCGCAGCTGCAACAAGCATCCGAACGACGCGTGCCTCCGCATTTCCACCCGGCTTCGCTCGACCGTTACATTCACCTAGCCCATCTTTTCCCGCGAAGACCCTTCCATCCAGAAACCAATTCAGTCGAAGAAGACTGATATAAATATCATGGACAATTCACAAGCTCAGGCGCAGGCTGCTCAGGCCCATGCGCAGGCTCAAGTTCAAGCGCAGGCGCAGGCGCAGGGCCCGCCGGTTCAGCCTATGATGCCGCAGCACTCGAATCTGATCCGAACAGATCAAGTCCAGAAACTGCCTCATCTGAACGATCAGCAGAAACTTCAACACACTCAATTAGTCCGAAATCTTTGGGAACTTCTCAACGGCCGCGACCCGCAATCTACGGAATATCAGCAGGCTCACGCGCGGCTCGCCCAGATCTCTCAGACCCTCATGAAAGGCATGCGCGCATTTCAGCAGAGTCGCCAACTGCAGCAGCATCAGCAGCAGATGCAAGCAGGTTCCCCTGCACAGCCGGGTCAGCCGGTTCAGCCGGTTCAACCAGGTCAGCCGGGTCAGCCAGTTCAACGGGCTCAGTCCGTGAACCCTCAGAACTTTAGTCAACTCCTCCCGCAGATCCAGCAGAAGGTCAACACTTTGCAATTCTTCCTTCCTCCCAACGTTAGCAACGAACAAGCGCAGACATGGCTACCCGAAGCCAAACTCCGGTACGGGATCGCCCTACAGAAGCAAGAGATTGGTCGGGTTCGCATTGCGGATATCCGTCAGCAGTTCGCCCAACGGCAGGGTGCAGGCAACATGACACAGGAAGAGGTAGGAGAGTTCAAGGGTCGCCAGTTGGCGGCAGAGAAGCTGTACCGGGAGGGGAGCGACTTCCTTACGAAGTTCAAGGAACAGCAAGAGATGTTCAAGTCACAGCAACAGAGGGCTGGCGTTCAGCAGCATGTGTCGGCTCAGCAACAACCCCAACCAGGGACGGCGCCGGCGCCGACGCCGACTGGCCCGACCCCAGCCCCAGCAGCAGGTGTTCCGGGACAGATTCACCCTGGACAAGCTCCCACCCCCGCCCCGCACACCATCAACTCGGCCGTCAACGCCGCGCGCAATCAAGCTGGACAGACTGCTATGTCCCCCTCCACCTCTCAGCCTGGACAGGCACCCACCGTTCCCGGTCCCGGTCCCGGTCCCGCGCCTGCCGTTGGCGCTGTTCCTCAGCAACCACCACCTAACCAGCAACAGCCTCTTCCACAACAAATCCCACCTCCCATTCAACAGCAGCCTGGACCGCCTGGCTCCCAGGTTTCCTTCAATCCAGTTCCAGGCCCAGGCCCTGATACCTCTACTCCCACCCCGACACCGCAGACAATGATTCCTGGGCCGCCTCGCCCGTTGTCGCAGCAGGCTGCTATGGCTCAAGCTGCTCAGAATTACTCCAACAACAACATTAACACCAACACTATGCCTCCGCAGCAGAATATGGTCCAAGCGGCTGCCAATCCTCACGCCCATCCTCAAGGTTATAATCCCAACCGCTCTACCGAGAATCCGGCGCGCACAAACACGATGGCGATTCCCAAAAACCTAAATGTGCCTACCCCAGAACCCGTCAACATGGCGCCGGCACGCCCTACGCTATCTGGTGGTCCCAGCCACGCGGCAGTGGGTGTCATGAACCAGCCTGCCATCCAGAAACACCCTGGCTACGTTCTCGAGGGCGAGGGTCAGAGAGTGTTAAGCAAGAAGATGCTGGACATTCTTGTTCGCCAGGTCACTGGTGGTGGCGAAGGTGAAGGCCTGACTCCTGATGCTGAAGAGGTAAACAGAGCTACCCGTAATTGCGCAAGACGCTCTTTCCATCAATCCGCTAACTTGATTTTGCATAGTTCATCCTCCAGATGGCAGACGACTTCGTGGATGATGTGGTTACTTCTGCTTGCCGCATCGCCAAATTGCGACCTTCATCGACTCTGGAGATTCGCGACCTGCAGCTAGTCTTGGAACGTCAGTACAACATGCGCATATCGGGCTTCTCCACCGACGACCTTCGTACCATCAAGAAACCTCAGCCTACTCAAGGGTGGACTCAGAAGATGTCGGCCATCCAAGCAGCGAAGGTCACTCAAGGCAAGGCAGAGTAAACAACAGCAACTCTAGCTAACGCTCCTCCGCAAGGCTTCATACTTCGAAAAATGTATCCGATAGTTCACCTCACCTCACATCCTTTCCTAATTGGCATGCGCTGTTACTGGCAACAAGCAACGAGCGATCAGCCAACGCGCCGGACTCAACTTTACGCAAGATCACGCTCTTCCCTTCTCCCTATCATTTATAATGAAGAATTGTTTTATCTATCATTCGGGTATTCGGAGGACTTCATCCAGTTATTTTCTTTTGTACTTTCAATCACGAAGATCGGTTCCATCGGCGTTTGTTGGCTCGGCGGGTTTCTGGTTTATGTCTCCTGCTTTATATTCTTTTTGTGTCGATTTTCAGCAATTGGATCAACATCGCCGCAGATGCTAGCGGGATGTTCGATACTCGGTTCCAGGTCAAGGCTCTGTTTTCGTCTTTATTTTCCCCAACGGTGGCAACAAAAAATTGCATTCACAGGGGCGTTCTGGAAGGGTTTCTTTTCGCTTCTCGCTTACCAGCCCATGCTTTTCGTCGTTCTACATTACCCCCAATATGGTTCCAAATTCAAGGTTTCGCTTTAGGGAATCTGGCTCTTATTTGCTTCCTTATCCTTCGACCCTTAGCTCTTATCTTTTCTCTCCTATAATTTCCTAACAGCCTGGAGAACAGAATTCTCATTTGCAAGATTGGCAAAAAAGCTACTCAATCGATCGAGCCATCCAGCTGAACCCCCAGGATCAAAGTTCGTTGCTTGCTTCAGCTATCTGCTATGGCCTTGATTACTCCCAGAGAAGACACGACATCACTTATACCGCATAGACAAGGTAGAATATAGTAAGTAACTACCAACTAGGTACGAACTCGAATCTCCTCGACTGTTTCCTCTGGCTTTCCGGCGCCCGCCAGTGGTCCGATTGCTTGTGGGCTGTATGCTTCAGGGTTAGAACTGAAGGGATGCTCGTTCTCGCTTTGTAGACTACTGTAAGACAAAAAGGATGTCGAGGTACGCTTCTCTTCTATCTTTATTTGGGTTGTTCCAGGAACGGGTGACACCGGGACCTAGCTAGTATTGCTGTTTGTCGACTTCTTCTACTGTGGTCCAGGGGGCGAGCCCTCCTTAGGGTCTTCGCTGAAGATTTCTTTTGTATGATATGGCAGGTGGGCTGGCTGGTCGATCGCTATAGCTACTCATGCTTCTATCACCTTCAATGTGCTACATCACTCGCAAGCTGGAACGCAAAGATAGAACCCGCGCATCAGATAGAAGGAAACCACAAAACAGTGCTTTGGTATCAATTGTCTACTTGCTGCGCTTTGCTTTGCTGGGGCTGCGCCTGATGCACATCTTCTATCAACCCATCCACTCGATCAATCGATCAATCAGTCTTCTAGAGGGAATGAACAGCACGGAAAACTCACGAAACAAGGACGAATCGCAAGCCAGAGCAGGGGAATTCAGCAATATACAACTGTAGTCAAATCAAATCAATTAAGCCGCTTAATGAACCTGCTCACGCACAAAAGGATAAAAAGAGATTCAATCGCTTAGTCCCATCCAATTCCGATGTGTATACAGGCGATATTAAGGTAAACCAAACAACGACTGCCGGGACGATGATGAGAAAAGCTGACTGCAGATGACAGCCGCCTTTACTTACTCCTCTTATAGTGAGAGTTAGAAAGGGTGCTGCCTGAGATACAGAGACGGGATAAGGAAACTTGGTCGGTTAGTGAACGAGTTGGATGCGATAGACCCAATGCGAAGTGGTCAGTGGTTGTTCCTTGTGGACATTAAACAAATGGAACAACATCAATGATGAAATGGGGGACGAGAAACTATTTGGTACAGGAGAAAGTAAGAAGGGTTTGGAGACATGTCCAGGTGCCGGTGAGTCCGATGTATTCAGACATGCTCCCTTGAATGTGGTAGAGTCATGAGAATTATACCACGAAACAAGACAATGGGAAGAAAAATGAAAGAAAAAAAAAAAAAAAAAAAAAAAAAAAAAGACATAAGGAGATATAAAGAGTGGTGTGGTCGATATGACGGTATGAAAGATAGTGGACATGAGCTGATATGGTTTGTCATGCCGAGTGGGAATGATGAAAAGAATGTTTTGAGTCAAGCGGACAATACCGCACGCCCGGAGTTTCGGAGTTATAATCACCAAGATAGGGTAGTAGAAGGCATTCAAGATGTCGAAAACAGGGATTCTGACCAGAGGGGCCGGCGCCCGATGGTGCATTGGGATTAACATCACTCGTGGCAACATGAGGACTATAGGAATGATGTGGATGGGTGAGGGTGCGTCGCGTGCAGGAAAGCGGAGGATCCGTGGCGCCAGGGTATGTGTATGATGCGAAAGCGTGCAGAGCTGCGAACGAAAATATCATGAAAAGGCGATTCAAAATCAGCAACGGAGGGGTTTATTGTCTGCCAGAGACCGAAACCATGTCGGGTTGTCCGTTACGAACAACTCCCTTCCCTTTTCCGGATACAGGGACACCGTTCTGATAGGGAATGGGGGGCAGGTCCTTCTCGGGAACCGGTGGGCCATGGCGGCTATGTGAGCTGTGGCCCCCAAGGCTACTGGCCTCTCCCGCTTCTTCGACAATGGGAAGAGTCGAAGGTGCAAGTACACCGGAGTCATTTGGATCCCGAACCGTGGTCAGCGTTCGAGGCTGCACGATGGACGCTTCCCTAGACGCCTCCTTCTCCGCTGCTTGCATGGTCTGTTCGACGGAAGGTGTTCGGTCCGCAGACGGTTCTCCCATAGCCTTGGCTTCCCGTTGTCGCTGTGCCTCCTCTTTTGACATGGTGATACCCTTGATGAAGTTGATGAAACGATCTCCGTAGCTCTCCGGAGGGATGGGTGATATTTGAGTGCGATCATGGGATAGACCCTTGAAGAAATGCTCGAGTTTCTTCACCATGCCATACTGTATGGTTCATCAGCATTTGAGTGTAGCATACCAGAACTGACGGCCATAGAAAACTTACGTGGGTCAAGCAGTCGATAATACCAAGATAGTAGATCTCTTCTCCGGGTTGTCCATTCTCATGAGTAGCGCGGAACCCTCCATCATCGGCGTAAAAGACGTGGTACTTCCGCTCGTCAAGGATCTCATCGGGCATCTTCGCAGTTGCTTGGTCGAGCGGTACTGGCCGCTCGCGCTTGATGAGCATGCGCAGCTCTCGAGCTTTGCGTTCGTTCTCTAGCTTAGACGGTGTGCGCATCAACATGTTGGGGTTTGCATCTTCTTCGCGATCGCCGCCAGGTTGAAAGACCTGCAAGGTCTTGTCCCGGAGTTTTTCCTCGTTACCTCTCTCCACATCGTGAATACCCACCAATAGTGAGTAGTCCATAATCTTAAGCTTTTTGAGTAGTTCGACATCTCGCTTTAGCTGAGCGAGGAAGAAGTCGCGTTTCGACGGGCCACACTGTATCTCGCGGTTCCTCCGGACCCAATTCAGATCCTTCAGGGTCGCCCTCGGGTTCTTTTCCAGATCCTCCTCGCGCAAATCACGACCTATCATGGAACCCTTCAAATCAAAGGTCTGGTGAATATCTCGGTGTGGTGGGAAGAGGTTGTTCATGACGACAAAGTGGATCTTGCGCCCGTAAGCCATCTTGACACGGTGAAGACCGTAGAACTGAGAGATTAAGGTGTTTGGGTTCTGTTCGACGTGCCGGTAGTATTCCGGAAGAATTTTCCGGAGTAGCTTATGCTCCGAGTGGTGGATGGTCTTGATAATGTATTTGTAGTCTCGAGAGAAGTAGAAGAAGCTTCCACTTTTACCTGGAGATCCCAATTCCGACAGAATATACTTGCTTGTGAGCGACATCAGATAATCGGCTGGATCGAGTCGAAACTTTGCTCGCAAGTGACGGAAAACCCAGGGTGCGTAATCCTTGAACTTGAAGTCGTACTTGGCAGAAGGGGTCAATTCGTTACCGGTGCTGTTCGATATCAGTCAGTGGGCGGGCGAGGAAGACACCTGTCGAGACATACATATCAAATGAGAACTTGTGTTTCGCCTCGAAATCCGCGGGAGTTAACTCCCGATCCATTTTGGCATTGATCCTCGAGACAGTGAACCGGATTCCGGTCAACATGTTATACGCAGTCACGTAGTTCACGTGGTTCTGGTCGACCTTTGTTCCCACGATGACACGTTCGTCATCATCTTCATCGCGACGTCTCCGCTTCGAAGCCCGCCTCTGTTTAATGGCTTCTGCCCAGCGGGCTGCATCTTCGTCGGGAGCTGCTTCGTCCTGTAAGCTCTCCGACTGATTGGTTCGAGTGGCCCGTCGAGCCAGGCTATAGGATGGTCGTCGGGTTCCAGTCGTGGGAGACAAGCGACCGCTGCTGTAAGCGGTATCTTCTGACTGATCACGACTACCACGGCGCCCGCTCGTCGTGCGTGGCACTTGTAATGTGTGTCGATGTCGCAGACTGGTATTGCTTTGATCCGGGGTAGTCCCAATTTCCGGCGCAGGCGGGGAGGAAAAGCGATGGGGGCTTTTCTGTGACGGAGATAATCGGTCGGGGTCGGGGGATAGACGGCCAGCGTCGTCGGGTGGAGAGGTAGATAATCGGGTCGCCGATGCATTGCCTGCGGAATCCGGAGCGTGGAACTCGTCGGTTGATTGCCGGTGGAAGTCTCCGTTGACCAAGGGCTTTCCATTGAGCGATCGGGAGTTTAGTGTTCCGTTGATCTGTTGACTTGCTATCGATGCCGTCGGAGAGCCGGCCCCGGTGACTGTGTCCAGTGATTTATCAGAGAGGTTCCGCTCCAGGGTCGCCGAGGGTCGACCACCCTCCTTGGGATCTCGGGCTGAACCATTTCCTAACGAATGCATGCTACCGTCTTTCGAATGGGGCAGATCCCTGGTATATGAGCTGGCGCTGGATCGCGGGCCATTCAGAGAATAGGCGCTTCCGTTCATGAGTTGGCGATCGTTCGGAGGGGTGTCGAGATGATGAGCGTCGCCATTGGGCCAGTTCGTCCAAAGAAACGTATTCCCCACCGAGTTCTTCTCGTGTGGCTTGCCTGGGGGTGGGTCGAATGAACGAGGGTGTGTAGCCGTGACGGTGGCTGTTGGGTAGGCGGCGACGTCGTTGGAAAACGATGGCATGATCCGATGGTCGAACTCCCGGAGAGGAGGCGGAGATAAGAACAGGGCAGCAGGGGGAGGGGGAGAGACGGCGGTGGTTAGTGACGTGCGTCGATTGTTTACTGGGAGCCGGAACGCCCTTCTTGGCTTAGCAATGAGAGGGAAGGGAGGAGTTGACTGAAGAAGGAAGGAGGCAAGTCCGGAGAAGTCTGATCGATCAATGGCAGTCGTCGATATACAAGAAGTAACACGGTTCCTAAGATCGAGCTGGAGGCCAGCCGGCGGCAAGTCCTTCAACGGCTAATAGGCATGTTCAGGTAAACCACCTAGAGTTGGAAAAAACCCGAATCGAAGGCGAGGACAAGCACTTTATTGATTAATGTGTGTCCTAGGGTATAAGGCGAAAGCAAGTAGAGTCGGCCGAAGAAGCGAATTGATAGAGCGCTCAGAAGAAAGGTGGACAGGGCGGCGAGGGAAACGGGTAGAAGGGCGGGCGGGGGTATCAGTTGCAAATGCAGGCAGAGCGACGACGAACAAGATCCAAAGCTAAAGGAGGGATAACCGAGAGGTAGAGGGAAGGGAAGAGAGTGGGGGGGGAAGAAGAGAGGGACGTAGGCGGATTGTGGGATGGGCGATGAAGCAAGAGAGAATGAAAACTGAGAGGGAGGGAGAAGAGGGAAGAGGAAGAGAAGAGAGGGAGGAGGGAGAGAAGGAGAGAGAGAGAGAGCAACGACGACTTGGAGTGAGTGTGAGTGTGAGTGTATTCTTGGGACGAAACGGCCTCGTAATTCCGGTGGAACTGCCACAAAACGTGGGGAGTAGACCGTATGGTATGGTTACCGATTGGATGAACTCAAGAGCCCTTGAAAAGAGAGACGATGAACAGAACAGAAATTCGCTGGTTCTTTCGTGTGTTTTCCCCCTTTCTGTGTCACACTTAGTTGGGAACAGTCAGTCAGTCAGTCAGTCAGTCAGTCAGTCAGTGTCTGGATTCGAACTGGATTGTTGCTATAATTACAAGGATTAATTCATTCATTCTGCTAGTTACTAGTTAACCAGAAGAGAATTAGAAAGCAGGGGAAAAAAAAAGTGGGCAGCTCCACTTTGTTCAGCTTTCCCACTCTCTCTCTCTCTCTCACTCCGTCAGGGCTGGTACCGCGTCATTACCAGTTCTTCTTACCAACTTCCGATCCGATACGCAATGGACGATGCTGGATGGAGTCGGGACTCCCCTGCAGGTCGGGAGATAGATAGAGAGATGCATACATACATCAGGGATCTTAACCCATTGATGATTTCCTCTCCATTTAATGATTAGCTACGGAGTACAGACTGATCTTGTCAAGCTCATTCTCACAGATCACCCCAATCTTATCCTGTCCGGTTGTCTGTCAGGCAGGAACTGATGCTTCCACTGGCGCCCGAGAAAAGAAGATGGGATCCTTGGCACTCTGCAAGACATCAACGTCACTTTCTCGAGGAAGTAGAAGGTATGGGCAGCACAACACTCGTGATCCTCTTATCGCCTTCTCCTTACCATGCTGCAAGCAACACACCATTCCAAATAAGTCTACACCTCTATACAAGCAACCATCAAGCCAACGGTTGAAAAGCACGCACTTACTGTACTGTATGTATGTACACAATAGGTACAGTACATGCAACCTGATCTCTGACAGCATGCATCATTAATCGTCAGGGTGGAATTTACTAATGCCCGGCTCCACCCAGCCTTTTGCCCTATTGCACCCATGATTCATGATATACTGATACTGTAGTCTTCAATGCCCCGGTTAAGTAGCACCAGAGGCCTAATCCGTGCCCACGGATCTCTCTCAATTGAATCCTCTTTCTCAAATCAAATTCCGTGTCACTCGGCAATTCTAAACCCGCATCCGTACCTGAAAAGCAGGGAGGGGAAGTCAATACAAGATAACATGTATACATACAAATACCCCCAGTTTTTTCAACCTCCGCAAGCCCCTGATTGACCTTCGACGCAGCCAAGAACCAGGAATCGTGGCAGCCTATTCATCTCGGCCAATATACATCTATTGTCTCAAAAGGGGGCGGCGGCGAGAAGTACCGTCTCAGGGCTGTCTGTCTAGCTATGCCAGTACCAAAACAAACAATGAGCTTCTCTTCCCATACTACGGTCTCATATACCAATCTACCTGAAGCTTTTTACCGTGTCAGCCAGAAACCCTTCCGTACCCCGTAATGCCGGTTGGTATCTACGGTAGAGTTTCAAGAAGAAACCGAGTTATTCCAGCTCGTTCTGATGCCCTGAGTGCACTGATTAATGATCGACAACGACCCGAATAATCCCAACGTCACCCCCCTCATTCCATCCTTCCCTCCCGATCATCATCTGTTCCCCTCATCCTTCTCCTCCTGGACGCAATAATGCTACTCACTATTGAGTAGCCAAATCCCAAAACGAGCAGGTTTAAATCTCTTGAGCGATAGCGACGACACCCTTCGAATTGCATGGTGTCAATGTCAATGTCAACCTCGCACCCAAGCAAGTCATCGGGCGACGGCAAACCCGCCAGCCGCACGGAACGGGAAAGCCTCAGTCCTTGAACTACTTGCTTCCTTCGTGTTTCTAGACCTTCAAGAATATGCCCCTGCAAGACACCCGTGGTCGAAATAAGACCTTCCCATTGCTTCCAGAGCCCTTCCAATCTACTAGTGTATACTTATCAAGCATAGCATCTCAGACCATCATCATCACCAAACTTAGCACTATCAAGTCTCAAAAAAACAACAACAATCCAAGTCTGCGAGCCGAGCAACTGACTAAGCGGATTAACTCCTACCAAAGTAAATTCCTATTTTTGGTGAATTTGGGTTGAAGTTCGGTGGGGGGGAGCTAAGAATATTGAAGCAATACACTTGCTGTGCGCGCTAGAGTATGGATAATACGCCAGTAAGTAATTCGCGTATCGAAACTGTTGCCCATACTTACCCTGTCCAGTGTCAAGTGTCAACGAGGAAAAGAGAGACTCCACCATCCGATCCGAATAGTAGATAATCGCTTTGACAGGCAAAGGATTCAACCTTAGATTATGGTATGCACCATTGTTTGCCAATGAGCCGTGGCATGAGTTACTGGATCGGAGGGCTTGATCATAGCGTCTTCGGGGTTCCGGGGTGTTCGCGCTGCGAAGCCGATTCCTTGAGCATCTACAACTGGATCACTACAATGCATCTCAGTGAACTAGACAAGTGATTTCATTCCACAGCGTAGCACCCGTCCTTGGACTGGCGTACAAAGCATAGCACGCAATTGAATAACATATCCCGTTGCAAAATCCACCGCAAGACGCCGACCCGACCAACATGGAGAAAGAAACGACCGAGTAACCAGTCCACAGCAAATCCCAGAAAAGATCAGCCCATCCATCCAGGAGAACTGTGGCCGAGAGAAAAAAAAAATTACAAACGAAGGAAGGGGACACGACCCAAAAGATAAAACCCCGACGGCACATCGCGAAGATAATAGGAAAGCCAAAAAAGAACCAGGTCGCTCAAAACGATTGCAAAGAGACTTCTTTAGTTGGTGGAAGCCTTCTCCTTCTTCGCCGTAGTAGTAGACTTCTTGCTCTTCTCTGCAGGCTTGGCCGTTGTCTTGGTCACGCGGCCCGACTTAGTCGTGCTGGTGACCTTTGGTTGATCGACAACGGCCGGGGCCTGCTGTGAAGTTAGCATCCAGCGTGCAGGTGAAAGGGCAACATGATAGTACTTACAGCAGTCGAGGCCTTGCGAGGCTTGGCGGTGTTGGCCTTGGGTCTGCCAACCGACTTCTTGGTGGCGGTGGTACCAGTGGACTTCTTGGTGGTGGACTTGGGCTTCTCGGCCTTGTCGGTCTTCTCGGTCTTCTCAGGCTTCTCGGCCTTCTCAGACTTCTCGCTCTTCTTGGCGGTAGTCTTCTTGGTAGCAGTCTTAGCAGACGCCTTCTATCATGGAGTCAGTCACCTTGATCAGCTACAGGGATGCAGCGGTTACTCACCTTAGCAGGCTTAGGGGCGGCCTCCTTCTTGGCAAGCTTCACGGGACCGGAGGGGCCTGAAGATAAGACGCGTCAGCGGGCGTGCGCCAATGATAAACAAAGACGCGTGAGAGGCAAAGCGTAGAAGCACACTTCGACATTGGCGAGAGAAGAAAGAGGCTACAAGAAACGCGCGCGACGGATAGACTTACCCTTGGGTTGAGTGAACTCGCCCTTCTCAACACCAGCCTTGATGGCCTTGTTGAACTGGCTGTCAAAAGCGGCCGTGGAGGCGAGAGCGATCTTGTTGTTGGCCAGAACATATTTCTTGATGGACTGGCGGCTGTGGGAAGGGAGGAGTCAGCTTCAATCGCGACAGCGAGGTTGTGCCGGGTTGCCACGTCGCTGAGGCGGCGGGCCCCTGCATCTAGCGGTGGTGAGGGAAACACGACTCAACTTACCTACTGCCGTTACGCTCTTTGAGCTGTTGAAGGAAAGGTTAGCGATCCAGCTAGGATGGGACAAGACAGTGCCTGATGGGGCGTGGGGAACAATGAAGCACCGTGTCGACGTGTCACGGTCGGGGAAGTTCCCACCCAGCGCCCGTCATCCCACAGCGCACCGGGAATAGCGTGATCAACTCACATTCAGGATAGCATCCTTAATCATATCTATATTGATCGAATCAGCAGTCGTCCGCGACAAAAATGAAGCTAGAATTAACCTAGCGCGAGGTGGTGGTGGAGGAAGATCAGTCAAAACATACCACGGTAAGAGGCGTGGCTCGAGCCGGACTTCTTGGGCGCGCCGGTGGAGGTGGTAGCTTTCTTGGGAGGCATCTTGTTGAAGAGGGAGGGAGAAATTGATGAAAGAGGTAGATAGATGATAGAAGATGATTGCTAGACACAGAAGATATTCGACAGACGTCAAAGTCAAGCAGGGGGAGATGGCGAGTCGGTGGCAGAAGGAAGAGAAAAGCAATCGACGAGGGAAGGGGTGGAAGGGCCGCGGGGCATCCGCGCTTTATAGGGCAGCGGGTGTTGACACAGGATCACTCTGCTCTTTTCTCGCAAGCAGAAACGAGAGACGAGCACAACACGTCAAGTCTTTCTCCTCTTTCTGCTAGTTGAATTTTTTTTTCTTCGTTAGGATTTCCCGTTTATCTATTTCTTTTCTTTTTTTTCTTTCTTTTTCTAACATGGTAAATTGTTTGTTGGACTGTGGTCAGATAGTATGATTCAGAAGTAAATGTCTTGAGTTGGCTTCTAGGGTTCGACCAGCCAGCATTCCCTCAAGCTGCGATTTCTACTCACTCTCTTCACGCGCATGATCCGACTGCTCGACATTAACGCGTTCTGTTCCCCCCGCCATCTTCCCCTTTCACCTGCCCTTTTTTACCTCGAAAAGTAGTTGATGCACATTCCAAACGGCTCTTCTATAGCTTGATGTATTGTATAAATGTCTCCGACCTGATTTGACCCCTGTTATCAACAATCCTGTTGATTCCAGTCGGGCGCGACGTTGTGTTGCTTTCCACACCCTCGATCCTGCAACCCAAGTCTCACAATTTCGTTGCATTCCAATCGACCATTCAAATTACTGAGATCTACTGCAACTTCGAGTTCCTCTAGAGCTTCTAAATTATCTAGTAGACAGAAAATCAGAGATTTTGGCGGTTGGGGGGGGGCCCGTTACGTGTGGGCGATCGCGCTGAAACTGGCGATGATGCCCATCCGTGTCACCCCAACCATCGTCTGCAGTTCAATCAAGCTCATGGGGCCTGATGGCAGCTATGATGCTCAGGACCGGATTTACTGCATCGACTGGTCGGCCCCTTGCATCTTTCGCATCCATTGAGCTGGATCTGATACCTTGAAAGCGGTGTATAGAGAGACCGTGGAGGGCAGTTGTTTCACCCAGTCGCCTCGTGCGGAGGGGAGGCTTGGGAGGGTCACGAGGGGCAGGAGATGATGTTAGGTATAGACTTCCATCAACTTGACTGGGTGGGGGGAGCTTTTTCCTTTCCTTACCCTCCCCCCCCCCTCCTCTTCCTCTTTTTCCCTCCTAGCAACATCAATTGTTAAAAGGGATTTTTCAAAAAGGGTAGCCCATAGTCTGAGTCTTGAGGTAACTGGCCTATCGGGGCGTGTGCTCGTCTTTGGGATCCGGCGTGCGATCGTCTTCATTCCGTGGTTCCTCCGCTGGTCAGTTGGTGGTTAGGCGCTCGCGCTGGACTATGAGCTGTCGGTTGGGGGGGAGCTGTGTCCCGTCTGATTGAACTGGCTTCTATCGGAGATCTCAGCTGGATTAAGTGTTTTGGGGGGATGTGCGCGGTGTCTGTTGTTGAATCCCGATGCTGGTCGGGGATGGGGACGGATGAGAGCGCAATGATGGATTTGCCCCTCGAGTCGCGATAAGAGCCATGCTCTCGCCATCCTACTACGGTGCTTCGTACGAGTAAGTGGGCTATCGGGTTTTTATGGGCTCTCTCGTCGCTTTCATCGTTTCCCGGAATGAGTGCGTGATCGTACTTCAAACTATTGTGACGATGTGAAGCAGAAGCGCCCGTGCAGGGCCGAGCATCATCCGATCTTGTCCGCCCCTTCGCAATGGTTATCACCGAGATAGACTCACTGTAGAAAGCTTTGACTCTGCTGTCTTGTTGTTTTTCTTGTATCGGAAATGGGGGTGTAGAAGAGGCGTTTACAAATAGCCGCAGTGATCCGAGTATATCTTTGCTACAGCGATATATATTTAGTCGGCGACCTGCATGCACACCTACCGACGAGACGGTACGCAAAGCCACGGGGAATTTCTACATTGGAAAACGAATGTAGAGCTAATATACGCCATCATGCTAACTCCACACTCTCTCATAATTACCCCCCCCAAGAGTAGACGCGGGGTCGCGTGACCCCGCCATGGTTCGGAGTCGTCATCACACCACCGCCGGATCGCGGAGAACAAAGCAAACCAGCGTCGATCTGGATAAACACCTCTGCCAGCCTGGTTCCGATATGCTGCCGCCTTATAAGCAAGCGCGCGCGTCTCCGAACAAATTGGTTCTTCTAAGACAGGCGACTACACCTGCTGCAGGTTTTCGTACCATATAAGGTAGCAATTTCCCCGACCGATGGCGGGGTTGAACCCCAGTAGTAGATCCGGTCCAGCACCTCAAATTATCATATATACAGTTACCACAAACAATTAATTTATGATCAGTACGTAGTATGCTATGCTGGTGTAACTCGCCGACGAAAACGCCTTGCCATGTTTACCATCACCCCAACCCAGAACGCCGCCAACGACAAAAGCATCCCAACAACGCAAGAGATCAGGCTTCCAAATCTGTGCCGATCATATGATACCATAGTCCCTTCACTAACCTCCGCATAAGCCCTCTATTTGGTCCTTCACCGCAGACAGAATGACGGATAGACAATCTCTTAGCCAGCGCCACGGGGCCTTGCCTTGGCCTCCTTCTTAGCCTTGGCCTCGTCCTTCTTGCGCTTCTTTTGTTCTTGGATCTTTTCGTCGTGCTTGCGCTTCAAATTAGCCTTCTCCGCATCCGTTCGGGCTACCGGCTTGAAGAAACCCTCCAGACGAGACTGCTGGGCGGTCTTGAGGTTCTTCTGCAGGCGTGCAGCACCACTGCGAACTCGGTCCTCATTGAACCCCTTCTCTGTGACCAGATACTGGATAAGGCCCTCAATGTTGGGCGCTTCCCACTTGAAATCGCAGTCGGGGTGGTCGGAATCCCTCACATCGGGATTGAGGAAGAGTTCTCTGGCATCCTGGTATGGCCAGTCGTCGGGAATGACATATTTCTTCTTGGGGTCGTTTTGGATGAAATCAACCACTTTCTCAAGGGTCCCGTGCTCACGGATCAGCTTCAGGGCCGTGTTGGGGCCGACCTTAGGGATAGGTTCCAGGTAGTCGCAGCCCAGTAGAATACAGAGATCGATGAACTGACCGGAAGTAAGCAAAGGTAGAACAACCATAAACAATGCGCAGAAGGAGTACCTGTTTGCGATCCATGCCGAGTCCCTCCAGCGCGCGGCTTAGATGAATTTCCTGGATCGGCTCCTTCCTTTGCTCGCTGAATGTCAAGTGACGCAGAAGAATGGGTGTCTCAAAGCACAGCGTGTCCATATCCTCTGAAGCGGCAGCATAGACCTTCCCAGCACGAGCAAGCACGGCGCACTGCGCCTCGGCCTCCGTCGGGGCGTCAATGTATGGAATGCCCATCAAGGACAAGAGCTTTTTACATTCCGCATTGTGTTCCCGGGTGACTCGTACCGTGCGGCGAGAGAACTTCTCCACATCCTCCGCGGTACCGGTCTCTTTGGCCTCTTCGTGTGCTTCCGTCGCTTCGCCTCTCCGAGCAAAACGTTTGGCCAATTCTCCCGACTTGAGCTTGGGCGGAGCCCCATCAAAGACGTACAGAGGCTTGATACCGTTGTCGACCATTCGTAGAGTGCGGTAAAACATTCCCATCAAATGCGATGTGGTCTCTCCGGTCTCATTCATGAGCTGCTGTCCATCGGAGCGGACAGCAATGAGGAAGCTGTAGATACTCATGGACCTACATTTTTGTTAACAACCAGGGGCATTGAGTACCAAGCCGGGCCTAGGAATAGCATACGCATCCTGCAATTTGACATGGTGGTTAGCCGCGCACACAGGCACAGAAGCAGCTACCTATCATAAGTGAGGGTAAATTGAGACTGTACATACAATAGCGACCTTGCGACCGAAGTGGTTTTTGATCTCTCCAGTTTTGACAGCATCCGGGGCTTCTTCCGAGATCACCGAGAAGAGGTCTGATGGTGGTGGAAGTTAGCATTGCAGAGCTCTTGCAGTTGGCAGTCATCGAGCTCGTCCCGGCGCGAGTGGGAAGGACTCCACTCACTTTTAATACCCATTTTAGATGATGTGGTATCGTGGTAAACTAGAATTTAAGATCTAAGCACAGATTGCTTTAAGATCTGCTATAGCGAAGGTTTGCCTTGAGTAAGGAGGAAAATTGTAGCCCGGTAGAGAAGAAGGGCAGTTGCGAGCCGCGATAAAAAACGCGCTTTGCGAACGGTCGAACGCGCCGTGCGTCATAATTAGACCTAATTGGGACTAGCCGCAGACGGGCCGGGTGAAGCACGCAGACGGCACGTGATAGGACTCTGCGGGCAGTTCCCCGGAGTCTCTTTACATAAGCCAGGCTCCACGGCCTAGGCCTCGGAGTGAAATTAAAAAAGAGGGGAAAGTTGATGTGCCTTGGCACTGACTGCACTGCACCATCACTACCATATCACCACTACCTTCATTAAATTCCACCACCTGGCGCTGACTGCTGCTGTGCACGCCCAGGTCTCCTGCAACCTTCCCTCAAACGGACCGGCTGCCATGCCAAGCGGCGGAACCCCTCTTTCTTTCTCCGCCTTGACCTTATCGCGGTAGTGGCCGTGGTTCATCCGTATCGCAACGAACCATATGTTCATCACATTCCAGAGACGATGAATCTGGTGCCGCCATGAAGCGAAGCCGACATTTTTTCGAGGCCAATGGCGATGTTTCGTCAGGCGTCTCCCCTCACGATGCGGGGGCCCATCCCACCCCGGAGCACGATCCACGGCAAAGTCCGAAGCACGTTCCGAAAATCTCGCGCCGAATACGCGCCTGCACGGAGTGTAAGCGGCACAAGGTTCGATGTGATATGAATGAGGGTGAAACGAGATGCCACCGATGTCGCCGGATGGGGCTGGAATGTGTCGTCAACAAAAGTCTCCAGACATTGCTAGACGATGAGACAGAGTGAGTAATGCCCCTCTAGTCGCATAGCTGGTCAGATTGGCCTGGGTCGCTAATCATTTCATTGCGCATTGCACAGATGGAAGGCAGCAATAGAGCTTGCAATGACGGACTTGCTTCGCAAAGCTCAACTTCCTGAACTATCCTACTATCAAGCCATCAGCAAGCCGGCCGAGCCACCATCGAGAACACGGGATCGCAAAGACTCAACGGCCTCCATAGAAGAGACGCTCTTTCCAATGCATAATCCCACCGAAGGAACAAAACCCATCGAGCCTGCACATACCGCAACAAATGAACCTAGCGCACCCAGTACCACCGTCCATCGGCAGTCGCAATATTCACTCGACAGAGAAGAGAACGGAGCATCATCCCTAGTCACTGCTCCCATGGGAAGCTTGTACGAGGTGACTCAGTTGAGCGATATTCAAACCACATCTCCTGGGCGACATCACGCCTCGGATCGGGCTCTTGTCACGGACTTCATATCGCGGGGAGTTGTGGATGCACAGGAAGCAGAGGAACTATTTTCTCACTTTGATCAGTTGCTCAGTCGCTATTTATGGGATGGCATCTTGTTGAATCACAAGGACCTAACATCAGTACGCAACTCTTCCTCGATGCTCTCTGCTGCCATCCTTGCTGTGACTGCTCTTCACATGCCGAGCAAGGAGCGGGTGTATGAAATCTGCTACACCGAGTTCGCTAAATTAGCATCGGAATCTATGTTAGACAGACATCATACGCTGGATGATCTACGTGCATTATGCATAGGAGCCTTTTGGCTTGCAGATGTCAGCTGGAAGCTCTCAGGGTATGCTGTACGAATAGCGACAGAGCATAACCTTCACCAATCTTATAGAAAAGCCACACAAGGCTCTCCGGAACACATAGAGCAAGCACGGCTATGGTATCTCCTATATGTATGTGTTGAGCTTCACCTACTGCCAAGCACTGAGGATGAGTTGGTGCCAACTACTGACCTCCATAGACCCTAGAACACCATTTCTCCATCGCCTATGGGCGGCCCCCTATCATCCATGAGGACCTGAGCATCAAGAATCACAACACATTCACGCAATCTCCGAACGTGCAACAGGGCGACCTGCGACTGCATAGCCAGGTTGATCTGTTCATCATCCTCACTCACATCTACCATGCCTTCGGTCCTGATGTGGACTTGGAGGTTCCTGATAGCGAGTTTTCCAAAATAGACACATTTGATGCTGCTCTTGCGGAGTGGCAGTCGTCCTGGATTCCACGTTTGGGTAAGTCACTGGTTTTCCATGAAGGCTTTGCAGCTTTTCTTCCCACGTGTTGCTAATCCTGACGACACAGTGGAAAGCCGGTATGTTGGGAAGTACCCCTACAAAGCGGTGCACTTGCACTATCACTTTTCTCGGCTGCAGCTGAACTCGGTCGCTTTGCGAACCTATCATTCGTCCGGCTCTACACGGCCTATGTCGAATGAGCGGAAGGAACGAGCAAGGATTGCGATCCGATCTGCCATCGACACGCTTCGGGTCGTTCTCGATGAGCCCGATATTGAAAGGGCCTTGGTTGGGGTTCCGTTGTACCTTCACAGCATGATCGCGTTTGCTGCTGTATTTCTACTGAAGATTGCAGCGAAAGGCTGCTCCAGTAATGCGACCGGGATCGCCGGTCAGCAGAATTCTATCGCATCGGCGGGATTGCTCATCGATGTCGGATATGTTCGTGCACTGGTGGGACGGATCGTCGACATGATGGTTTCGTGCAGTAAACGGGCCAGCGAGCATCATCTCAGTCATCATATCGCGCGTGGCCTGAAGAAGATGCTTACGGGGTTGGAAGAGTGGGAGAAGAGGAGCGCCGGTAACTCGCAGACTCTGGGACACAATTCCCACGACAAATCCTCTCTTTTCAAGCCTGTCGGCATCTCTGGGTCGCAGGCCGTGGGTGCTCGAGATACTATCCTCAACCACCCACCCCCCATGTTAGGGGTAGCGCCTCTCTCGGCAGAACGAGGCATCGGTGCCCCCTCGAGTGCGGGCACCGAGAAGCAAAAAATGGGCCTTTCCGCAGGCTCGGTCGACCCGATGATGGCCGATCTATGGGGGTTTGATGAGGAGTATTTCCCAACCGGGGTCTTTGATTTCCTTCAATCTCAAATGCCTGCTTGATGAGCTGTATATAGAGCATTATGATAACGATGGATCACCAAATGCGCAGGACGCATACACGCAATGGGTGCAGATTTCATAGAATGCACATTATTTTGATTCTGGTGTGAGAAGCGATCTATGTATGGTATCCCTAGCTCGACGAGTTGAGAGGTAAACCTCAGCAACTCTCTAGAGCGTGAGACGTAAGAGGAAAACCGAGAGAGAGCCTGGAGGTATCATGTATACAGCCTGGAGCTTCTAGATACTTACCTACCGGTAGATGCAGTAAAAGGCAGGTCTTCCCTACCGACATGTTTATCGATTGGGTAGAGGCGCCGACGGGGACGGCAGGCAAGCCGAACTCTCCGATTCCTGAATCGCAACTCTCCGCGGCTCAATCGGTTCGAGGTCCGGCAACCGAAGAGGTCAATTTTATTTTAATGAGAGGTTAGACTCTTGTTTGGCTTGGTATTCCTTTTCACTCTATTGAGCATCAACTCCTCTAGCTTTTGTGCTTCCTGTCTATTACTCAGCCGCCAAAGCTTTCATCTACAACGCTTCCGACGACATTGCCGAGGCTGCCATCTCCCCGCAACACTCACGCAGTAGAGATTCCTCCCCCTCACCCCTTGGTGACCTTGATGCGCCTTGTTGTTCCTCCTAGGCTTCACTCAAATCGTCTACCTTTTATAGCAACTCACATTTACCACAGACTTCTTTAATATCCGTCTTTCGCCGGTCCATTCACCATCCTTTCTCGGTTGAAACCTTTCTCCTCGAACATGAATCCGTCCATGCTCCGCACGGCCTCGCGCCACCTCCAGACGGCAAACCGCCTACACAGAATACAAGCCGCCTCGCTCGCCCCTACGAAGCGTGGCTATGCGACCTTCAACTGGGAAGACCCCTTAGTTGCTTCCGAACTGTATACTGAGGAGGAATTGGCGATTCAAGATACCGCTCGGCAGTACTGTCAGGAGCGGTTGCTGCCTCGTGTTCTTGGTATGCGGATCTGGGCACCGTCCGTAACATGGGACTGCAGTTGTGACTGACCCTTTTCTGATGGATTAATCAGATGCCTACCGAAACGAGAACTATGACCGCAAGATCCTCGAAGAAATGGGCGAGCTTGGCCTCCTGGGCGCCAACATCGAGGGATACGGATGCGCGGGGGCGAGCACCGTGGCCTCGGGCTTGATCACCAAGGAGGTCGAAAGGGTAGACTCGGGCTATCGTTCGGGAATGTCGGTGCAGAGTTCGCTGGCGATGACCGCCATTCACGAATTCGGTACTCAGGAGCTCAAGGATCGTCTCCTTCCCGACTTAGCGAAGGGCAAGTTGGCGGGCTGTTTTGGTCTTACGGAACCCAATCACGGCTCTGATCCCGGGTCAATGGAGACTGTAGCACGGGAGCATCCCACCAAAAAGGGATACTACTTGCTGTCTGGCACCAAGACGTGGATCACCAACTCCCCTATCTCGGACATCATGATTGTCTGGGCGAAGCTGCAGAGTACGGGCAAGATCCGCGGATTTGTCGTCGAGCGCAGCAAGTGTCCTCCCGGCACGTTGGAGACTCCGGCTATCAAAAACAAGACCGCGCTGCGCGCTTCGATCACCGGGATGATCCAGATGGACGACTGCCCTGTGCCCGCGGAGAACATGTTCCCGGAGGTGCAGGGCCTCGCGGGCCCCTTTACGTGTCTCAACAGTGCTCGTCTGGGCATCGCGTTTGGCACCATGGGTGCCCTTGAAGACTGCTTGGATCGGGCCCGGACGTACGCCCTGGAGAGGAAGCAATTCAAGGGTAACCCGCTGGCGAAGTACCAACTGATCCAGAAGAAATTGGCAGATGCGGCGACGGACGCTGCGTACGGTACGCTGGCCGCGACGCAGGTAGCCCGGTTGAAGGATGCCGGCAAATGCACTCCTGAGATGATTTCGATGGTCAAGCGACAGAACTGTGACCGTGCCTTGGCCAATTCGCGGATGTATGCCTTTCATCCTACTCCTCTACTACTTACTGTATTCGACACTGACGCTCGACCTTGCAGACTTCAGGAGGTTTTCGGCGGCAACGCCACCAGCGATGAATACCATATTGCCCGCCATGTTGCCAATCTGTTCGTGGTGCAGACCTATGAGGGACAGAGTGACATTCATAGTACGTATCCCCCGGAGTGTCTCCGAGTCACTCTCCAAGACTGACGATCCTCTAGCTCTGATTCTGGGACGGGCCATCACCGGAGTCCAAGCCTTTGTTTAACGCATCTAGCACATCATACCATAATATGTACATAAGCAGGCAGTGATTCCGCATCCGCAACTGACCCTACGATTATGAATTGTTCAGTCCTACTGTAGTTCAGTCAGCACATATCTCCGACCCTTCGAGAAAGCGCAAGCGGCGTTCTGCAATCACGTGCGTGGTGCTGCGCCACGTGGGATTTGGTTGTCGGGTTGGCCGTTTGTGATTAGTATGGAGTCTGTAAGGCGAATACCGGTAATCGTTCCGATGGATGGAGAGAACCACACCCCGTGGACCACATCTCGCCGCACTCCATGACGAGCGAGGCAAACCTCATTCAATCTGCGCCGAGGGAGATTCAGGCCCCTCTGATCGAGGTGGCGGGGAACCGCCAGCCCGACTGCTCTGACCCGGCCGTAAGGCTGCCGGGGGAGCCATCTGATACTCGGCGAATGGCCACAGCCAGAAGAACCAAGGGAGAATGCTGCTGCTGTTCCGTATCTAGTAAATGAAACACAGGATTTTCAGCTTACTGGAGGTGACAACAGTGTGCAGGGTAGTCAAGATTTGAATTCTTGTTCTCTGCAGTGTGACATGGAGATGTTCCAGACGACGTCGTTCTCCCATTCTCTCCTCCTTAGCGATGCGTGCCTGAATGACCAGGGATGTGGGATGTGGGATGACATGTTTTGGAAACCACTTGATGAAACGCCGTCTAGTTCGGGGAAGAGAAGGGAAAAAAAGAAGTGGCAATCGGCACGATAATAGGAGCCAATGGTTCCCACTGAATTTCCCGCATTAGGAGGAAGCCGAACAGCGTGGCTGGCAATCGCCATGATTTGATCGAGCCTGGAGGTGAGTCCCCACTGAAGATGATGACTCGATCCCCACACGGTCTCTTTTCCAATCTTTCAATCCCAATCTTCCCTGACGATGGATGGATGGGAACTGGGTGGGATTGCTTATGGGGAGATTGGTAATATTCACTCATATCGAGATTGTTTCACTAGGGATCTGCAGGGCAGTGATGATGGGAAGCATACATGCTCATGGGCTGATGAGGGGATGGAATCGTGGCTTGCAGTGTGGCTGAGGCAGAGAGGCTGACTCAGCATGTGTAATGATGTATGGTCAGGATTGGTAATGCCATGTTTTCGCAGCGTAATGCCAATACGAGTGGGCCTTTCCTTCCCTTCCTTTCCCTTCTTTCTGCTCTGTCTCTTTTAGCCCTCAGCCCAATTTCCCTTCTTTCCCCTCTCCTCTTTCATCCTTTCTCTCTCTCTCTCTCGCTCTCTCTTCCTCCTTCTTCTCTTCTTTCTTTCTCCTCTTTCCTCGTCTTCCGACGTAATCATCACACTTCTATCTGTGAGTCTTCCTTTCCCCCCTCCTTCACACCTTTCCTCTTTCACTCATACACACACACACACACACACACACCACACTACTTCTCATACTGTCTCCTTTGTTTTATTATATATATTCTCTCTTCTTAATCGTCTTCTTCCTTGACTCGATCGCGACAGTAATCGTTTGTCTCCTTTTTACTGACCTCGTTTGTGGTTGTGCAGTTTTCCCACCTACAAATTCGACTCTCCCCCCGCCTCCCACTCTCTCACTCTCAACATCTAATCCAGGAGTTCCCCTCCACTCTTTTCATATCACACCATGGCTCTCAAGCGCATTAACAAGGAACTCACTGATCTCGGCCGGTAAGCGCCTTCTTCGCATCCTCCTTGCTTTTGTCTATTCTCCGTCATTGCCGCCGTGGTGATGATGGACTCCCGCCCCCCCCCACCACAGCCGCGGGGCGCTGTTTAGTTGCCCACCACTTTCCCACCACCGCCATCATCATTATCGTCATCAACAATACTACTCGCAAATATGACTTCACTCTGCAGGTTACGCTAACGCAGTGCTCTGCTCTCACAGTGATCCGCCCTCTTCCTGCTCTGCTGGCCCTACCGGAGATGACCTGGTATGCTAATTCTGTCCTCCCCTCGTGCCTCATGTCCAAAGACGGTTGCCTCGCCCCTCATGCCGACCGCGGCGGGGTAGCTCAACAACGCAGACTGTCCACGACACATTTGGTCGGTCGCTGCCCTTATTCGAACCGCTATGCTGACTCAAGCCTCTTTTTCTGTGTTCAGTTTCACTGGCAAGCAACTATCATGGGTCCCGTAAGTTTCCTAATCCAGAGAATCCCTCTGTCTTGTGGCGACGGTCGCATCTGCCTGGTGGCCTCTTGACAGACAAAGGGACCACCCAGCCTCGCAATGAGACTCCTGGCCATTCATTTCACATGTCACTAACGCGACTTCCGTCAGGGTGACTCTCCATACTCGGGAGGCGTTTTCTTCCTGAACATTCATTTCCCCACCGACTACCCGTTCAAGCCCCCGAAGGTCAACTTCACCACCCGCATCTACCACCCCAACATCAACTCGAACGGCAGCATCTGCCTTGACATTCTCAGAGATCAATGGAGCCCTGCTCTCACAATCTCGAAGGGTGCGTCGTCCCTCTTCATTCCCCAACGTTCCCGACCGACTCGAACCCAGCCGCTAACTTTCCCCACAGTGTTGCTCTCGATTTGCTCGATGCTTACCGACCCCAACCCCGACGATCCGTTGGTGCCCGAGATCGCCCACGTGTATAAGACCGACCGTCCCCGGTACGAGGCGACCGCGCGTGAATGGACTCGCAAATACGCTATCTGATCTTCGCAATTCAAGTTCTCACGGCCACCTTGGTCTTTCAATCGCTTCTGCGTCTCCTTTTCAATCCGTTAGATCAGATCCGAAGCCTGGCGTACCGTGATCGTAGATCCTTTCCTTGTTTTCAGTTTGCGCGTCTGATTCCCCTACTCCAAACCCCTTATTTCACTTTCTCTTGGCGGGAAATGTCATATTCAACGATCATTATGACCAATTCTCATTATGCATTCATGGCATTTTTTTTTATTTTTCCCTGAACGGAGTCGGATCCCATGTTACATGTCGAACATAAAACCCCAGGTTCGGGCCTCGGGTCGGGGGGTGGTGGACGTGGGGAGGATGTTGAGGGCTGGTCGTGACGGTCGATGTGGTGGGCATGACGGGAGGCCGGTGGACCACATGTGGTCGCTAGTCGTGGGCTTGGTTTGTAACAGATAGTGCATTCAGGAACCAGACCAGACCAACCCAGATCAGTGATCTGAATTCTTGTTCGTTGTAGTCGTCATGCAGTATTCTTCCCTTGGCCGCCGTATGTGGGCTGTGCCTCGATGTAACTATGAGCACGTGATTTTTCGCGATCGTACTCTTGCCAGAGAACTACGAAGGAAATTTGATATTATGTCAAACAATTGAAGTAGAGCATTTAAATATGCTTGTCTGTAGTGCTGGATGCTCAAAAAGTACTAACCCGGAAGTTACCCATGACAGCCACGCCCGCAGATGAACCACAACCAGAGAGATCAAAACGCCCCCGATGATGCGCATATATGTATGGATGTATGGATGTATATGTCCCACATAGCAAGCAAAATAGAATAAGGCCTCACGTTGCTAAGGATACATATCTGTAGGGATGCGTGCAAGTAAATCGACCACCGTCGTCTTGTATTGTATAGGCCAGCCCACACGCAGTGGTGCCGTAAAGAAACAGAGCTGAGACCAAGTCAAAAAAGATTATCGTATATAGGAAGAATGAAATGGTTGAGAACGAAGAATGGCAACTGAAGACCAGGTGCCAAACGATGGATGCTTCTACGCAACCTGGCTACTGCCTCGTCGACTGCTGATCTTGGATGCCGCCTTGGAAGGGGCGACGCTTCCGCCACCGCCCGCCTTCATGGTCCGCTGGGAGACATTGCTGGAAACTTGGCTGACACTGTCGCTGGGCTTGACAGGCTCGTCAAACTTGCTAGAGTGCGTCGAAACTCGAGACCCAGCAGCCTTCGAGGCATGAGACCGGTGTGAGTAGGATGAGCGCCGGGAGTCATCAACTTGACTGATCGAGTCATCAGGAGTCACGTTGGTCCGAACATCGAGGTCGATAACACTCTCTGGAAGCGGCACTTCACGGGCTGAAACGCCTGATTTGGCTCCGCTACGGTGGGAAGCAAAGGACCCGATGGCCGAACCCTCGGGAATGGGGGCTTGGCGGGCCGAGCGAGTGGATGAAGCTATACTTCCTGCCGGGATTGTTCGGGGTGTAGAGTGGTGGGAGTGCGATGAACGATGAGAGCCATGGTGAGAATCTTGATAGCTGGCCTTGGAGGGTTTGATGGTTGAGGCAGAGTAGACGCTTTCCCGGTCCATCGCCCGCGACTTGTCCGGGAAGCTGCTAATCAGAGTGCTTTCATAGCCCCGAGACTGAGAGTCGGGCTGTCCATACTCAATTGCCCGGATAGGGATGTCCCGCGTGCTATACACACTACCTTCCGAGGCCCGACGACCATTGTCATCAAGATACACACTGCCACCATTGCCACGAGGAACAAACTCTGTTCCCTCGTATATAGTGCTTGCACGGGGGTTCTTCGACGTCACGCTGCGAGTGAGCGTCGGCCGGCCATCAGACCGAGCAGAGTATGTACTCCGGGCAGGGCCCGCCTCAATGGCTTTGAAGTTTGGGTACTCTTGTGTCTGAGAAGGGGCCTGGGAAGGAGAGATGAGTTGAGCAATATCCCGAGGAGAAAACTGCGGGGGCGCGGAGTTGGTTTCGGTGGTTTCGGTAGAGTCTCCTTTGGCGATGGCATATGCCAGGGCCGCGCCCGCTGCAGCTCCAATGAGAGTGCCGACTATCGTCTTCGCTGTTTTGTCATTGTCGGTCTTCTGAGTCGTATGCGTCGTGTGGTGCACAATATAGGTGGGCGACGGAGCCGGCTGAAGATCGCGTGGCGCCTGGTAATGATCTCGACTTACCATCGATGGGGCGGGTGCCGCCCGCTCGATGGTGGTGTTCGTCTTCGACACGTACGACCGAGCTTCTGATCGGGCTTCCGATCGGGGTGGAGCAATGCTTTCGGTCCTCACTGAGCTGGCTCTGCTGCTCGCCTTTGAGACCACAGATCCGTTCTCTAACAAGGCCAACGCCGGCCGGCTGATCTCTGACTTGACCACTGATTTTACCTCGGACCGGGCCGAGGAGCTGCTGGGCCGGTAGACAGCCTCGATGCTGTTACCGTCAAAATCAATCACAGCGGCGCTGTAGTAGCCGGACTCGGAGTCGCGCATCTTGGGCTCTCCGTGGATCTTTCCGCCAGCCTTGAGCGCACTGATGAAGAAAGTACCAACTGCATCCTTGGAGTTTGCTGGGAAGGCCACATGTGCTGCGCCGGCTGGGACTCTTCAGAGCTCAGTTAATCATCTTCCGTTGCTTCAATTGAAGGAGTATACAATCACCTACCCTGGCTTCTGTTCGGTTATCCAGAAATCGGCGGGCTCACCCTGCTTCTGACCGAATCCGATATAGTCATCATGGCGGCCAATAAACTGATAGCCGAGTGGTTGTAAGCAGGAGAGAAAGAATGATGTGGAGGTCGGAAGATGGGAGACGGTCAAGGTAAGATGTGAAAGAGGCATTATGACGGCGATTGGCTCACTGGAGACAATTTTCCGCAAGTATCAGAGGGCACAAGTGGTCGAGATGGTAAGGGAAAGAAAATGCCAGGTAAGGGAGGCGAGACACAAGTATATACAATGATGGGGTGCTGCTTCCCCAGTAATGATGATGCCCTGAGTGAAGTGACTGCAGCGTAGAAGTGAGTCAAGCGACGTGAAGAAGGATTATATACACGCTGCTTGGAGGGATTGAAGTAGATGAGATCATGAAGGGGAAGGGGAAACGAAAAGACCAGGCGAGAAGCAGCACTATTTCAAGGCAAGATGTCGGCCCTTCTTTGGGATTCAGGGAGGATTCACCCAGAATGCCCAACTGGGGTCCAATCACGAGCGGTCAAAAGCCACCCTAAGACCAAGATAAAATTATCAAGCGAACAAAGCCAGTTGTTCCGACTAAGAGGAATCAGGCCGACTATCGCAGGCAGGCCTGCATCGATTCGCACGGCGTCCGGACAATGAATGCCCAGTGTATCCACGAGGCATCAAGTCCCCCGTCTGGGCAGCGCTGACTCCGAGCGGCAGGTCTTCGCCCCTCCCCAAGAGTCCATGGTGATACTCTTTCGGTGAAGCTAGATCGAAGCTAGCAACGAGGGGAAGTTGCTCAGGAGGACCGCCAGGTCACCGTGGGGGAGACCGGCGGACGGGGCGCCTATCAGGAAACGGTGGGGACAGCGTCGAAGCCAGGTGCAAACAACGGCATCATGTCAGAAAAGAAAGTTGAGTGAGGCGAGAGGGTCCTGAACGAGGTGGACAATGGGGATTGGCAGGGGTGGAGCATGGGCATGTCCCAAAGGGGAGAGATGCTGAAACCGCGATGAAGGGTGTCCGGCGTTGTCGTATGCAGGAAGAGCCAACAGAAAGCGAAGTTGGACACTGCAGAGAGGGTTCTTTTTCTGAGCTAGGGCCTGGCATTGGACGTTTTGCATTTCAGAATAAACCCCGGCGGTCACTCAGAACGAGCAAGCAACGAATGGCGGTCGGGCATGTCAGCAAGCAGCCGGTCTGGGGAGCCACTGAGGGGCAGCCTGCTGGATCGATGGTTTGTCCTGTTCCTGCTTCGGGCACGTCTGCTGCTGTTAGTCACTGGACGGTGTGATCTGACCGCCAGAAAATGCCCCTCTTTCATCGAAATTTCCCGTGATTCGAGTTTACTGCGGTCGTCGAGCCGATAATGTATGGCGAATCATGCGACAAAGAAGATTATAGATCAAGGCAACTGTCGGAAATTGAGAGTCGGGAGACTCAGGGGGAGGCAAAGAGGCGACTTCCTTTCTCCCGACTGACCTGGACGTCACTCCATCCGCCCAGTGTCAGTGGTCCTATGTACTATGTACTTCGCAGATGATAAGAACAAGCTCACCGCACCGGGAAAGTGAGGGAGAGGTGATCGTCAAAGCATTGACGTGCATAACAAGAACACCCCATAACATCGGCAAGCCATCCTGGGGGGCCGATATCCGGCACCTGGGCGACAGGGAAGTTCCCTGGTTGCGAAACCAGGATCATCAGGATGTCATAGCCTTAGATAGGCCCTGTTGGCCCATGCTCGTTTGGATTTGAGAGGGGGGGATGTGGATGAGTCTTGCAAAGCAGCCGGAAGCTCATGGCGGGGGCCCAAAGCGAAAAGCGAACGATCCACTTAATCATTCGCTGCTGCCATGTCTGCATGCCACGTCGAACAGGAGACTCCATCCCCAGCCACCATGATCCAATGATATGTGATAATCAATGATTATTGAGAGGCAACTACGGAAGAGAGAAGAAAAGACAGAAGAAGGCCGGAAAAAAGGGGGAGAAGATCCACCAAGTCACCGACAACCCCTGAGATGGGCCCGTTGAGTCAACGTGAGGAGGATTGAGTGCGAGTGGGAGAGAATGCGAAGTAGTAAGGAGAGGAAGCATTAAAGAATAGAAATTGAAGCCAGAAGTTGAGCCTGCAGTGCCGATGGAACGAGAAGGAGGACCTGCCAGACAAACGATTGCCTAATTGGGAAGGGGCCAAAGAAGTCACGGGTCACGGGTCCAAATCACGAGTCACTCACTCAGGGAATCTCTGACAACCTCAGGCACCCAGGCTATTACTCTCCCTCTCTCCCTCTCTCCTTATCTCCTTCCTTCAGTCCTCCAGTCGTTCTTGTCCCTAATTCCTAATTCCCCGTCCCTCGTCCTTCGTCCCTCCTTCCTGATTCTTCCATTCTCCCGATCACTTCTTGTCCCTCCTTCGTCACCGTGCAGAAGTCTCGACCCATTCCTTTCCTTATGTTCTACTAATCTCAGGTCGTAATGACCTCATACGGACTCATCATCATGTCTGGGACCATCTTTCTACACGCGCACTGTCCACCTGAATCTACTAATGGCTGGCGTTACCGGGAAAGCGTCAATAGCCTATTGAACTTGGGTCCAGGTCTTCATGAAATGAACGAACCAGACATGTTCCGTCATGAGAACTTTAAATAGGAACTCTCAATATCTTTATTTCATTTTTGTGATTGGCACATGCGTGTATGTAATCGGCTCCGTAGATTGTCACTCGAGGGCACCGACAAGATCCCACGGGTACAGGACTTGGCCGGGGCTTATGGAAACTTGAGCGCCACCGGGTTCTCCCCAGCTTACCCGCGCACACTCACGGGTAAGGTACATACACACACAGAGAGAGAGAAGGAGAGAGACAGGACAGGCATAGGCAGTGTCTCGCAGGAGATAGTCGAATCGGCGGATCCCCGCAGAGACTCGCGCAGAGCAGTGATGACCGGTGGTCCGCGGCAGGACTCCCGTTGCCGGCCTGCCGACCAGGAAGCTGCCAGAGAAAGGAAAGCGTTACGAGAGAGGTCCAAGTGATGTGGGATCATTGGGTTAAGTTCGACTATCGAATCGGCCCCACCGGGCGTGAAGCCGATGCGACAGCGAAGCGAAAAGCACATGGAACAAAAACACCAAGACATGCAAGGAACAGCAGGCGGTGCAAAATCCATCCAGGTCAAGTGAGAAAGCGACACAGCAGGGGATGACAGGTCTTCGTCCCCGATCGGCACCCGAACACCCTCCAGCTCGCGATCCAACCCCGCATCCACCCCCGCATTCGCGCAAGGAAATTCGTCACCTCGTCATTCTGGAGCCCAATGCTCGAACAGAGGAAGGGAGCATCCCAGGCATTGAGCTCAGACGATGTCCCACACCTCCTCGGCGGCATGGCAGAACTTGCTACAGGCCACACTTGCACTCAAACTGTAGTTGCTGATACTGATCGTGTCGTCCTTGAAGGAATCGGCGAAGTCGTCGTGACCCTTGGCCATGGCACCCACAAAGATGCAGACACTCTCTTTCGGGCCGAGGGACTCGATATAGTCGCGAGTCCGTACGACAGGGGCCTCAAAACTCAGTGTCACCTTACGGCAGTTGGGCGGCAGGTGGTCGGTGATGGGATTCTTGATGACCTTAAGAAGCTTTTCCTGGGAGTTGGTGGAGCGGATGGAGAGACGGTGAAGGAGTTGCACCATCAAACCGGCAAAGCGCTTGAAGGTACGGGGAATGCGGACAGAGGGGTTGACTTCAATCAAGACTCCTTTGGCAGTATGAATGAAGATTTGAAGCTTGCCGGCCTTGTTGACAGGGGAGTCGAGGAGAGTAAGCAGACACTAATGAGTGATGTTCGTTAGATGTCTTGCGGTGTTTGTAGAAGGAAAAACAAGAGAGGAGTATCAACCTGGTGAGTGATATCGGGACGAGCCTCGCTAATATCCCGGTTCATCTTGCGCATGACACCGATATGCTCATCGCTGTTGAGCAACGAGTACTTCTCATCCCGACTTGAGCCATTGCGGCCGCTAGAGGCGCGGTAGGTTTCCAAGCTGGCATGGGAGAGGACGACGATCAGACGCTGGGTTTCTTTATCGTGAGCGGGGATCGGAACATGCTGCTCGGCAACGAGCTGAGGCAATTCAGGCGGCGGGCAAGACTGGGTCCCTGGGGGAAGATTCTGATTAGCGCTCATCCCAGAGATAAGCGATGATAGCGATAGCGTAGAGAAGGCGAGAAGGCCGGGCACAGGTCTCGTGCTGAAGAAGCGGGTGGGGGTAGCAGAACAATTGAGGGAACTCGAGAAGAGAGATCCCCCCAAAGTCAAAAGACGGCGTTCAGAGTAGCTAGGAAAGGTTGCTCGAAACAATCGGATGATCGCCGGTGCTTGACAGGGACGAGGCTGACAATAAGGGCGGTCGGGAGGGGTGTGGAATGAGGGGAAGAGGGAGAAAAAGCAAACAAAAGCAAGGTGGCATCGATCGAGACAGAGAGAGCCAAGGCGGCGGCGGACGTGGGATCCCTTCCACCACCAGTGACCCAATCCCCGCCTCGGCATAAAGGAAAACATATGGTATACATACTGGCGCGCTTTCTTTTACCGGCGTTCTGAAGAGAGGCGTCTGACATGATGACAGTTGACAAAGGTTCTGAATGAAACAAGGTCGTCCGTCTGTCAATGGGCAAGACGGAAAGTATAAATATCCGACTGGGGGGGGGGTGAAAAAAGAAAAGAACCCGAGATGGAGAGGGAGTTTTAGTGCGCAGACGGAGTTTTTAAAAGACACGAGCGCCGAATTGGAAACTCTCTTCGCAAAGCACAGCTGCCCGATACTATCGAGCGTGAGTAGGATTCTTCACTGGCCGTTGATGTTGGATGCAGCTGCTTTCCCCTCGGGATCGATGAAGTACCACGGACAGTATGCGAGAGGAGAAAAAAAGTGACCGGCTGAGCAGGTGGGAGAGAACAGGAAGGCTGGCTCAACAACGTAGGCAATCAATCAGCCTCTCTGCAGAGAATGTAGCTCAATTATATATATGGGAGGAGAGGAAGTCGGAGAGGAAAAGCAGACAAGACTGCAGGGAAAGAGGAGAAACAGCAGCGAGCAGCAGCAATAGCAACAGCAAGCAACAGCAATTGTTGAAAGAACGAGAGAAAA